CCTTGGCCGACATGGTCTCCCTGCAGGTGCTGAAGTTCGACGGCAACCCCATCACGTTCCCGCCTCGTGAGGTCCTGCAGGTGCAGGCAAGTAGCCCCCCGAACGAGGGCTATTTGAAGGAAAGCGAGGTTACGGAGGTGGCCGTTACTGCACACATCAAGCGCTTTCTGAGGCAGCACAGCTTGAATGGCCGTGCGGAATCAGACACGACCGGAGAAGAATCCAGCGAAGGCATGGAAACCCCTCGCATGCCCCCGATCAAGCGCGTCGTCAGTGGCCGTTTTCCAATCAAAGTCAATGGCACTGATGTTCCCGATCTTCGATCTCCAAACCTAATTCGGGCCCCCCCCATTCCAAACCGATCCCATTACCGAGGCTTGTCGCAGCAGAACACAGCTATTCGTCGGCCTGGTGTCATGCCTCTAACCATAGGAAATGTCAATGAGCGCCTTCGGAGCAATTCAGAGACGCTGCTGCAGGCGAACCGTGGAGAGCGTCCCGAATCCCGAGCAAGACGCATGGGCGTTGTAAATCAAAAGGCCACTCAGCTCGGCACCCTGGACGAGACGCAGGCAAACAATCGCTTTAGTCACTATAGAGGCCTGAGCCATGGCTCGGCCATGCAGCCACCGCCGGCCGGCATGTCGGTCAAAAGCCCCAACAGCCCGGCCGAGCCCTTTTTGCAGCGCCCCATCTACGTCCGGCGACTCTCGGTGCTACCCGAGCGAAGACGCGAGTCCAAGGTGTACGATCCCATCCTAGAGGCTGCCAAGGGCATCCTCTATGCTGTCTTCCAGATCCACCCAATGATTCAGATGCTCATGAGCTTGACAAGCGACGGCTCTTCAAAGAGATCTAGCCTTGAGATTGTCTTCTACAACACGAATTCGCACGTGGAGGAGTTGGAGCAGGAAATCCAGAAGCATGATCCTGGCGCTGAGGGATACGAGATGGCTGGACGCGAGAATGAGAACGTTCACCGAGCCTGCCAGACTCTGGTCGGCGCCTACACCCACGTCTGCACTTTACTTGCTGGTAACATCGACTCTTTCATCGACAACGGAGACCCGCGCTACATTCGCACCCTGTTGATGCTTATCTATAACAGCATTATGGAGATCAGATGCACACTTGCTGCGGTCTCGCCTGACGCCGGCCCTGCAAGGCCTACCCCACGAGCCATGACCTTGGGCGATACGGTCAAGCCTCACTCGCGGGAAAACTCCGTTACGCCTACCGCTGAGCGGCTCGGACTGGCCCAGCGGCCCCGACCAGGCCCGATTCTTCATAACCCAAGCAACCTGAGAGTAGCAACGGACGTACCACTCCCCTATATGAATGGGATGAACGGGATGAACGGCGTCGCTTCTAGTCGCACAGCGACACTCGCCTCGGCAACGCCTCGATCCGGAGAGTCTTTCATCTCCGCTTCGTCAGGCGGACGCGGCATATCCGACTTCACAGAAGATGACAGACACTTTGAGAAGATCTTCCTGTCACTTCAGCGATCGTCCGAGCTCGTCATGAGGACTTTGCCCATGTTCCAGAACCACATGTCAGTCCTCGCGAAGAAAGCAATGGGACGTCGCGCTACGGATCACGAAATGGCGTGCTGGAAGGGGCTCATTTCGAGGTGTAGCACCGCGGTACAGCAGACTGAGATGCTGCGCAGCCGCCTTTCGTTGGTCAAGCTCAAAGAACCTGGTATTATGAGTCAACCGGCCTTCAGAAGCTTGATTAGCAACTTTATCGATTCGTGGGCGGAATTCGGCAGCCAGATCCGCTATGCGTTCAACGAAGTCAGTCTTCCGCCCGATACTAGGGTCAGACTTCGGCCTATCCAGCAGGCTATGAAGGAAGCAAGAGATACCATTATCCAGTCGCCCTGGAGCTATCTATTGCGACAGTCTTCGAACCCCAACACCTTCAGCCCCAACGGTGGCCCAGGCTTGGCACCCATGCAACTGCCGATGACGCCCCAAAGCGCGGCTTTGGGACCCGCCGTCCAGGCAACAGTCCCATCTACTCCCCAAAGCGCTTCATTTGCGGCGGCATTCAATGGCAACGTCTTTGAGCGAGCCGATGCCCTTATCAATATGGGCGGACTTTCAATGTCTCGAAATGGTACGATGACAAACAGCTCGGCCGCTAGTTTCACCATGTCTTCCATGTCATCTTACTCGTCCGATGGAGGAGCCATGACACCCTCATCAGTCATAAGTCCTAACGGTTTCGGCCCTGGTCCGGTGCCGTTGCGACTCAACGGTAGCAAAGTTGCCTTCTAGTCGAAGCACAGAGCTACCCCTTGGATTCGACGCACATTCTTGGGCAAAAAGTATGGGCGGGAGTAACCACTTGTGTTTGTTTTTTTGTACTTTTACCGGTGGTCTGCATGACCAGTATACGCATTTTGTCGAGTACCTCATCCCTTCATTCGCGCATAGCATTGGCGTCAAGGTCGGACTTATCTAGGGATTGAAGCCATACACTCATTGAAGTAGCATGTTCCTGGCCGGACATAAGGGTCAAGGAACGCACGTAATGTCATAGTTACGAAGCCAGGCTGATGCTATTTCCATACATACCAAAAAGTGGAAAGACGGGTTCAGTGGAGCAGCTACTACGAGTTCATGTGTCACGGTTACACATCAATTGTCACTGTTAAATGTATACTAGGTTTCTGCCTATTGGCACGTAGGCAAATACAACGAATAGTCTGATACTCCATCTCTTTGTTAAGGGATTCGTCATGGCACAATTGTGTGAGGTGTGGGCAGACATGTGAATTTGATACATCCCAGACTACCGGCTGTACACTTGAAAGTTCGCGATGCATAAAACTGCTCAGTCTGGCGCATATGTCAATTTGATTGTTGCACAGTCCTACCATATGCCCGCCCTGTACTTTGGATTGGTGTGATTAAGGCAGTTAGTTATATGAAGTCTTTTAGTTTGGTCTAGCCCTACTCCTTTTATTGAGGACAAGGGCATGCATATATTCACAAACAACAATACGCAACCAAGAGCAAGGACAGTATGCAATGCATTATCATATTGGTTTGGAAGACTGGTTTTGGCTCTCACGAGTTTCAAAGCGTTGGTGCTTTTCAAACTTGAGAGCATTTCTAGCTCGTATTTAATCTGCACTTATCAGTCAGTACGCATACTGGGTTGAACCTTTCTAGCACATCGCCAACTCAGTGCGCATGCAGTATGATGGGCCTGGTCTATAATGGCACCGAACCTGACTTGGCGGCACAGAGCCTGCTCAGACCACACCGTTGCGGCCCTGCGATTGTAGGCACCGCTATTTTGTGTTCTTCCATTCCTGGGGGCAAGGTCTTTCCCATCTCTAGGAACTGGCTAAACAGGCTAGGAAGTAAAGCCAACGGCCCAAAGCCGATCGTGATTGACTTGTGATGCTAAAGTATAGAACAACTCGAAAAAAATCCTTCTCCTCAGCTCAGTTTTCTATCGCCTCAGGTTGTAGAGAAGTTGTAGGGTTTGTGCTATTTACAAGATCAAACTCTGTCGGTTCCAGTCGGGAGATCGATTGATCCCAACAGCCTCAAGCGGCCAGACCAACCACGGCCTCCAATAACTACCAAGTAACTCGTCAACCACTTCGACAATAGCCTTGCCCCAACCCTCCATGAACCAATAATGATTCAGCCCGTGTATCAGTACGCCGAAGAAAGCAAATAGAATCAGGGCTGGGGGCTGCCGTTGATGCAACAGAGTGAAGTAGGGCTGCGGTGCAAAGTAGATGAAAGCAAGCGGTCCTGACCAGCCCCTGTTACAGCTCCAACCCTTTAGAGTTTTAGAGTCCAATGTATCGAATTGCAAAATGAACATGCGGCATTGCCTCAGAATCCGGAGCGCCTCTTCGTAGACCTCGTCGTCACCGCTGTTCTTCCACGTTTCTCGCATGCGGCAGAGCTGCATGTCCATCTCCTCCGGCGCGGCGCAGTCGGGGTCCAACTCGTACCAGTTCCCAATGTCTATGATTTGGAGCATTCGGCCAGTTTGCAGATGGAGGTGGGTTGGTTCGAGAACGGCCTGGACGCCGCGGAGTATCGGGATCCACTCGGCGCCCAGTACGCGGTCCTTCTGAAGACTGGGTGGGCTGTCCTGAGGGCTGTCGGACAGCTGTTTCGAGATGCCGAAAACGTAGATGACATTGATGAGCGACCATGCGAGCAACGCTTCGCTGTTTTCGACGCTGACGTGGCGGACAACCTCGTGGAACCCCTTGAGGGCTTCCTCATGATGGCGGGTTGCCTCCACAACATACTGGCTGTTCTTCGTGCCCTCAATGTTGGCGAGATGCAACGCAGCCAGGCTCAGAATAGCGTGGGTCACGAAAGGATACTGGAAGCCGATCTGGGGGAAGACGACCTGCCACAAAGAGTCGAGCTCGGAGGTCTTGAAAATATCGACACTCGTGCACACGGTCCAGTGGTGCAGCAACGCCAAATCCTGGATGCTGAAATTGAAGGAAACAGCGACTGACGACGCGGACGCAACGGTATCCGTCCCTGGGGTTGCAGTTACTGTCGCAGGTGTTCCTGCAGCGCTTCGCCCCGGGGGAGAGTAATTCGCGCGTGTGCTGGAGGTGGATTGGGGGCGCGGCGCGCGTCCAACCCGGTCTGCACGAGTGTCGGCTGCTTCGTCGTTGATGGCATACGGTTCTCCGGGCTCGGGATAGTCGCATGAGACCTCACGCCGGATGCAGGCTCCGCATCGCGGCCTCTCTTCGTCGCACTACGGGGTCGTGTCAGTTCAGGGCTCCACGGAGGGCTCCACGGAGGGCTCGTTGACGGGGCTGGCACGGCACCTTAACTCGACGTCTCCGACAGTTGAAGCACCCGGTCCTTGATTTCTGGTGTGGCCTGCGTCGCTTTGCTGGTGTGCGTCTCTCCGACCCCTCTGACGACATGGCTGTCAGAATAGCTCGTTCAGGTTGTTGAACGAGGAGGATGTGAGTCAGGGAGCAACAAGAACGAGATTAAGAACGAAATATTGAGCGAAGAACGAGGAGCGAAGACGAAAAGTGGGACCATGCAAGCTAGAGCCGGTAAGTGGGAATCAAGCCGAGGTCCGTTGCAACCCCGGTGCGACAACCGATAACCGACTTATTTACGTAGCAACCGAACGCCAATCTGGTGATGAACACCCCCATCTATGAGTCTACAATACAATGAAGAAACTCCGTCATTTCCGCTGGCCGCCGATGATTATCCCCCAAATTGTCCCCCAAAACAATGTGTAATAACTCGTACGCGATTTCGCGATTCTCAACCCGCTTCACTTCCGTGCCTCTTCCATCATAAACTCATCCGATCCTGATGTTTCGCGCTCTTCCGTCCCTTTCTTTGACTTCTTGCCCCCAAGGTCTTCGACATACCACACCAAGAAAATAGCCATCACGATGGCCATCAAAAGAGTATCGAATATGTAGAGGAATATTTCGTGCGAGATAAGGTAACCGCCGTTTCCCTGTAGATATTCAACGACTCGGAAGATGCTTCGAATTAGGATGATGCCGCTCGTAATGTAGAGCACATATAAATGCCGCTTCCAGGGTATGGCTGATTCGGAAGTGCTTGTAGGGCTCTTCGCGAGACGGTAGTGGAAGAGGAGAGAGGTCATGACGAAGAATCCAAACACAACTATCTGGACAAAGAGTCCCGCGATAATGCACTTCTCGCCAGTTTCGTAAAGCTCCAGAGTGCCCGCAGCTTGGACGCCCCCGCCTCCCGCCTGTAGCGTGAATGAAATCACGTCCCCAGTGACGAAGATTCGCGTCACCCAGTCGACGGGTATCAACGACAGATGCTCGCCCCTGACTGTTCGAATGAGGCGGCCCAGTATCATGTAAATCGAGGCGGCGTATAGGGCTGGAGCGACGAGGATAAAGATGGCTTGAATACTGAAAGCGCCGACGGAAAGCTTGTCGTAATGGCTGGCTATTCTACTACTGTAACCTATGGTTTGGACTGCGCGCCTTGAAATTAGCTTCAGATGTTTGTACAAGCCCTTACACACATCTTCTCTATCACAAGACGGTTGGCTGCGTTTGATACCAAGAACAACTTACACAAACCACCAATGGTGAACGCGGTAAAATAAAAGGCCCGTGCTCTGTACAGCCGCCAGGTGTGAAGAATTGTGAGGATGGCGAAAACGGCGACACTGACGACCGCAGCAGGCAGTGACGGGGTATACCGATAGAGTTGAAAATCAAAGCTCCCGCTGGAGTCCGGGGTTTGCGCATCCGTTTCCATTTCGGCTATTGACGAGTTTTCGCGAAGATCTAGCGGATGATCCGATAACTAGTAAAAGGACGAAGCTGAGTTTTGATAATATGTACTTGGAGAAGAGCAGGGGAGAGACCGAGAAAGTGTGCTCTTGTGTGTGCTTTTTATTGTTTCCATAGAGGTCAGGCACGTTGTCCTCCTATTCTTATCTATCGTGGGGCGTACACCCAATGTCACCCATTGCAACACTAAACCTGCAGCTAAGAAAATAAGAGTGGCTGAGCCTTATCCCAAGTACGCGTTCAGCAAATTAAAATGCCCGTGTGAGCAAGCTTACGTTTACTGCCCCTCCCTAGACCGATATCTCCACAATTTGTCTCAGCGCTATAAACGAGGAACGAGGAGTGGAAAGCCTCAGTCGACGTTGGTAACTTAAACGAAGAACGAGAAATTGCCCCATATTATCCGTATTTACTACCTCCGGTTCCCTGTTTGTCAGATCTAACGCGTAGTCGTTTGGGACTTCGGCCCCAATTTTGCAGGTCACCTGAAATCCTCCCTAACGCCCCTCGAAGCGTGTATGAGATTTGTTGGCGTTTTAGAGCTTCTCCATCACCTTTTCGCAAACAGCTAATGAATGTATCCCCAAGTTCTGACCGCTGAGTATGGCATGGAGGTTCTCAAGAAGTTTCCCATTTTCTCGGTGGCCTAACTAGTTCGGATTGAACAAAGAACAAAACACGAGCTTTAAGCAGCACAGCTCGTTATTGGGGGTTGACGAGGCACAAGCCTCTGAACCTAACGGAGCAGCTGGTCAACCCGGAAAGGAGATCCACGCAGGGATTGTTCGCAACTGGAAAGGAACTTGATTTGTCGCCTCTTTGGCACACTGCTGGGTTGTCCACATAAAACCTTGCATTGTCGTTGTTCTTGTAGAGAGACGTCTGTTCATTTTGTCTTCTTGTTTCTCGTCCCGATGCGCTTCAATAAAGTTTCACCGTGTTGAGCCTTGACAAAGATTTGCCGACCTGCAAACACACACATTGTCAGATGCTATCGTTGCGAGCCCTCCTATTTTCGCCTATAACCCACTGCGGCCTAGGCCTTTGGCATTCTTGTTCATGTCAGGTTCACTATACCCTGTACAAGCACAGCAGCGTTCTCTCACCCGCTGGCTAATCTGAAGAACGTTAAAAGCAATCCGTCTTTGGCGAACTATGTCTCCTATGGAGTAGTTGACCACTTAACTAGGCAAGGGTATATTCTCTTCCCTGTCCCACCCCAAAGCTTGAGACCTTGTCTAGTTGCTCGATTTCTCGGTAGACTTAAAGATGTGATCAACAAGTAGCGCAAAATCCTTGACCCGGAGCATTTGGATATGTTTCATGGCCTCGTGTCGATTAACTCAATGTAGACTCCGTTCATGTCCTGGTGGCCCCCAGCCCTCGACCTTGTATCGGTAAAAGCTCCCTCGGGCAGACTTACCTTTTCACTGCGGGGAATCCTACCATGTCACATCCATATACTAACCCTTAGTTTCCAAGAGATATTTATGGGGTTTTCTTTCACGACATGACTCAGCACTACCCACCGGAGGACTGAGTTCGGTTCCTTGCCGCAGGCCTTCCGCCAGCCTACGTCAGATTCGGAAGCATTGTCCTAGATAACCGAGTATATGGTTGGTATTAATCTGAGCGCAATCACGAAGGCGGGGGTGTGGGCCATCGTTTCTTGAGGCTCGTCAGACTTAAAAGCAATTCTGTATACCGGATCGGTGACTGCCCTCATGAGTGGTTATTTCAACATGTAGCAGCTGTGGTGCACCAGGAAGCACGCGGAGGGGCAATCGTTAACCAACGGTGCCAGAGAAGGTCCTTGCCTTCTTCAACCGACCGATTTGTAACCCCAGTTACACTATGGACAAAGCCATGCTCGTTGCTTTGACAACCGATCCTTTCGAAGTTATGTTGAGTGTTTCATGCTAGCAGTTACCTAGTCCAAGTATTCACTTGCAGACTTCGCCTTTGGTAGAAATATGATGTCCTTCAGGTCGGGAAAGCAAGGAGATTGAGCTCTGGAGTAACATTGATGCATGGATTATCTTCCAACTTGGAGTTTCAAGACTTCCACAGGATTCAGTGACGATGCATTTTCTGATTTATAAACAGGAATACGAAAGTATCTTGTCTATTGCTCAAAACATGATCTGCAGGTTCAACATCGTCCAGGCAACATAAGGACGGTATTCCCTGTATCTTCATCACCTTCAGGTACGGTACCTCAAGAAGCAGGCGCAGCGGGCGCCTCGAACTTGACGAACAGGTCGCGCTGCGTGTCGAGATAATCAAACGCAGTAAGAGGCACACCCAAGTGACGGAGAATGCAATACGCGGAGCTGAGGTGGAAGTGGAAGTTGGGGCAGGCATACTGAACAATATACGAGTAGCCCGTGAAGCGGAATGTGCCCATTGACTTAGTTTCCATGAGAATGTCAGCGTTTTCTTTCCCGTCCATGGAGGATGGGTCGATCCTAGATAGGATGGATATCGTGGCGTCTACGCGAGATTGGAGCTGCGGGAAAGTGGTCTCGGTGTCGGGGAAGCAGGTGTCTTCCTGTAGAGCGAGGCGAGTGGCAATGAATTTTGCCGTGTTCGAAACGGACTGAACTTGGTAGTCAAGGCTATTAAATGTTATTCGGGTCATTCTGCTATAAAAAAAAAAGAAGAAAAAAGTCTGGAGGTGGATGGGTTCAGCAGGGAAGGGGGAAGGGGACGAGACAGACCTGCGCATGTCTTCGATGAGTCTGAACTTAATCATCTCTTCTGGGTTAAGGTTCTTGGCGGCGCAATGCTTCTCGGCCTTGGTAAGAATAACCTTGAGATTACCTAGGTATTTGACCATCATGGGAATGGAAGCATGGTAGAGGGAGACCATCTTGACGATGTTTTTGAAAGGCTGACTTGCTACAGGCTTGTGAAGAGGCGATATGAGTGAAAAACAGGTGTGAAAATCCATGAGCGACAGAAAATATCCCTTCTATTTATATGTCAAGAACTGCGTAATTTCAGTCTTCGCTGCTTGCTGATTCTGGCCAACTTGTCTACAAGGCCTTCAATGAGTAACCTCCAGATCAGAGACTCAAGCGCTGACGTGAGAAAATTTACGAGAAAAGGCCTTGCTTTGAAATGCATTTCTTACTCACGCTATTTGCCCGCAAGATTCGAAGTCCGTCTGTGACATTCAGCTCGGCGGGGTGAAGGACGCCGTGGAATCGGCGGCGGATGCTCAGCGCTCCAACTCCGGGACCGATCGGCCCCACTACCCCGCCATTTTCATGCGGGGACGGATTAGCCGTCCCCGTCGCATGCTCTGATTCGCCGTCACCACGACTTACCCGATCAAGATAGGGCTGCGATCGCGTTAGGTCGCATGCCCAAACCCCTCGTCCTACCTACTCGCCACCCTTGCGAATCTCTCGTGGATCCTGTCAGCTGGCTGCTTCCCTCCAAGCCTCGTCCCCTTCAAAGCGCCCTTGACGGGTTTTCGTGCGCGCGCTCTCTCCAGAAGCCACTAGCATCATGTTCGCTGGGCAGTTCTCCTCGTCAGCGGGGAGGAATCCTCCGCGTGCGCCGTCGTCGACCACAACGACGACGACGACGACGACGACGACGACTGCATCCGCTTCTCAGCATCTCAGCGCCTCCAGCGCGACGCGCGGCCAGCACTCCAAATCGTCCAACACATCCATATCCGGGGTGCCGCAGGCCCCAAACATCGCCCAGCATGCCCCAGCTGCACCCCCATCATCGGCCTCACCACCTCAACTGCATCAGACCCTTCCCAGCGAGGATCAGGAGCGCCACGTCTCGGAAGCGCGCGCAGCCGTCGTCGCATCCATTGGAAACATGCTCGACGGCGAGCTGCAGACGCGCGCCCGCATGCTGCACTCTGGCGCCGCGGCGCTGGACAAGCAGGAGCGGGATGTCATGAATGCGACGGAGGCGCTGCGCAAGGAAAACGACAAACTGGCGCGGTTCGCAGGGGACGCGGCACGTCGGGTCAAGGAGCTAGGCAACGTGCAGAACTGGGCCGAGGTGCTCGAGAGGGACTTCCTGGTGCTCGAGGAGACGTTTCGGCTGGTGAGAGAGGGGAGCTGCGGGAGCGACTGCGAGAGCTGCGGGAGTGGTAGTTGGAGTGGAAGCGGGAGCTGGAGCGGGAGCGAGGTCGGTGACGGTGAGAGGGATGTGAGGATGGGGGAGGAGAATGGTGGTAAGGGTTTGGATAAGGGGAAGATGAAGTTGGGTCAGGATGGGTTTGATGCCGAGGCGATGGAGGTCGATGGGGACCATGGGGACTGCTCGGAGAGTATGACTGAAGCCGAGTCAAGCGAAGGCACTGAGGGGCGGGCGAAGGGGTCAGAGACGACGTCGATTTCAACCTTTTGATTCATGAATATCTGGGAAGCACACAATACCTCTTAACAACTAGACGATGATTACGACGCTTCACGACTGGATTGAACTCGCACTGTAATAAGGAATCTATGGTTTTAAATATTTGAACCTAATTTTTTTACGCCTTTCCTGACTTGAAAACCCCTTCCGTTAGGTTCTTTTGTAACACAATTTCCAGTAGCCCGGCTTACCATGGTATCCCCTCGTAAGCGTCAAGCAATGCAAAGAAACAGTTGCAGGTGCGAGCCACAAACTCACGCAAGCGCAAAGTCCAGTCAGCACACGCGCGCATCTAGAAGATGCCGGGCAGCAGGACAAACTTCTTCTTCTTGTATGTCTCGGGAAATTCCTTGCGGTAGGCGCGCTCCTTGCCTTTGGCCCACTGAGCCATCTGGGCGGCGCCGATAGTGATGAAAAGTGCGACAGCCCAGCTGCGACTCGTGATAATGATGCCAATCCACGCGATGATCTCGAACATGTAGTTGGGGCAAGTAACGAGGGAGAAACCATAGCCGCGGGGAATCTGGCGTTCGGTGCCGCCGCGAGAGCGCAGGCTGGCGAGGTTGAGATGAACGATGGCGTTGGAGGCTTCGCCGAAAAGGAAGATGATGGTGCCAAGAACGTCAACGGCATCGTTGCGGGCGAGGGCCGTGGGCGAGCTGGGCGAATAGACGTGCCAGGCGCTGAGAAGGCCGGCGAAGGCCCAGTAGAAAAATGAGTTTTTGAAGATGTTGCGCATGGGCATCGTGTTGGCTGAGAACTTGTGGACGAAGAGCGTCTCATACTCGCGCTTGATGAAGTGGCCGAGGAACATGGCGAGGGTAAGAAGCTGGGTCGGAGACATGGGCTTCTTGGCGCCTGGGCCCGAGTAGATGTAAGGGCGCAGGCCAGAGAAAGCGAGGTGGATAAGAATGGGACCGAGGTACTCAATCACGAAGACGGTGCTCCATGCCATTTGGGGGCCTGGGTTGCGATGTTAGTTAGGAAACACATAATTTCTCCTTGGCGAATGGGTCGTTCGGATCCGAGGGATTACAACGTACCGAGGTCCTTGACCAACACCTGTCCGGCGGACATAACAGCCGTCTCAGAGCTGATCGGCGCCTTGCGATCCTTCAGCGTCTTCTGGGTAGAAGGATCGAACAGGCCGACACGGTTGAAGTCGCTGATGCCGGCCTGGCGAGCAACCATATGCTTGATCTCTTCGACTGTAGCATCGGCGGAGACCTCGATCGACTCGGGGAGCTTCTTGATTGGTTGCTTCGGTGCTGTTGGCACTTGTGTAAGCAATTTCCTCTAGGATCTGGGGTGGCCAATAGCTGCTTACAGCGGTTGCTCAGTTTGAGCGTGATTTTGGCGGCCATTTTGGTGAAATATTTGTCCTGAAGCGAAATGGAGTGTGTCCGGTGCGAAATTCGAGCTGCGCTAACGTGGCCGAGCTTGTACTTGGCCGTTTCTAAGGAGCTTGAGGGAAGGGCTTTAACGTGCTGGGTTTTAGAGTAGTTGTTGAGAAGCTACTGCACGGTCGGATGTGGGTCTGCCATGCGATGACATGTTAATATTGCATAAATGCATATTCCACTATTTTGATACATCGTTGCATTTAATCTCTTAACCGGCTAGGTCAACTAACATCATCTGTCACCACCAGCCTTATCAAGCTCAGTGGTCCTTAGCTTGCAGAAATGATTCTGAAAATATACTTGATTCTCATGCCTCATGTTTTCTGAGAGCTGAGCGCCTCCTATAGGTGACTGCCTAGTCCCCACCCAAGGATTCCCATAAGGTTTCCAGGCCCTCTGGTACGTCTGGTTTTGGTGTAAAGCATATGGATGGACTTCAGGGTTACAAGACCCTGGGCTATGACTGGCAGTGGCTCAAGCAGTTGATATATGAAGCAACATCGACTTGTCTAGAATGTATTCGTTCAATGCATCGGTCTCTTAGGTTGCAGCGCCTCAAACACTACAGAGTGCTACAAGGTTCAATCTTCGCAAGCCTCTCGCTGGAATTCCTCAAAAAGACTCTTTTAGATAATCCCATTTTCAAACCCAGCAATTACTGTGATTCCACTTGACTTGGTAGTCACTTTCACGCTGATAGTCCAACATGCGAGTCCCCTTCTTCACATACTGCATTCCTCATCTCATCGTTGCCATAGTGAAGCGGTGCCATAGGCTTATGGAACAAGCAAGTGAGATAAATGGTTGTATGCGTCTAGGTAGACAATTAAAATGGTGTTACAAAACATAGGAAGTGAAGCCAGTAGGTAGGTTTAGGCACCTTGTCTACAGTCTTGAGAAGTTTAGGATTCACAGGGTACACATTACAGCGTTTGGACATGACCAAAATGTCCCGTAGACTTCGAACCATCAACCACGTTAATAATTCTCAATCTACGTGGTTCTATCCTGAATATGTTCTTGTCTTTCTCTGACACGGCACTTGCTACCCTGTGAGACAGCCTTTCCTCTGACCCATCTATACTTTTTCCATGCGGTTCTTCTCTTTTAATCAGGAATTCTATTTCCGGTTTGTCCTGGATTTGTTAAGAAGAAAAAGAAAGAAAGAAAGAAAGAAAGAAAGAAAAGAGGGGTGAAGCAGTCATCAAGATGTGGTCGGCAAAAGTTTGACGTATCAAGTTATAGCTTGAAGGATTGGTCAAACAGGATTCATGTTATCATAGGCCTCTTTTAGCCAAACCTCGACTTCTGCATCGAATCCAGCTTTGGAAAGCACAAGTCCGCAATAGTTTCCATATCTGGCGCAATTGCCCCGATACTTATACTTTCTGTTACCCAAAGACCAAGTTTGGTACTGGTGAACCAGTACCTTTGAGACGCGGGCCTGCCTCGTCCGCCACCGCTTTTCTTTACCTTCTCATCACCCCCATCTTCCTTCTTCTTCCTTCATCTTCGCGCCGTTACAGTAGTCAAGAGGCAACCCTCTACCACTTGCATCACTTGCGTGAACTGAAGGACTCAGGCAGCACAATTCTCAACCACTTGGCACGTCAACGCAATTACAAGATTATCACCAAAACTAACCAAAGTATAGGCAATAAGCGGCCCCTCAATTTGTTACACATCCTAAAGGAAGCATTATGATTCGAATACGGCATAGTCCTCAACCGACCGATACCAGCTCTTCGTTCTTTTCCGGTGTTCTTAGCAAGGACTCTTTCCCCATATTTATCCCAGGACGCACTCGCCATCGCGGACTGACAGAAACAACATCTGACACCCCCAGCGTCATGCCTTCCCATGCCTGTCAGTTGGACTTGCATCGAAAGCCCACTTGGGCACCCCGGCCTCGGAGAGTCGACTCCCCGACGTCTCCATCGACCATATCGACCGCTACCAATCCTTCAGCGGCCACATCACATTCTGGTTTTGATGGCTACACGGAAGTTTGCAACACCCACAACCAGCCATCATTGAAAAGCCTGCCTCCTGGTGTACCGACAGGCCCGGCTGCAGACCGTAATCGACGAAATCGACTAAATCAACTGTCAGGCCATTGTGGGATCGAAGATAACAGACCTCCTCCGAACGCACCGACTGGCCCGGCAGCCCAACGAGAGCAAGAAGCGAGATTAATCCCATCGCGTGGTTCACTGCAGTTGGAGAGACCAGCCAGGTCTGCTTCATGGTCTCAGTCACTGACTTGGCAAAGCACCGAGACGCAAGCTCGTGAGGCTTTCAGGAGGGCCTCAGCCGAAATGCGGCATCTCGGAATAGACAAGTCGCCCGCAGCCCCCAAGGCATTCGGAGAATACCTGAACACCAGGGTGCATAACATGCAACGCGGTCTTGCTCTGCGAAAGATGCAACAGCAGAAGGCCGACGAGCAACAACGTCATCGCAAGACTAAAGGAGAGGTTGATCAAATGCACCCACTCAGTTCTGAAGCCCTGTTACATCAAAAGCTCTGCTCAGACCGACTCTCTCCGGTGTTCAGTGCCGATCTGTGCTGGAACGCATACTACACGGTGATGGATAACGCACCCCACAACGAGCGTGTTGAATGGCCGCCACTGGCAGCTTTTAAGGAAGCTGGCCGCAGAATTGGGCCCAAAGCTCTCGAACGGTCTCTACCTCTTCCCAGGCAGAATCAGAGCCGAAAGCAGGGACGAATGGTCGAAGGAGATGGCGCAAACGATGAGGCAGGTATGATGGACTATTATGAGAAGTCTATCAAGCTGGACAGACTCGGTCTCTCCCAGCAGCAGTCTCTACCAGAGCCCGAGTTCACTGATACCTACGACATTGAGATCGAAAACCTCTCTGCATGGACTCGCGAGCTAATCGCCGAGATCGAGCTTGAAGAGGAAGAGGAGGAGGAAGAGAACCCGATTGCTGTTCAAGAGAAGGAGAACAAGGACAAGGACGGAGACCTTTGCTTTGAACCGAAGGAATAAGCGACCGGTTCAATAAAACCATAGACGAGACGAGGGGATGACGGCAAAATGGCTGAGATTATAAGGGTGGTGTACGTTGGGTCAAGGTTGCGGAAATGCGGAGAGCACTGGCTAGCCGGCATTGGAAAGGCAGAAAAGAAGCAAGATAGCTCTTCTTCCCGCTACGTTCTTTTGAATTCAGAGGAGAGGAAACAGGAAATAAACGGCGATCAGGATTTGGGAATGGCTGCAGGCAGGATGTCACCTGGGCAGCCGGGTGAGTTGCGCGGAGGGGTTGTCCTCAGACCGAATTACAAGTCGGCATTACCCAGAACAAGAGAGGATGAGGAGACACCGTCTCTCGAGGAATTTGGCAGAGCTTAGAGAGAGACATGCGTTAGTTGCAGTCCAATACCACAAAGTACATTTTCCCATCTGTTAAGGCTTGTGTTGTCAATACTCCTTTGTCCTGTTATCCTCAGAAATGCTTTGTTATCAGGCATTAGCTCAGAGATGAAGCAATGCGCATTATGTATTTGCAACAAGCCGATCTGTTAGATGGAACAAGTCGAAGGTGAATGCTTGCCTAACTCATGGTTCCAAGAGGTCTACACTGTTGGTTGGCACTGCGGTGCACCCCAACGCCATAATATCCACTGACGCTCTTTAAATCAAAGGAGATTAATCATCTTTTCTGTTGATTTATTCTGCCTAATTAAACCAGAAGAAAGCTAGTAGTGAATAGTGATAACAGTGGTTGGGACAAAATCACATCGCGTCAGCTTTGTGTGTGTGTGTATGCGTGTGTGCGCGCACTCGCGTGAGCTATTGATTGATGCCTGACTGCTGAGCATTGGAGTATTGTGCGAGCTTGCTGGAGCTAAAATGGAGCTCTGTTGCTTCCCTGCTTAATCCGAAGTTCAGCCGGTCCAGCTCAGGCAAGAACCGACCGGCAAAAAGGTGGAGGGCTAGCCAAATGCGGTGAGAAGTGGAGATTTTCAGCCTTTTGCTTTCTTCTTGCTGTCCTTCTACCTCCACCCTCCACGACCCAGTCATCAAACCTTTCCTCCACACAAATACCTTACCTGCTCCCTCTTCTCACTACCGCGTCGCCCAACCATCCCCGATTCCATCCTCCTGCTTCTGCGTGTCCTCTTACCGGCATTGTATTTACTTTTCTCCAGGAGCGCATTGGTCTGCAGCCCGATTGTCTTTGTTTTCCTTTCGTTCGTACAAAAAAGGTTGCAAAATCCAAGCTTGGTTGCGTATTTTGCGCAGCCCCTCCCTCTCATCCGAGATGTCAGAATTCTTAGGGTACGAAGACCTGGACCCTCTCTGCGCAATTTCGCTCGACATCCTTGCTGACCACAGACCTATATAGATCTCGCATCTCTCTCATCTCCAAAAGCGACATTCGGTAAGGACCTGGAGGACTCTTCGTTGCTCCCCAGTCCCCTTGCTCATCGCCTCTAGATATGTCGGCGTTCTCCACGAGATCAACTCGGACGAGTCGACCGTCTCGCTTGAGAATGTTCGCTCCTTCGGAACAGAGGGTCGAAGGAGCAGACCCGAAGAAGAGATAGCACCTTCCGATCAGGTTTACGACTACATTATTTTCCGTGGCAGCGATGTCAAGGACTTGAGGATCGAGGATCACCCGGGCATCAAGGAGAACAAGCCTCCCGCGATGCCCGAGGACCCGGCCATCGTTAACGTAAGCATCCGCCGCTCCCTTTCTACCTTCATACCCTTCGGAAACGCCTACTATGATGAAACATTGCGGATGTAAAAATTTATCGTCTTGTCGGAAAAGCGCAACTTACACAATGTCGAAACTTTCCGTTGCCTTCCTTCTGAATCTAGGCCTCACATTGTCTTTGGATATTGGACTACTTAGGACTGGAACACGGCTAATCATGTCAATCAATCCAGGCTCGCCCTCGTCCTGGTCAGGGACCCAGTAATCAGCCACCCCCGGCACCTGGCTTCGGACAGCCTCCATTCCAGAACAATTTCTATCCTCCACCAGGTCCATGGGGCCCTGCTCCTGGGCGTGGCGGCCCTGGCGGCCCCGGTGCAGGAATGGGCGGCATGCCGTACCCTCCCCCTCCTGGATGGTTCCCTCCCGGCCCTCCTGGCCAAGGCTTCCCTCCTGGTCCTGATCAGTGGAACAATTACAACTACCCTCCCGGGCCTGGTGGACCCCCCGGGCCTCTCGGCCCTGGTGGCGTACCTGGCCAGGTCCCTGAGAACCGCGGCACTCCCGGTCCTCACGATGCAAAGTCTGCGCCGACTGGCGCTGCTGGTGACAGGCAGAAGCCCGCCACACCGGCTACTCAGGGTGCTCCCAGCGACTCTAAGCCAGCTCCCCCCCCTGGTTTCCAGCAGGCGGCCGCACCGACACCTCCCGTCGAGTCGAAGCCTTCTGCGGCAGAAGTGAAGGCCACCGCCGCATCCTTGAATACGACCGGCTCCTCGAAGCCGGTCGAGCTTCCCGTGCCCACAGGACCAAGGAACGTCGCTCGTGTCCAACCAGCTGTCCCTCTAGCTGGATCTATGCCCAAGGCATTCCCCGTTCCTGTCAACGACAGCAACGCCGGTCAGGCCGCCCCTAAGCCTGCTGCCGCCCCCACTGCCGCCAGTGTGCGGGATGCTACTGAGGCCGCGAAGGCAGCTGTCGCTTTGGCCATGGCTAATATGAATGCCGGCAACGTTGCCGTTCCCACCGCACCCCAGGGTAACGGCAATGCGATGGACAACTTGACGAAGAAGGTCAACGAGATGAGGGTCAACGCAGCCCGAACCACCCAGTCTGGCGGTGGTCGTGGCCGAGGTCGTGGTGGAAGACAAGGCCAGGCCAAGGTCGAGGTGCCTGATGCGGACTTTGACTTTGCCCAGGCCAATGCCAAGTTTAACAAGGACGACTTGGTCAAGGAAGCCATCGCAGGTTCGCCTCTGGGCGAGGCTCCTAACAACGGAACCGCAACTGAAGCTCCTGCTGCCGAGGTTCCTGGCACTAACCCGCCTGTTGCTTACAATAAGACACGGTCATTCTTCGACAACATTTCAAGCGAGGCCAAGGACCGAGCAGACAACAACGGCCAAAAGCCTGGCGGTCGTGAATGGCGCGGCGAAGAGCAGCGTAAGAACATGGAAACCTTTGGTCAAGGCAGTGTTGATGGCGGCTACCGAGGCTTCCGAGGCAGAGGTCGCGGCCGTGGCCGAGGAGGCTATGGTGGTCGTGGTGGCGGCGGACGTGGCGGTTTCCGTGGCCGTGGTGGCCAGGGTGCTGCCGGCCCTGCCGAGAACTAGGCATATCCCGTGCCTATAGCGTACTGTTGCTGCAAGCAACCCATATTGGGAATTCACAATCTGGACCGCCAAACAATCATGATTTTGATGGACGCTTCTCTAGCTTTTGGATGGAGGCGCGTCTCGGGAAGGAAATCCTTTCAAACAGGACTTTGTACGATGTATTATTCCTTGATTCTCGATTTTTCTCGGATTCCCTTGGCGACGGAGCATTGGGCTGGCAAGTCCTTTGAATTGGTTTGGCCAGGCGGGCAGGAATCATAGGACTGCTATTTTGACATGCATGGGATCGGAAGGAGTTGGGCAGTGATTGCTGCAAGCGACGGGAGCTGCGGTCTCATGATTGCGAAGTGACGACAAAGGGAATTCAGGCGTGGGTAGCAAGCATTGCGTTCTCATTTGCTAGTTGAACTGGGCAGAGATCCCGGATCAACACGACCTGACGGCAGAGAAATGTCTGCTCTCTGGAGGTCGATAAGGGGGACCAACACAAGGGATTGCTAATCCCTGGATAACTTATGAGGAAATGAGAAAAGAAGATTCTTTTCTTTTTGGTGGTAGAAGGATTCTAGCGTTAGGCTACAAGCGTGAGACCCTTTGAGGTCTTGTTTGCACACCAATACTACTACGCCAGCCACCAGACATGCATGCGCACGTTGCATTCTGAAGCGATTTGATTGTCTACAGCCGGTAGCATACTCATTGTGGTCTGGTGAATTGCTGCTGCTTGTCTCTGTCATCTACCTTTGCTAGGTAGGTAGTCAAGGGAGCTCTGTTGGTAGACGTGAAGTGGTTAATTTGCTTCTGTGAAAAGCGCTGACCCAGGGGGGGGGGGGGGGTGGGCTGAAAACTGAGAGCTGTGTAACTTGCCCCGCCAAACCCCGCCACATTATACCACACGTCATGCTGGCACATTTTCCGGTGTGACGCATCATTGCCCGACTTGGTGCTGACAAGGAACTCTTCTGTTCTGCAAACCAACTGCTCTGCAAAAATCTTACCTCCAATCTCCAGCTCTACCAATTATCATTGTTTCCAAAACCAATTGAACTGGGTATCATCACCATGTCGAGTCGTCAGCTTCGCAAGCTGCAGAAGCAGAGGGAGCTTGAGCAGCTGCAAGAGGCCAAACCTGCCACCGAGGAATCCAGCGATGACGAGCCTGAAACTGCAACCATCAAGCCTCGGCAGAGCTTGTTCGCAGCTCTAGGCGGCGGAGAAGACGAAGACGACGATGATGATGACGAGGAGAAGCACGGCAATGAGCAGGAGGAAGCTCAGCCGGAATCCGAGCCAGAGGCAGTGTCTCAGCCTGCCAAAAAGAAGAACAAGAAAAAGAAGAAGAAGGCGAAGAAGGCTTCGACGCAAGACCAAACCGCAAAGGTTCCGGAAGATAAGGAAGACGAAATCGACCGGGCGCTCAAAGAGCTTAGCATCGCGCGTAATGCAGGCTCAGCCGCCTCCGATAACCTTGCGCAACGAAGTCGCGACGTCGACGAACTCCTGCAAATCAACACCCAGTATCTCAGGGCCATCAACGAGATGCGCGCCCTATTTGGAAAGGAGGCAATCCAGGCCGCACAGGAAGAAGAACGGGCCGAGCAGGAGGCTGCGCGCCGAGCACAAAGAGGTCCCAACCAGCAGGTTGACCTGGAGACGGCACTTCGAGGGGATCCACGCAAGAAGCTTCCAGAGGTATCTCTACGGAGAAACGTCTTCATCCAAGGCAAGGACACTTGGCCACGCGCCACTGCGGCAGGTTTGATTATGAAGGAAGTCAGGAAAGGCTCGGACGGTCTCGTCGAGTTCGCTTTTGTGCACGAGCAGGCATACGATAACGTTCAGATCATGTTCTTCAGCAGCGTCCAGCTCGGCGACCCCATGCAGATGGTCCAGCTTCTGATGCAGTTCCCGTACCACGTCTCGACCTTGCTTCAGGTCAGCAAGGTTGCCATCCAGGACCAAAACCAGGCGCTGGCGGCAGACCTTTGCGAGCGGGCATTGTTCACATTTGGCCGGGCTACGACATCTGCTTTCAGGCAAAAACTAGAGCAGGGCAAGGCCCGGCTAGACTTCCGCCGCCCAGAAAATCGCGAGCTTTGGCTCGCCGGATACACTTACCTCAAGAGCCTGATTCGCAAGGGAACCTACCGGACAGGATTGGAGTGGGCGAAGCTGCTGTTTAGTCTCAACCCGAATGACCCTTACGGAATGAAGTACTTCATCCACACACTGGCGATTCGGGCACGCCAAGCGCAATGGCTCATCGATTTCATGAACACACACGAGTTCGTGGCGGACGAGACGGACGATACGTACCTGAAGCAAACGCTGGTTCTCGCGAAGCTTCAGGTAGGCGACACCGATGGAGCAAAGATAGCGGCAGTGGCCGGCATGGAGCGTCTGCCGTGGCTCTACTGTGCCCTCTTCCAGGCGTTGAACTTAGAAGCGCCGCCTCCCTTGTGGGGTGTACGACCCGACACCAACGAGCGTGAGTTCTGGACGAACCTCTACATTCACCAAGCCAAAGATATCTGGAACAACTCGCAAGCCATCGACCTGCTCAAGGACGCTGTCAAGGTGGCGCAGAAGCCCACCCGAACTCTCCCGGAAGATATGCCGGCAGACAATCGCACAGCCAGATGGGCGTGGTTGGAGGACACCCCGAGTTTGCTGAGTGGCATTCCAAGGGCGATGCTTGCGCGGGAACCCAACTACGCCTTTGACCCGCTCCCGCCGCCAAAAGAGGAAAATATATTTACGAGCCAGGGTGTCCAGATGCCCTGGCGGCAAGGCGGCGAGAATGGGGAACGGGAAATGCTTGCACAGGAGCGAGCACTCATCAATATGATCCGGAGACAACAGCTAAGAGCCGGGGCGCGAAGAGGAGCTGCTGAGCCGGGTGTCGGTGCAGCGGAAGCCATGATGGGTGCGTTCCCAGGGGATGATGACGATGAAGAGGGTGGGGAGTTCGGTGATGCTTGGGAAGGCGCCTTCAGTGACGGAGATGATACCGAGTTTGAGGGCGATGGGCACCAACCTGCTTCCGCCGGTGTAGTCCAGCGACTTGCCGACATGCTAGCGTCTATGATACCCGGCGGATGGCCGGCCGAGCCGGCTGATGGGGACGATGAACATTCAGACCCGGAAGACGACGAGCTGCCTCCTTTGATCGATGGTGACGAGGATATTGACGATGGCCGGCAGCAGCATAGCGGAAACCAGCCATAGTAAAGATGGGTAGTGCTTGTCAGGACACTCGCCCATGCATTAGATTGGTCCGTTTTGATGGCACTCGTGCATAAGGCAATACTAGACACACAACATCCATGGCGACAAAAAGAAGACAAACATATGAATAAACCCAACTGCTAGTAACTCAATGTGCTACCTATGTTTGTTATCCAACAGTCGAATGTGAAGCGTCACACGCACACACAGACCCCGGCCCCTGCACGGAATGGCTAACAGACGGGTTCGACCGCACGCAGTATCCATAGCCCAGAGGGTCGGACAGCACGGGACAAGCCTCGGAAACGCAGCTGAAGCTTGGGAACAGCAAGACTTTAAGAAGCAACATCGATCTGGGGGGTAGCATCTGTTTCTGGGACAATGCGAGCTCGAAGACGGTGTCCAATATCCAGGGCATGTGCCCCCAAATGAAATGTGCTCACTCAGTACGGCGGGACTGGGTCCGTTTCAGGGGGAATGTTCAGCATAGGAGAAAGCGCAGCGTCGGGGGGGGGGTACTGAAGTGAGCAAGTTTCAGAAACGAGACCCTAGGGGGATGGCGACCGATTAGGCGCTAGCTAGCCAGTGTGGGTGGGAGTGAGCTTGTCGATGGTTATTAATAATGCGATGCCAGTGTCTACCTGTTTGGGACTGCTTGGAACGGATATATAATCAACACCAGGTCCGTCTCACACAGCCTGCTAGTTTCTGACTGGTTCTCCTGTTCTGCTTTTTCCAATAACGATACCCCCCTTTCCCCCTTTCTTTCACTTTCCCGTTCGAGTACCACCGTGGTTCGCCTCCCTAAAACGACCGAGACTGTGATCCGCTAGCGGGACCTCTCTACCAACCTACCTCAAAACGACATTGGAGCTCCTGCCCCTCCTTTATTTATTCACCCCGCCAAAAACGCCCATACCGCAAACTCTCCCAACTACACACCGCCAAACCCCTCCACGCCGACTTCCCACGACACGCGACAAACCATATCCAACATGTCCGAGCATACTTACAAGTTCAACGTCAGCATGAGCTGTGGCGGCTGCTCTGGTGCCGTCGACCGTGTGCTGAAGAAGCTTGAGGGTACGTCTTTACTCCCCATGGGCGCCACATGTCCTACCTTGCCGATCCGTATGTTCGCCTAGCAACCCCCGCGTCCCGGGGGAAGCGCCGGTGAAGGTCACGTCACATTATAGAGATGATGGGATGAACTTTCGACTAACCCGGCATGTTCCAAACAGGCGTCAAGTCCTACGAAGTCTCCCTCGAGACCCAGACCGCCACCGTCGTCGCCGAGGAGAGCCTGCCGTACGAGAAGGTTCTCCAGACCATCGCCAAGACGGGCAAGAAGGTCAACTCTGGCAGCGCCGACGGCGTCGAACAGAGCGTCGAGGTCGTTGCCGCATAAATCTGATGCTAAAGGAGTATGGCCAGGGGAGTCGGGAGATCGGAAACGAACTCGAGAGCGCGCGAATCATGCCTTGACCGGCCTCTTTTTGGGCGAGGGGTTTTTTCTGTCTGGGACTTTCGGACGCGTGGTATAGAGCACAACGCTGCGCCTAGAACTTGCTTTTACGTACTTTTCGAAAGCCAATGAAACAAACAAACAAACAAACGAGACACATGTTTTAGCTGCCGAGACCCATGGCGCAGAGGCCGTAGCTTCAAAGACGGGTCTTGAGATTCCATGTTGCTGATACCACAAGTGTGCAGGGTTATTGTCAACATGAACCACGCCCGTCGAACGCTCCGCCTATCGAAGTGATTATTGCTCATTGCTTACTGCTGTTGCACTTGGTACATGAAAACTGGCGTTGTGGACATACTAGCCGAAGTCCTTGTAGGGATTCGCTTTGGTCCGTGATACCCTCATTCGGCACAGGGTGTTGTTTGCAAACCGAATCATGGATTCCCGGTCGAGTCGTTAATATACCTAGCCCGACAACGCCATAGGGGCTTTGCCAACGTTGCCACCGAAGTTCCATATTTTGGCATGGCCTGGTTTCACTCTCCGAACCGTCTCATGAACATTTTCCCGTTCTAGACCCGGGCTCCAAGCTGGTTGAAGCCGACTCGGAATATTGCCTCGGGTCTTTGATTGCGGCCCATGCACATCTAACAGCAATCGGGAAAAGGCAGCAACCGTGCATCCTAGTGCAAGTTGCTCGTACGTTCGTGCGAACTTGCCCGTTGCACCCTTCTTTAATTGGCTTACGTCAATTATAAACACGGGAAGGTCCCCCCGCTCCAGAGAAACATGCCAAGAAACAGGTAAAGAGTACAGTACTGTAAGTCAGCAAGGTCCGGCTTCCAAAAGGCATCCACTTGCCAGAAGCTGGTTCGGTCGAGCATCAAGCTGCCGGACTCACCCCTTCTTGAGTATTCCTTTTCGCGGTCTCTCTCTCACGAGATGGGCATTCCATCCACACAGCTGTATAGCGATGGGTAGGGCTGCTGTCGGGATCGAGCTCAGTCATCAGACCCTCGAGAGGACACACTGCTGATCCTGATGCCTTATCCAATGGCACCCGCCTGATGCAGCATGAGTCTGGGGGACACGTGGAATTGGGGGCCCTGAAAGTGATGCAGAATGCCAAAAAGACGACAAATTAGAAACAAAAGTGACCAAACGACGGAGCTCAGTCCTCAGAGTACCCACGCCCGCTGCATCGCGCCACCCGGGGGACCGGGGCAGGTGCATCTGCAAACGTCATATTGCGCCGCGGGGTTGCTGGGAGGGAGGGTTGGTATCCGCACAAAGCGCCGTGATCGTCGTGGCCAGATGCTGTTTCGCGGGGTCAATCCCTTTCGCAGAGCACCTGGGATACGTCGCGAGGTACGGTATGAATGGCTAAGTAGAAAGGCTACAAATGACGAGCCACGCGCCTGAAATGGGTGGCGGTACCCGTTCCCCGTTCCCCGGTTTTTTTTTTTTGTGTGTGTGTGAACGACGTGCCTCAGATGCTTGTGCCGCTCAGATGAAGCAGATGCTTGTACCCTTACCATTAGTGCCTGCCTGAACCTCTCACATCTTGTCTGCATGAGACCGTTAGGTTGCAGCTTCTCGACGATTCGGTATTAATGCCCTTTTACCCTCCCTGCTTGATGCCACCCTGAATTCAAATCCACCGTCCTTCGGTTTTCCGGCAATAGCCTGCTTCAGCCCAAATATAACAACACTTGCATGAAGAACCGAGTTCTGTAATCGAACCACACTGTCTAACCTTTCCCATCTCACATAGGGGGGGAAAAAGCACACCAATTGTAGTAGACTCGCAACACCAATCCCTCTTAACCTTCACCATGGGAACACCGTTCGTCTCCTTTCTCGAGCCGACCCGGCTAGACGCCTACATCCGCGGCGCGCCGCATGACGAGCAGCCGGCGGCGATCCCCAAGGGGTTTTGCGACGCCATGGAGGTGCGTGAGGTTGTCTTCGTAGAGGAGCAAAAGGTGCCTGCCGAGAATGAGTTCGACGCCGACGACAGCCGTGCATGCCACTGGGTCGCCTACGCCTCCGTCAACAAGGTCGTCGAGAAGGAGGTCCTTGACGCTGCCGGCAACATCGCCAAGCCCCGCCGGAGCAGCACGCGCAGCACCCCCATCGGCACCATCCGCCTCGTGCCCTTTCCCCACGCCCCACACCCCAAGAACGGGGGCGTTTACTGGGACGGCGAGCTCAAGGAGGACCCGGACGCGGCGGAGCCGTCAGGGAACACCACGACAACGACAACGAGTCCGGCCGTTGAGCAGCAGGCGGAGACCGCGGCGGAACACGTCGGTGAGGAGAGGCGGGTGTCGGTGACCAAGGTCTGCGTACCCGACCGCGCGACGAAGCTACACGACGGGAAGGAGCCCTACGTCAAGCTGGGCCGGCTGGCCGTGGTGCCGGAGTTTAGGGGCCACCGGATCGCGAGGTTGCTGGTGACGACGGCGCTGGCGTGGCTGCGGGCGCACCCGGGCTACTTCAACCCCAGCATCAAGGAGATGGGGCTCGAGCAGATGGGCGCCGCGAGCGCCGAGGAGATGCCCAAGTGGAAGGGCCTCGTGTGCGTGCACGCGCAGGCGGCCGTCGTAGGCGCCTGGGAGAAGTTTGGGTTCCAGGTGGACGAGGACATGGGGACCTGGTGGGAGGAGGGGATCGAGCATAACGGCATGTTTCTGCGGCTGGAGTTCGAGGAGGAGACGCCCGTTCTCTGAGGCAGGTCGTGAGGTTTATGAGGGGGGGGTGTAGACTATTATTGAAAAGGAAAGGGGAGGGAGGTTGAGGTGCCGTCGAGCTGGCCCCGGTGCTGGATGGGCCAGCCTGAGGGTTTTCATGATTTACGATTCACCATGACTGCTTCGTTACTTTGTTGGACCATGGGCCGTAATAATTCCCCTAACAGCCATGGCAGTGATAACAGAACTCCACCATATTTACGCAAAGTATTGATACTGTTCCAAGGGCAGAACAGTGAGTGGGATCAATCACCGGGGCGTTTGGCACGCTCGTATTTTGGGCAAGGGTCAGCTGTGTAGGAACAAAATGTTGGAGATTGATTGTATTTCCCCCATAGCATACGGAGTACATGGTCATGATAATCATGATCATCTCACGTGGCAGCGTGAGCCGGCGGCGACCTCGACCGATCTCGGGTGGGAAAAGATGGGCTGGCGGGCTGGCGGCAACCCCCATCGACATTGGACCAGGGATACACACATTACACACCAAGGGGAGGGGAGGGGACGCGGGGTATTGATCATTTGCTCTGACGAGCCTTTGGCTTGTATTGGAAAAAGCCACCGTTAGAAGCCGTTAAGAGACAAGATGCCGTAGTCGCGTTTCCCCCTCCCCAATATCCCGAACGCGCAAATGCAAAGTAGGTCAGCGCATCAAAGACACCGGCTTCTTTTTCTTTTCTCTGTTCGGGGGACGATGAAGAAAAAAAGAGACGTTGAATTCTGCCCTGTTATGTAATACCACGCCTCCGTTGATTTGTCCCCCAAAAAGCAGTTTTTTGACGTCTCTCCAGAGAGAGATGGGAGACCCATCTTCCTTAAACAGGTCAACCCCACCTCCCAAATCTCCAAAGCGTGATGGGGGAAGGAGGTATGTATTCCACAGCTCTCCCACAGCCCCCAAGACACAAGCACAAATTTTCCTCCCGGCCAACAGAGTTTGTCGTGGCCCACACGCGATGGTGCGGGAAAAGGCGAAAAAACAAGGTAAACCCTTTACCGGTTGGACTTGGCGACACGCTCCAGCTCATCCTTCTTCTTGATGGCGTACGAGTTGCTGCTGCCCTTGGCGGCGTTGATCAGCTCCTCAGCCAAGCACTCAGCAATGGACTTGACGTTGCGGAAGGAGGCCTCGCGGGCACCAGTGGTGAGGAGGGAGATGGCCTGGTTGACACGGCGCAGGGGGGAGACATCGACGGCCTGGCGACGGACGGTACCGGCGGAGCCGATACGGGTGGAGTCTTCGCGGGGACCGCAGTTGACAATGGCGTCGACGGCGATCTGGATGGGGTTCTGGTCGGTCATCAGGTGGATCTGTGTTGAAAAAAAAATAAGTGTTAGTCCATATGTTGTCCTCAAATGGCCTGGTTCCCCGTCGGAGGGTTTGGGGGTTGCGGTGTGCGTGGGCAACGTACGATCTCGAAGGCGTGGGCAACAATGCGGACAGCCATGAGCTTCTTTCCGTTGTTGCGGCCGTGCATCATGAGGGAGTTGGTGAGACGCTCAATGATGGGGCAGTTGGCCTTGCGGAAGCGCTTGACGGCATAGCGGCCAGCGGAGTGGGTGACGTAGACGGGGTTGCGGAGGGAGATGTAGTCACTATTGGATTCGATTCCCAATTAGCCTCTGAAGACTTTGTTTGTCTTGTTCCTCTCTGGTGTTTTCTGTGGTCATTGATTTTCCCGATGTCCAGTTGCGCGTGTCCCAGATTGCCATTTCCAATCGCATGTCTTTGGTTGTTCCGTCTCTTTCTCGAACCGTATCTCGCGCGCGGAAGGAGAGGAGGGGAAACTGTCGTAAAAGTCCATGGAGGGGGGGGGGGGGGGAGGTAGAGGGGGACTCACGTCAGAGAGATGTCCCGGACCTCAACATCGTAATCCCACTTGTTGAAAAGCTTGACGTTGCCGACCTCCTTGACGACGTCCTTGGGGAGGACATCGTAGGTGCCCACGTTCTCGACCTCGATATCGCCGCCGTCAGACATTTTCGCTCGACCTTTTGGGGGTTAGTAACCTTTGGGGAGGGAGGGAAAGAAAGTCGAGAAGCTTGGGTGGGAAAATGTGGTGGTCGTGGTTGAAGTTGTCCAAGTGCGAAAGGGACGGCCGCAGAGTGGGTTTCGATTTTCCTACTCGGCTCGCTTTGCGTTGGTGAGTGAGGAGCCCAGGGCTTGTGTGGCCAGCTCCAGTCAAAAAAACGCCTTCTGCCAGCCAGCGAAATATTTTTTCCAGACTTGGTGTGCATTCCGACCAATCATAACACCCGCTGCGTAATGGTAAGACCCACTACCGCGAGGGTTGCTGCCCTCGGGCAGCCGAAGGGCGGCCAGGAGGGGTGGCCAGAAGTGGCACCTCTTTTCAGCAACCTCATACAATTGAAATTCCTACTCCCGACGACCTAGGTGCCTGTTGAATTCCGACCGACGACATCACAAATCAGACAAAATGGTACGCCCCGCGAGTCGCCCTCTCCTCCTCCGCGTGCGCGCGTAGAACGCTGCACCCTCTCAGGCGAAATGTTTGTGTGCTGACTTATTTGGATGTAAAGGCGCCAGCTGCAGGAGCTAAGAAGCAAAAGAAGAAGGTTCGTTGCAACTGAGTTCCCTCACCGTGTCTATGTGACAAAGCCAAAATCGCTGACTTGTTTGTGATAGTGGTATGTATAAATTCAGTTGCGCGCGAGAGAAACACTTGGCGAGAATACCGATCGATCATTGTGCCTCGGACGACGCATGGCCCCTTCCATCCATCGCAGCCGACTTACCTATTCCACAGGTCCAAGGGAAAGGTCAAGGACAAGGCCCAGCACGCCGTCATCCTCGACAAGGCCACCTCCGACAAGCTCTACAAGGATGTCCAGTCCTACCGCCTGGTGACCGTTGCCGTCCTGGTCGACCGTCTCAAGATCAACGGCTCCCTCGCCCGGAGATGCCTTGCCGACCTCGAGGAGAAGGGCATCATCAAGCCCGTTGTCATGCACAGCAAGATGAAGATCTACAGTACGTCGAGAAACCCTCCCTCTCGTGTGCCGCGCTAGTGTGCATCCTACGAAGATGAGCCCACCAACTGACACTTATCCAGCCCGTGCCGTCGGTGGAACTGACTAAGCCACGAACGTGGTACGCGTGACGACAAACAAAAAGCAACGGGGATCAAGGGACGGATTGGGTCATATCTGCCTAGTCAGGAGGCTTTACAGATGCTCGATGTAGCACTATACCTTGGGCCTTAGGGATCGGATTTGCTTAGCATCGCAAATGGAACGGAGTTGATACGTACATTTGCCGTGTCGTCGAATAGACCATGATCACGTCCAGACGTCTCCCATGATTACAGCCCCAGTCATTAGCCTTGTTTTCAGTGTGTACATCATTCGTTCGACCGCAGTGTTACAATCCAACCGACGTTATTTCGCAAGAGTCGAGGAAACCCCTTTCCACATGTGCCTAGAACTGTGGAATCGCCCACGGTCTTGGTGATTAGCCAGTTAGCATCTTGCTACGCCGGCAAGACATTGTGGCCGTCATAGAAAGAAAGCTTCTAAGCACAAATCTAAACACGGCGTGGGACGCGTCACTTTTCGTACTTGATCACCGATGGATGGATGGGTGGTCGTCTTTGACAGTCACTAAGGACGAGAACTAATTCTCTGGCAATGGCACAACGTCACTTCTCGACAGCCCACGGGCCGTGCCTCTCTCTCTCTCCGTCCGAGTCTGTAGCGTTCCGATTCATGGTTCAATGTCACCCCACTTGGACACCGAGCGCGACAGAGCGGCGGCAATGCCCTTCGCCTTTTGCACACGTTCATGCTAGCCGCGGGAAAGGCCAACAATTGGCAGTGGAGCGTAGCGCTTGGTGGGCTGATCCGAGTTGTCCTAGCATCAGAGCTCACATGTGAATAGAGAAACCATTCCAGTAAGTTCTAGACGGCCGGACGGGTTGGCTCCCCCTTCTCGGACGCCGCTAGGAAACTTTGACTGTCGGCAACAATGTCCTCAGCCGACAAAAGGACAACTGTGTGAAGGGTAGCGATACTGAGCTCATCTTGCCGCCAAGTGCATCTATTGATGGGCTCTACCCCCCCCCCCCCCCCCCCCCCCCCCCGAAGAGTACACTACCGTATCCTCTGAGCAAATTGGCCAACCGCTAATTCTCGGGCTAACGGTAAAGGGGAAAGTGGCCGCTCATAGCGCTAAACCTATCAGAGAAAGCGGTCAACATACCCACCTATCCACCCACCTGCCCACTTGCCCATTATTTACTGTTCTTACGCCTTAACTTCCTGCTGACGTAAATGACTAACCCCTGCTTTTGCCTTTCTAGATCCCTGTTTCTGCCAGCACGCTAGCCCTTATCTGGTGGCCGCGATACTCTTTGCCGTTAGCCTGAGAATTAGCGGTTGGCCAATTTGCCCAGAGGATACGGTAGTCCGTTCGATGGGGGGGCAAGGCGATAAATATTTTTTGTGCAGGGAAGTGGGGGCGGTTAATCTATCATTCGCTTGAGGAATTACTCGCGTCCGCGGTTTGATGCATCGGGGACGTCAGCAGCACGATAACGGGCACCTGCGTCATTGCTAGTCATTGGCGGGGCTTATCATGTGTGGTGAGTTCAGTGGCACGATGCTGTTCCTTGGTTCTAGAAGCGTGGGCGAATCCGAGGGGAAATGGAATGGGTTTCGAGGCGCAAGGACGGGGCCGGACGCGGAGATACAGTTGCGAGATTCTCCCGGGGTCCAAGTCCGCCGCCCGAGGTGTCAGTCGGATAGGCGAGAGGTCAAAAGTACAGTGGAAGGGCTCGGGAGCGGGTTTTGGGTTGACGAGATTGAACAGATTTGTTGGCGGCTGGGCGGTTGAGCGGGTCTTCCCAGACGCTTTGGCCGAGTTTTGAGGTGTTTGACCAGGAAGTCAAATTGATTAGGGCGGTCCGAAATTTGATGTCATGTCGAAATTGCTAGAGTCGCGAGACGCCCCCTTTTTTTTCGCTTTCCCCCTCCTACAAGGCGTTACATTCTTGGAGGGGTTGACAGAGATGAGTAGTGATGATGGGAACCAAAGGTTGCATGTACCTAGGTACATGGGCTCGTCGTAGCGCGGCTCATGTGCACCGAGCCCTTTGGGGAGCAACGGTCCGCCGGGACGGGTGAGCGAGTGAAGGGGGGAAGGAATCAACTTCGACTCTTTGGGCGGTTGGCTGACTAGGGGGGATTTCCAGGGTCTCGTTCGAACAAAGGAGCGGCACATGATGCGGCTGCAACAGCCTCCAAGCCAGGCGCGAACGTCATGTGGTAGCTGACGAATGACAGGGCGGGAGGGCCGTATGGCACACAGCTGACTGGCTGGTTGGGGGTCGAAGGGGGGGGAGGGAAAATCGAACAGCTGGACGGGCCGGATCTCTTTGGTTCGTTTCGGAGGGGAGAGGGGGCGGCGTAAGAACATCTGAAGAAAGCGCAATTTGCTGGCATGACGGAGGAACGAGGTGGGATGAGATGGGGGATCAAGGCATGTCAGGGGGATCTATCCGGAGTACCCAAGTGTTGGCGGGATGGACGATGCCTGCCTACCATACCATTACCATACCATACCACATCGTGCCTACCCAGGTACAGAAGCCCGCATGCAGGCCTGCCCGTTGTCTGGTAGGTGCACGATGCAATCGTAGTTTAGGTCGCCGTCGATTAGGTAGATGCCGCCCGTACCTGGTTCGTATTCCACAGGCTGCCATGTTGGTCGTGGAGATGGACGGATTGCCCCAAATAGGCATTCCAGGGTTCAAGATATGTACAAGGAGCACTCCACTGGTGCCAGTCCAAGCTAGGTAGGCACGAATGCGAATGCAAATGCAGATGCAGATGCAGAATGAAGGATGTGGATGCACAGACGGACGGATATTCCCTTTGAGCAAGAAATTGCTCTCTTTCTCTGGACCGACGCGCGAGACTACCGTAGAATATCCCAACCGCCTTGGCTACCTACATACCTCAGCCTCTCCTCTCGTCGTCCCCCATCCCATCCCGTCATCCCATCCCATCTCATCCCATCCCATCCCATGTGGCTTGGAGACTAAGACAAAGTATCCTTGGGCCCTACCAGCCAGTCAGTCAGTTGGTCAGTCTTAAACTCGAGACCCGAGTATCGTCAGCAGGCGGTGGGTGTATGTATTTAAAGGCCAGTGGCCCCAAGAGTTGAGCATTGGGCCATTGGTCGAGGCTGCAACAAGGTCTCAAACACGCCCCCTCCATTTCATGCTCTCGATCCCGCAAGTGAGGTGTCCTTTTGGGGGTTAGGTACTCCATACATAGTAGTGCTAGGCATTCCCACCCAGACAGAGGCTTGACAGCGAGGTGTCAGGAGGGCTGGTTCATGCGCTTCCATGCGGGCCACTTTGTTCACCCGGCCACCGTCACTTCACCTGCGGTGCCTTTTAGATTTGGATCGCCTGTCCCGGTCAGGTCGCATGAACATTCGCTCTGCGCCCAATTGACTGGGTCTCGAGGCCTTGCCCTTTGCAGCTGATTGCAGATGGCAACCTGGTAATTGCACGCTCCACCACGGCACCCAGGCATTTGAATTGTGTACAGTACGGTACCGACTTACCCACTAGGTATCTCATACTGAGATACCTAGGTATCTGGTGCGGTGCAATCGCAAAATGGCCCTATTCTGCCTCATTGTCGCAATTCACCTGAAGGGGAACAAGATGAGAGATGATGCGGGATGCATGGCAAGCAAGCAAGCAAGCAAGCAAGCAAGCATCAACCAGTTTTACCCACGCATGCCGATACACCACCCAAGTAGCCAATCTATTTACCTACCTACCTCAGGTACTTATTGATTTTGTGATTTATTACTGCATAGGTACCTAGGTAGGTAGGAGCAGTATACACACTCCTGCGGCATAGGTACGCAACTGGCAGGAGGATCCCGTCGCGTACTTACCTTAGGTAGGCATTAATCGGGTACACCGTCTCCAGACCTGTCTCCTCCCTACTGTGCGCGTGCGCGCACGCCGCCCGTACCTGATCCTTTCCCCTTCTCGGCCTGTGATCTCCAAGATGGCCAACCAAGTGATGTGCACCAACTGGCCCGGACGTCAGGCACCGCATCCGCCCTGTCTTACATCTCCTGCTCAGTCCTCGAGTCTGACTGCCGCCGTTTACGGATGGTCGAGGAACTTAGACCGTGGCCGGGTTTACCCACGTAACGTCCTGCTCCTCTCGGCCTCCCACTTCCAAGTACAAAGTCCACAGTCCATCCCGCATCTTAAAACCTCCGGTGTTCATATCCCGACCTTAACTTCCTTGCTACTCATCCTTGGCTCGCTCCCCTTCTTCTGATTCTTCTACGTCTCCTTCTTCTTCTTCTACTGCTACTGCTACTACTACTACTCCTTCCAACCCCCACCTTTCTGTCTCTCTCTCACACTCTCCCTCCCTCCCACCATCAGCGATCCCCTTTTCCCCTGCCGCTCGCAGACTGCAGACCGAACTAGTACTCGCCCACCTCCCCTCCGCTTTTCTTCCCGAGCGCAATAGACATACCACATCCTCGCGTACCTTGGTCCGTTTCTTCCTTTGCGGCCAAAAGACATCATCGCCCTATCACGTCTTCCAACTTGCTCCAGCGCACAGTTTTACCTACCCGCCTGCTCGGTTTGCGACCTGGGTTCCAATAATCACCCTGTCGATACTGCCAACCACTAGTTGCCGATCACCCTCCCTTTCGGTCGACCCGTTTATCACTTCCTGGTTGCGAGCCATCTTTCCTTCCAACCTAACCCCCCAAACTGTTTTCAACCTTTTTTTTTTCTTTACGACCGTAACAACCGACAAAATGGCACACAACATGACCGACGCTGAGCTCGACAACGACTGGCAGCCCAACGGCCGCCGCCCCCAATCGTGCGTACCAACCACTGGGCCCAAGGCCGAGTAAGCTACTCTGAGCTGCCATGCTGACTTCGTCTGTACAGCACCATCGCTCGCTCCTTCTCCCAAGAGCTTGCCGACATTTTCCGCCTTGACGACCCCGTCACCGATCTCGACGAAAAGATTGACCAACGGTATGCTGCCCTGTGACGTGCCTGAAGCTGTCAATGCGTATTGTCATCCTCACAGCCATTCAATCGCTTTGCTGACAGCTTCGTACGTAGAAAGCAAATTGTCCAGAGCCAGACAAGCGAGCTCGAAGCTCTAGAGCGTCGCATTCGCGAAATGGAGGAGCGGTTGAAGAGCAACGGTGGCAACTTGCAAACGTCTTCCAACCAGCCGGCCGCTGCTGAAGCTGCCACGCCCGCACTGTCAAAGGAAGCCCAGGAGAAGGCTAGGTCACGACCAGGTACGGCGCGCCAAAACCAGCCTCATGCCCCGTCTTCGGCCAACATGCCGCCCACGCCTACTGCCAGTGAAGGTGAATACGAATTCGTCGGCAAGGATGACCTTGACGACCACCCACCCCGACACTGAATCGCTGCATTTGACACTTCCAACTCGTACAATGCCCACAATACCACGTCTCGCCCGAGATTCCCTTTTTTTCCCCCCCGTTCCCCTCAACATGACCGTTTGCACCGAAGAAACCATCAGTCATCTATTTTATGAGGCCACGGGAAATGCTAACCATTGCTCGTTTTGTTCCATCAGACGGCGACCGCGACCAGGCATGAGGATAGACGTCACTCTTTAGACTGCGACAACCGACTCTTTACCTGCCTGTTCAAAGCTCATTCCGCATATACCCGCACTCCGCGATACCATGGCCTTACCCAATCATCGGCAAATTGGATTTTCGAGCCTCCTCCACCACAGAAAGGTCCTTACGTTGGCTGGTATGATCTCTCTTGGCATAAGATCATGCCGAGGATCACACTACGTCATGGGGTGCCACTCGCCACACCCGCCGCAAAACTGCTCTTTAGGGCGTTAGAAGCATGATTTCCTGTTTCACCGCGACATCTTTTGCAGCTGGGTTTTCTTCGTTTGCTAGCCTGATCGGTTCAGCACTTTTTTTTTTTCACATCACCAAGTCAGTGGAGTTGTAGCATGCATGAGTGAGTGCATCGGCCTCGCGGGTCCGATGCCCTGTGATCATCCATGTAATATCCAGGAGCGAGAAGAGCTGCCTCTGTAAATACCAAAGCAAGGACTGGAAATTCATCTCTGATTCGTTTTGAGCAACTGGGAAGATCGAAGCATTCCCCTGGCTGCCGAGTCGCGCACTTGTCAGGTCATGGAGAAAGTTGTCAAAGTTCATCGTGTCTGTTCACGTATGAGGAGTTGGGTAACGGTCCTCTCACATATGCATCGACCTTGGGACTGAGGCGTCACAACGGCCTAGATGGAACGATCTTGGTGTCAGTTGAAACTAACAGCTACACTGCCCCGGAAAACTTGGGGCTGACGATTCATTGCCAACGCTTCTAGATCTCGAACCCCCCCTCACCCAATGCAGACCCAGACCCACTTCTCACGCATCACAGGCAGATGTCGCTGAGCATACATCGAGGGATCCCTTGTCGCCAAACCCGACGTAGCTGCCCTGTGCGCCGTAGTTCAGCTGAACATACATGCTCTTGAGTGCTACACTCCCAAAAATGACACGGTTGGCGTTGCTGCTCTTCTGGATACCGCCGTAACATTTGTCAGTGTTGCCAGGTACAGGTCCGAGGTTGATGTGTTCCTTCGGGACAGTTCCAACATATCCACCTGCAGATATGAACTGGAAGTCGGGGATTCCGGATGCCAGGGAGCATGGGAAGATGTAAAGCCCGAGATCCGGATCTAATGCTGAGTCGGGAATCTCTGAGTAGTACTTGACTACCAGTGATGGAGGAAGCATCAGGAAGCTGGTCGCCGTGTCAATTATCGCAGTAAAGGGAGATGCAAACCGGAACCAAACTCCGCCATCCATGGTGCTCATCCGAGTCTTGCTAACCTGGAAACTCCAGCCTTCCTCGCTGTCCATCGGTTTTTCGTTTATGCTCGCAGTACCCATCGCGTAGCCGAAGGAGAAGAATCCCTTGTTCGACTCGTGCCGCAAGTCGATACCAATCCATTCAAAGTGTAGCTCCGGCTTTAGACGGTCGAGCATAGACGGCCTACTTGGCTGGACACTCGATGGACGATTTTTCGCAATGCCCAGGACGCCACTAATCTGAGGCTCGACCGCCCAACGCTGACCGACATTGACCACAGATTGGATTGTAGCGTTGATGATGTTGAAGCGGTTGTTGTCTGTCAAAAGGCCAAAACGGACCGTGTCGAGATACACCTTGCCAGAGTTGGTGACGCCATCCCCTGCGAATAGTTAGTCATTTCCACGGCGCTACGGCTGGTGAGTATTGACGGACCGTACGAAACCGACCAAGTAGCGCCGGAGACCTCTTGACTAGACGTCGACTTTGAAGGGTCGTACAGCATCGGCAATCCCTTGGCTGCCTTGTCACCAAACTTGGTGTCGGTGGTCATTAACCAGCTGTTGGTTGTGAGTTTGAGATTTTGCCAGAACACGCCAATGGCAGATGGGAGGGAAAGAAACGTACAAGTCAGAGCTGCCGGTGTCGATGATGACTGGAATTTTCTGTGGGTTTTCCGGATTCCCGATAAAGACATCGGTCAGCCAGAAGTTGCCCGTAGCTCTGGCTGCGACAATGGAGGCTAGACGGCGAATACACTGCGGTCAGCTTCAAAATCCACCTCGGTCGTCATCCCACAAAGGAGTGGATGGGAGGGGAACTTGCAGTAGTATCCACTGCGTCGGGCCGGTGTATGTTTCGCAAGGGCCTCCGGTACGGGCATGTTCCACTTCTCATATGCGGCCGCGAGGGCGGCTCCGTCCGGGACGTAGTCCGGGTCGGCGTGGACGGGTATCGTGAAAGTGCTGCTCGGGAGGGTTCCAGGCTGGGGTCCGGATACCTGGGGACCCGTCGGGATGGCGTGCGCCATTACCGACCAGAGGAGCGGAACCACGAGGGAGAGGAGCATATTGCTGATCGTTGACTGAAGTTTGAAATAAGATATTCTTGATGGGTCGATCTTTGAGTTGGATGCTTGAGACGGTACTTTCCAAACTGAAGCTTGGATGAGGTTGGCATATTTATATACATGGAGGCATCTCTGTTTGTAGTATAACATCGACCCAGGCTTCATTTTACCAACAAGTTAGGTTTCAGCCCGGATCAGGAGCGAAATGACAAAATGTTCGTCAAGCAATGTTTGTTTCGTACAAGGACCATGTGTTGTTGACCGAACCAGAAGCGATATCGCAACGAAAATCAGCACGTTGTTTGTTCTCCTCTCCTTTGTTGCTGCCTGTCGCCCTCTCTGGGACAACCATGTGTTACTTTGGATCTGGCGGAAGCTTTCGCCGCGGTGCAGATACCCGCGGGGGAAGGGGGGGTTCGAGACGGCGCGGGAGAGAAGCCGACGGGCTGAGCCTACCGAGCTGTTGGTCACGGGTTGCGATCATTTGCGTGGTAAGGTTTGGGGGGGACGAAAAGAAGGCTACGGGAGAAGTTCCCTCTGAAGGGGAGGGAACGAAACCAATGCGGGTGTTAGGGCTTGGGAAGCGAGTTTTCATCGTGAGAAGTCTCACTGTCCATCGTACACCGACGATGGTGAGGCGGTCATGAGTTGTCACTATCGGAGGGGTGGGAGAGTGGTCGTTTACGGGCGGTTGAGAAGTGACACTTTTGCGATATTTGCTGGGGATTCCCACTCAATTCTGCCAGCAAACAAGAAGGGAAAGAAAAGAAGAAGGGGGGAGAAAAAAAGTCCCGAGGATTCTGCCGGCGTTCTATCCTCGGGGCGACGCGAAACGGCCCCGGAAGCGTGCTCTCCTGCTCCCCGGTAGAACGAGGTCGGTTCCGCAGGGTAGTTACATTGGCGAGTAAGGGGGGGAAACCGGTGGGACGGACCACATGTGCGATGCCGGCGGACGAGGCGGTTCCCCCGTTGTACCACAGTAGTGGAAATGGTCACGGAAAGGCTAGACGAAGAAGAGATTGCATTTTTGGCCTCTTGTCGTCGAGAATCTCGGGCCGGTTTGCACACCGGGGGCAGCACGAGGAGGGCATGAGGATCATGGGACCATGGGATCGTGAGATGCTGAAGGATCATGGGACCTCCCCCCCCCGTTCCTGGGACTGGCGTGCCCGGAGGTAAGGTGGACGGGCGGTGCGGTGTCGCTTCCCACCTGTATGACATCGCGCGTCTGTCTGAGTTGGGAGAGAGAGAGAGAGAAGGGGGGGGAAACGATGAAGTGGCTGCCCCTCTCGGCCTTGTTGGCGGATGTTGCTTCTTCTACGTCACCTTGGCCACCCAGACACGGCCACAGGCGAGGCGGCTGATGTTTGCTCTTGGTAGTCGAGGCATCCGGGTTGCCTTGGTTCGGATACTTCTCTCGACCGGTAGGTACCACCTGGCACGGCACGGCACGTCTCAAAGGGTCGCGGCTGGGATATGTGCAAGAAAGGAAAAAACCAAGGGGGGGAGGAAAGCTGCTCTCTGGACCAAGAGCCATGGGCTTGCACCAGAGGGGGATAGGACCGCATACGCTGTCTTCACGATGGTCTCATCTCAAGGGGCCGAGTTGGCATTCACAGGCGGGAGAAGACGCAACCGATTTTTTTCATCTGGACTTGTCTGTAATTTCATTTCATCTGAAAAACGCCGTAGGTATGATGTATGCTCAAAATTTCAAAAAGCTGAATCACTCTACTGCGACCCATGCGCTCCCCTACATTCACCCAGAGGGAACTCTCAGAGCTCGTCGTGCCCCGGCGCACCCCTCGGGGCGCTGCCCTCGCCCTGGCCCTGCTGCGACTGCTCAAACTTCTTCAGAATCTCCTCAATCTCAGCCTCACTCGGGGTGTCGCCGCCCTCGCCGCCGAACTTGACATAGCTCCCGCCACCGGGGCGCTCAACGGTCTGGCCGGCAGGTGCCTCGGGCTCGACGGTCGAGCTCTGGGGGGGCACGGTGGTGGTGGACTCTTCCTTAGGCTCCCCGGAAGAAGCGGAAGCGGTGGGCTTTGTCTTCTTGGATTTTGCGCTCTTGCTGTTGGCCTTCTTGGTCTTGCCCTCAAAGTTCTTGACGCCCTTCATGGCGAGGTCCATGCCGGCCTTGTCAAGCTTATCGCGCTTGGCCTGGAGGTCCTTGACGAGGAGCACGGGGTCCGCCGTCGCGGCGAGGGCGTCCTGCTTCGCCTCCATCTCCTCGAGCCACTTGGTCGTCGACACATATACGTCCTCGACCACCTCCACATCCTCACGCTTGTACAGCGGCGGGACGGGGCCCTTCTCCTTGACGACGTCGTCCATCGTGCGCTCCTTGCTGCTGTCGTCGTCCTCGAGGTCGTCAGAGTCGCTCGAGGGGGTGGCTGAAGCGGTCTCGGTGGAGGGCCCCGCGGACGCGTGCCACGCGTCGTACTCGTCGAGCTGCTTCTGGATGGTGCTGATGAAGGACTGGGTCGAGTTGAGGGCCTCCTTGAGGGCCTTGACGAGCTCGGGTCGCTTCTCGGCCTCATCGCTTCTCTTCTGGATCTTGGTGACGGGCTCGTGGAGCTCCTTGTACCTCTTCTTGAGCTCTTCGCGGGTCGCGTCAGCGCCCCCCTCGTAGAGCCAGTCGCTCGCCTCGCTGTTCTTCTTCTCCAGCGTGGCGCGCTCCTCGGAGGTGGAGGCGGCGAGGAAAGCCTCGCTCTCGAGGAGGTCGCGGACCTTGTAGGTGAAGCCCTCGAGCTGGTTGAGGGCCTCCTCTCTCATGCGACGGGCCTTGTCAGAAGTCTCGAAGGCCTTGAGGCGGTCCTTGGACTTGATGAGCTCCTCGCGAGATAGCTCGGGGCGGCCGGCCTTCTCGAGAGTGAAGTCGACATTGATGGTGACGAGCTCCTTCTTCTTGACGGGCTCCTTGCCATCGGCGGCGGCTTCGCTGGGAACGGGAGAGGACGAGGCGGAGGTCGCCTCGGTCTTGGTGGAAGTCGTAGTGGAAGACTTGGATGTGGCCGTCGAAGACTCGGATGCGGCCGCCGAAGACTCGGCGTCCTCCTCGCCGTCGAGGGGCTTCTGGTCCTTCTTACCGAAACCGAAGAGATTTTTGACTCCGTCGACGAAGCCCTCCTTCTCGGGAGCCTCGGCCTCGCACTCGACAGTGGCCTTGGTCACCTCGACCTCGCCGTTCTCGGCGCTCAGCTTGACGCCGACCTTGAAGTGGATATCGCTGTCGACGCAAGAGTACTTCTCCTTGAGCTCGGCGACGGAGGCGGTGAGGTTTTTGGTGGTCAGAACCTTGGTGTCCTGCTCAGCGGAACCGACCTGCTGATAAAAGGTGACATCGAAGTCCTCGTGGTTGTTAAAGGTGACCTCCTTGGGCGCGCCGCCCTGGGGAGAGACGGCGGACCACAGACGCTGGTGCTGAAGCTTGTTCTTGTTGTTGGTCCACTTCATGCTGGAAGGGTAGTTTGTACCCTCGGAGATGCGAATCTCTTTGACGCGGAAGCTGGGACTAAGCTCGGCGGCGCGGAAACCGGCGCCAAAGACAGCGGCTTCATCCGAGTTGACGTTGCTGCGGAGCTTCTCGGCTGAGCCAACGACGTGCTCCAACCGCTTCTGAACGAAAGGTGTGCGGGAAGCACCACCGTGAAGGATGACGGAGTCCAGGTCCGAGAGCTCAAGCTGGGCGGTCTTGAGGGCGTCCAGGATGACGGTGTCGACACGAGCGGCGTGGCCTTCAGCCATATTCTCGAAGTCGGCGCGGGTAAGCTTGTACTTGAAGTCGACGTCCTCGTAGAGACCCTCAAAGCTAGCGGCGGCCTGCTGGTTGGCGCTGAGGACGTGGCGCACGCGTTCGGCCTCCTTGAGCAGCTTCGCGATGGCACGGCCGTGGGCCTTGACCTTGTCGGCTTCGGCAGAGATCTTCTTGCCGCCCTTGGACTCGACGAACTGGGCGACCATGTCGTCGACAATGAGGTAGTTGAGGGCGTCACCGCCAAGGGTCCTGTCCCAGGCGGAGCCGATGACGGCAACCTCCTGGATGGTCTTGTTGAACTTGCCAGTATCCTTGACGGTGCGACTCTGGAACTTCATGACGGTGGCCTTGGCGGAGCCAGCGCCCATGTCGAAGACGATGTGATGCTCAGGCTTTCCTCCCTCGTTGATGTTGGGGAACTGGCGGGAGGTGGCGTAGTTGAGACCAACGGCAAGACCATCGCTGATGAGGCTGAGGACCTTAAGGCCGGCAAGGTCAGCGGCGGTCTGGATAGCGCGCTTCTCCTGGATGGTGAAGTAGGGAGGGATGGTCAGGACGATGGAGCGGACAGAGGTTCCGGATCCAGCAGCAGCTTCAGCGTTCTTCTGGATGCTCTGCAGCTCCATGGCCAGAAGCTCCTCAACCAGCCATGCGTCGTCGTCGTCGGTGAAGACCTTGCTCTTGAAAGCAGCGGTCCCACGCTCCTTGTTCTTCTCGAGCCGCAGCGCAGGGTGGCGGGCGGCGTATTCTTGGACAATGGGGTCATCGGCGGAGAGGCCAAGGAGGGTCTTCAGGTTGGGGTAGACATCGTGGGGGAAACGGGCCGAGAGGGCGATGGCGTCGGAGCCGTAGAGTCTCTCAGGGTAGGCTCCGGCCTTGGGGCCGCTCTGGAGGGGCTTGAAGGTGACGGCGGAGATTTCCTTGCGGCGGGAGTCCTTGGTCAGGACGATGTCGAGAGGAATGCCGGGCTTGACGAGGGCGGCCTTGATGTACTCGGTGCCGAGGTCGACACCGAGGACGGCGGAAACGGCAAAGACGTGTGCGGAAAAGAAGAAGAAGCAGCCGAGGACTATGGTCAACGGCGAAAAAGTGCGTTGCGCCATGGTGTGTGGTTTGCGCCCAATGGCGCTGCTGGGGGTGTTTGTGTGTGTGTGTGTTTTAAGTCGTGTCGTAAAAAGAGACGAGAGGTCGGTACTAACACGGGTTCCAGTCGGTGAGTCCCAGTCGACAATGGAGACTTGGGGAAGCAAGCTCTAGGGTTGTTGTGAAGATATCGAGCTGAAAAAAACCAAAAGACAACAAAAAGAGGAGAGAGGAGAACGAAAGAAGAGATGAATCCTCGAGGCAATTGGGAGACCCAGAAATACAGATATGGAATAACGGAGGGTCGGTCAGTGAAGATTCGTGAAGGTGTCCTCTACTGGATTCTGTGTCATTCCCCCCAGACTGGGTCGGTCTCGGCAAGGTACCTTCTAGTGGGTGGGTTACCTGTCCTGGCGAAGAGGACAGCTGTAAGGAAGAGATAAAATAAAAAAAAAGGCTATGGCGTACCTTTCCACTGTAAGGTCGGTCATCCCCTGGCAGAGCTGCAAGGCTGAATGTGAGATAAGCACGCGATTGGTCGGATAAGCAAGCTTAAGCGACGGGAGCAGGTAGCAGTTACTCCGTCAGAGTGGGGCACTTTGGCCCAATAAACGATGTCAAGTTAGCTTATTAAGGGGCCAGCTGCCAGCTCTCATACATAATTACCTATACCTAGTACATCGTACATCAACTGTCGTTTGAGATGGCAATTTGTTCGGGGCTATCACAGACGACTACACATTACCTAAAGGTTACGTGAAAGAGGACACCATGGCAATAGCGGCCAGTCACTGAAAATTTATAGCATCTCACAAGCAAACTTGCCTGTTGTTGCCAAGTAAAGTGTATGACTTTCAACGATTGGGCAGTTCCGGCAGCGTGATCATGGCTAGAACATCTGCAATTAATGTTGCAATAGTCCAGTTCCTGCCGAATGAATACCTTGCCAATATCAGCCGGATTACTTCCGCCAATGGGGTGGTACGGGCCGGGTAATTAAGCACTGAGCTGTCATCAACTAGGCGTCAAGACACATCTCATCATGTCCATTGTATAGGCAAGACCTAAGAAGCCAGATATCCCGCAATTGACACAGTGTCTATTTATGTGTCAATGCCAGTCTCCTCTAGCCGTGTTGTTGCTCTTGACCCTGGTCGCTTGGTTATATATAATTTGTCTTGGTCTTGTTGAACGAGAAGGAAAAAGACATAGCGTTTCCCTTCATCTTTCCCCTAATTTTGTGTCCTCCTTTTTCTCTTAGTCTTAATCCTAGCTCCCCTTCCATCCTTAAAAAAAAAAAAAACCCCCCCGAAAAAAACACGTCGACCTGATTGCAACTTACAGTCTCGAGTCTAAGTGATCAGAAGGCAGGCTTCATTGTGTACCTATGTTCCATTATTTTGAGACTGCGGGGTAAGAGCTACACACATGAAGTGGGGCAGCTCATCGCGGGGTCAACCCGGGTTACAGTCGCCCCCCTCGAGAATTCACCCAAGTGAACCCATTTCATCTCATCTCTTACTTTGAATACTGTATATCAAAAGCGTCTCTCGCTTGGTTATTGTGTGTGATCCCAAAAGAGAAAGACGGAGAAAAACTCCGGTCCCCTGTTTGTGTAAAAGCGAAGAGATCTGTCATCTTTTGGCACTATCAGGCATCATACCTTGAACATGGCTTCTGTAGACAACGAGGTCAAGGGCAGACTGGCCTTGGTCACCGGCGCTTCCGGTGGGTGAGTAGAGGACGTCCTAATCCGGTTGTCTTTTGCTCATATGGTTAGTATTGGAGGAGGTTGTGCCAAGGAGCTTTTCGCCCACGGCGCTCGTCTAGCCCTTACGTGCTCATCCGACCGCACTTACAACAAGATCACAGAGCTCGCTTCGTTGTTGAAGAGCTCTGCCGAGGAAGACGTCAAGGTATCTTGTCATATCGTAGACATGTCCTCCGCCAAAGCCATCGAGGAGCTGTTTGGGCAAATCAAAGCCGAACATGGCCAACCCCCCGACATTCTCGTCGCCAACGCCGGTACAGCGGGCTTCGGCAACAAAGCCAACCCCTATCTCGAGAACATCTCCCTCGAAGAGTTCGACTTCACCATCAACATAAACCTGAGGGCCTCCTTCCTTCTGTGCAAGCTGGCCATCCCGCACATGGCCGCCCAACACTGGGGCCGCGTCGTCTTCGTGTCGTCCATATCCGCCATTGGCGGTGGCATTAACGGCTGCCACTACGCCGCCAGCAAAGCAGGCCTGACGGGCATGATGAAGAACCTGGCATCCAAGCACGCCAAGGACGGGATCACGCTGAACGATGTCGCGCCGGCCATGATTGGCGACACGGGCATGATTCCCGACGAGAAGCGTGTCGAGGGCACCCCCGGTGATGTGAAGAACATCCCTGTTGGGAGGCTTGGGACGCCACAGGAGTGTGCGAATGTTGTCATGATGCTGTGCAAAACCGGTTACTTGACGGGGCAGAGCATCTTGCTGAGCGGTGGTCTGAAATAAAAACTCACTCTGCCACTGTCTTTTTTGTCCCCCCTTCGAAAGACTCCTGAACTAAAGCGTAGACAAAACACTTCTCGGTCTGTGAACACTCCGCGAATCAACGGCAACCGGCGCCGAGCATAGATGTCCTCAACTTTATGAGAGAGCAGTTTGAACAACGTGATGAGAGGTGAAAACTCACTAATATTCCTTTGATTGCAACTGGGGCCCACATTCGGCAATTTGTGCCGGACAGTTTTCTTGACTTGCACTCTGAATGTTTCAACTCACTTACTAGAGTTCAAGACCTTCCTCACTGCAGACGCAAAATCGCCGTTGCTCTTTGATTTAAGTCTCGATTCCAGAGCTTGGGATATGAGAAATGTCTGCAGAGACGATGGTTCATCACGATAACAATGAATGAAGCTGAGTCACACGAAACCACGTGATAAAAACCATAAGCATATCTCTTCGGGAACAAATAGGTTACGGGTGATCCTTCCATCATTGATTGCTTATCTAGCTTGTTTGAAGAAACCATGGATCCAGGCTAGCGTCATGGTTCTGCATCACTACCTACTATATCCACGTGGCCTCCAGCTTTTACATCTTCTGAACACGTTTCGCTTTGACGTTCCGCTGTCATGAAAGCCCTATTTAAAGAGGATTGGGTCGTACGTAAATTGTCGAGCGGGAGAAACACAAGCTCATCTCAGCCCAAGCCATTCTTGATATCACATATACGAAGAGGTGCCTAAGGCCCGTCATAGCAACAACGTCACCGAGTTGATTTCACCTAGACCTGAACTGGAACCAGCTCGACCAAGCTTCATCAGCCATGCACGCCTATAGGATCGAGCCCTGTACGCTCGCCGACGCCCCGGCCCTGGCGCGCAACAACATGAGCGCCTTCTGGACGAACCAGAGTTGGTATCTCCTCTGGCCCAAGGGTACCAAGCTCGACTTTCTCATCGAGCAGGCCGCTGAGCGCATACCCAACAATCTCGTCCGCAACCGCGAGACTCTGCGCCACCAAAAGGCGGTCGACCCGGAAACCGGAGCGCTCCTTGGTTACGCGCGCTGGAAGCTGCCGGCCGGGTACGAGGGGGCCGTCGAGTGGGACGGCTCGCAGATTGCAGACGTGAGCGAGGAGGAGAAGCGAGCGCTCAAGGAGCGGTCGGACGCGGCGTGGTGGGAGCCGATCTCCATGAATGAGATTGACGACTGCACGCCGGAGAAGGAGCGTCTCCTGGCCAAGAAGCCATACATCTGTGAGTGATTCCCGCCAATGGTGGACTGCGCTGGGCTGGAAGTTACCACATCATCTTTCGCTCCCCGGTGCTTGGAGCACAGAAACTAAACCCCCCGAGGAATAAAGCCCTCGAATACCTTGCCGTTCATCCCGAGAACAAGGGCAAAGGGATTGCCACCGCGCTTGTTGAAAGTGGCATCAGCCTGGCAGAGAAGGCGGGCGTCGACATCTTGGTATTGGCCTTCGAAGCAGCCTTGAGCATCTACAAGAAACTCGGCTTCAAGGAAATCCATCGCGGGTACCAGGACAATACCAAGTACGGGGGCGATGGCTACTGGGTGACGATACTGGTGTACGAGGTGAACAAGGCGAGCTCATGAGCATGCGCCGCCAACGCATTGCATAAACAGATGAAGAAACGGCGACTAGCAGGCGTCGGTGATTCAGCAAATAGTTAAACTCGAGTACCAGACTATACATGGCCGGGCCACTGCATGTTGTACATCCTAAAACCGCGCCTCAACCTTCTCCTCCGTATCCTGCAGCGCCCAGTCGCTCTTCTTCGTACGGCTCCTCACGGCCGCCGCCTGCTGCGCCGTGAAGCCCTTGGCCTCGACCGCCGGGTTGTACCCGAGCTTGTTGAGCCTACCCACGGTCGCCGAGTCGACCTTGGGCGCCTCCTTCCCGTCCGCCCGGCGGTAGACCGTGACGACGACGGCGCCGCCGAGACCCAGGTTGTGCTGCAGCGCCGCCTTGGTGGCCGGGACGGCACGGTTGTTCGCCCAGCCGCGCAGGTGCCAGACCAGCTCGGCGCACTGCGCGATGCCGGTCGCGCCGAGCGGGTGGCCCTTGGAGATGAGCCCCCCGGAGGGGTTGACGACGTACCTGCCGCCGTAGGTGATGTCCCCGCGGCGGACCAGCTCGTGCGCCTTGCCCGGCTCGGCCAGGCCTAGGGAATCCAGCACGATCATCTCGTTGGCGGAGAAGCAGTCGTGCAGCTCGACGACCTGGACGTCCTTGGGGGTGAGGCCGGCCTCGGCCATGGCGGTGCGGACGGCCACCTGAGTCATCTCGAAGCCCATGAGGTCGATGGCGGAGCGTGAGAAGAGCGAGGGCACGTCGGTGGCGAGACACTGGCCCGCGATGAGGACGGCCTGGTCCTTGAGGTGCGGCCGCTCGTCGAGGAAGGCCTGGGAGACGAGGACGGCGGCCGCGCCGCCGTCGGACGTGGGGCAGCACTGCAGCTTGGTGAGGGGCGCGAAGATCTCGGGCGCCTGGAGGATCTGCTCGCGCGTGTAGACGTCCTGAAACTGAGAGTAGGGGTTCTTGGTGGAGTGCGCGTGGTTCACGCGGGCGATCTCGGCAAAGTCCTCGGCCTTGGCGCCGTACCTGCGTCTCGTGTTAGCGGACGGTGGTGTCTCTCTCTCTTCCCCAGGCGAGCTCCTCGGCGGCGGCGGTGGCAAGAGATCTACACATACTTCTCCATGTACTCCCGCCCGGCGTTGCCAAACATCTGCGCGGCGCCGGGGGCGTTGGTGAAGCCCCTGGTCTCGGCCATCATTTTGACGGTCGTCATGGTGGGGTTCTCGCGGTCGTTGAAGAAGCTCTGCAGCGACCCGGGCATCATCTTCTCGAAGCCGACGACGAGGACGCAGTCGGCGGCGCCGGACGAGATGAAGGTGCGGCCCATGGCGAGGCCGGTGGACCCCGTGGAGCAGTTGTTGTTGACGTTGTAGATGGGGATGCCCGTCATGCCGAACTGGTAGAAGACGCGCTGGCCGCAGGTGCTGTCGCCGTAGCAGTAGCAGGCGACGCCCTGTTCGACATCGTCGTAGTTGATCTGGGCGTCGAGCATGGCTTTTACGCCGGCCTCGAAGCCAAGCTCCGTGTAGTCCACCTTGCCGCGGGGCTTGATGAACTTGGTCATGCCGACGCCGAGCACGTAGCAGGGCGACTTTTCGCGTTTCTGTCGGGGCGCCATGGTGTGCTGGTTTGGTCCGATGAATTAGTGATGCCTCGTGGTTGTTTTGTCAGCTTGAATACGACTGTCTCTTTTTTCAGCGTCGACAACTCAAATTGCTCTTGTGTGAAAGATGGAAGAGAGTTGAGCAAGGCAGCAGAGCGGGCAGAGCTTAGTGATATATCTCCCACGGCTAATTTTCGAGGCAATGAAACGTCAATATGTCTATTTTTTTGCCTTTCATGTGCTTTGCGGAAACAGCCAGTTGTAGTTGTCAACCTTTCGCCTCCCCCTCCTCGCCTCCTCTCTTTGCCTTCCCGGGGCCCTGGGAAGAGCTTCCCCAGGTTTTTTCATCCTTGACCCCGCCGTTCGCGCTATACAGAAACAGGGTCAAAAACTGCCCATAATGAGCGCTAGCTCGGTGCTCTAGGGGAGGCCCGAGACGCTGCCTGAGCCTGTCACCCTGTTTCACCGCATTACAGAGTCTCCAAAAAAGATAAAAAAAAAAAAAAAAAGGCCAACCGAGGCTCAGAAGGACGAGCTTGGCTCAAGCCTTCCCCAGTGATCTTGGCCAATCACAGAGCTTGCCGAGGTAAAAATCGATCATCAGTCGCAGGGGTGGAAGGGATGGCCCCATTCGGTAACCATATCGTCGGCCTTTTCGTGATGAGATAGATGATAACTCTTGTTAACAGAGTATCGCTCTCCCCATCTCTTCTCAGCCGTTCCTTCAGTGCCTCTTTGTCTTTCATTAGCGCCTCCCGCCACAACGCCGCCCGCCCCGCGTGGAACGGCGCTTGCGTCCCCGCCAGCATCTCGTCGCAGTCGGCTCCCTGCGGCGCTAGCAGGAAGACGCCGTTGCGGTTCCCCACGCTGATGGGGAACCGGTAGTCCTTATCTGCTAGGACGCGGAGCTGCGCCGTGGGTATGGCGTTCGTCAGCGCCGCGAGCCCGACAAAGTTGGGTTCCACGTCCCGGCGCAACGTAGGTGCTCCGTCCGCGGGAGTGGATCCATCCCATTGGCGCCGGCGAGCAGACCCACCCTTCGCCACCGCCCGTCCCGGAACTCAAACACCACTCCGGCCTTGTCCTCCTCGGTGACGCGCACGAGCCGCCTGCCGTACTCAACGGCCACGCGACGCTCATGATACGCCTTGGCCAGAGTCTCGATAAGATGCGCACGGCGTCGTAGCCGAACGCCGCGGCGCCGCCGAACGGGTACCGGTCGACCGTTGCCTCCTCGTCGTTCTTGGAGTAGACGTAGTCGAAGCTGCAGGCCTTGGCGAGGAGGGGCCCGTAGAGACCCAGGGAGTCGATGATGCGCAGAGCGTTGGGGCAGTGAATCATGCCGCCGCCGGCGTGGTGGGGGACGGGGCACTTTGTTGCGGGAACCGTGGATCGTGGCGGGGATGGACTGTGCTGCGAGCATGAGGGCAAGGGCCATGCCCGCGATGCCGCCGCCGACGATGGCCACGTCGTCTTGGGCGGTGTACATTGTTGGTTTGTCTAGACGAGGTGAAGATGGAAGAAGTGTGAAGCAGTGTGATGTCAAGAAGCCGTGCTTACTCTCCTCTGTGAAGATGGAGCTCAACACCGAGGAGCTATTTCCGCTCTTCGTACGCATTTATCTCCAAACCTTCATCTCCGAATATGCGAATGGCTCGCAAATCCCTCAGAGCTCTCTGTAAGCCGTAGGCAAGAACCATAGTGAGCAAACCCTTACTTACTCAAGAGCATCTAGTCCAAAACTACATATCATGTCAAACGCGTCTCGGGGCCGAAACCCCTTCCTCTCGCCCCTCTCTCTCCCGGACCTCCACGCCGCCATATAGACCCCGCGCGACGGCGCGGACGCCGTCGTTGTTGCCCTCAGCGCCTGCCATGTTTCCGGTTCCCCGCCCCCCTTCGCGGCCCTTGACCCCAACACCCCTGCCACAGCTCTGGTTCCCGAATCGGCCCGTGAGGGGCGATCAAGGATCGGGAGAGGAGGATATGGAACCGCAAGGCTCCTCCTGTCATCGCCAACTAACCGGGGGTGTGCCGCCGAAACGAGTTTGACCAAAAATCTGCCATGTCAGCGCGGCAACCCGAGAAGAGGAAAACAGCCTCTGGTTCCCTAGTGTCTCGTATGTAGCAATAATAAGCATGCTTGGTAAAGCCAAGCCATGCCCTTCTTTTGATTCCTCCGCTGCTTATTGGTATCGTTGTACTACATTCACATGTTTTCTTTGCATATGCCGTTCTCTTTTGGATCTTCCTCCCGTAGTCTCCTGCGCCGATACATCCCGCAAAGAAAAACTATCGACCCCCCCCGGATCGCTTTCCAATGCTTACAGGATCGCTTTGCAATGCTTACCGGACTCTTGGTGCACATGTACACCTCCGGAATTAAACCTTTGCCTTGAAATGACAAGTTAGTTGCGTCGGTTTCCTCGCGCCTGGTCGAGGCTCCCTGGCATGGACAAAATTGAAGAACATCATGGATCATGGATGTTTCAAACCCCGTTTGCTACTCCAAGCAATCATGATTCGTGGTCCCAGGCGGCATTTGGGTTTATGCGTGTCACCGGATCAAAACATTGAAGACTTCTTATCTTCAACCCCGCACATTACTCGAGGGACCTCTGTGCATCGGATTCCAGAAGTCCAGATCCCAGTCCGCGTAATCATCCGGAGTCTGCCGACCATGCATCAGCCCAGTTACATCCGTCCCACAGAACCCAGCCGCCGTGGTCACTTACTCCAGCTGCCGACGCATTCGCATGAAACGTGGATGGCGCTCTTGTCTGCATGTAAGGATCCATCGAATCTGCTGGATTCTGCAGGGACATCTTTTCGGGGTTCGTGTTGGTCGAGGCTTTGCATGCGTCAAGGACGCTCTGCAAGCTAAGTCGGATGCTGTGCAACTTCTGCTCTTGGTTCGCTGTTTGCACAGAAGCCAGTACGACAGCAAGCGCAACGATGTCCTTGAGATCGTTGCCGCCGACATTGCGGACAAGCAGGTCGAGTGTCTTCTCGACCGTCTTGATAAGGCGTGACGGCGACCAGAGCGCAAACGTCTCGGTGCTGAAAGCTACGCCCTCGTCCTCAGGGTTTGGAGACATGGCCACGGTGGAGGCTATCCCTAGTGTGTTGCCGGTGACGCGCGATTCGGTGGCAGCCTTTATGTAGAAGCACACGCTGAAGGCTGCCTGCAAAATGTCCCTCTTCAGCACCATGTGGTACATATCGCTAATGTCTTGGAAATGGGTGAGCAACGGGTCGAGTTCGTCGAGATACCGCATTATGACCATGGAGGATCGCAAGTATGCCCTCGATATCTGTGATGGCGCGTCCGGCAGCCCCAGAGCGAACGGTCGATAGAGGGCCAGCAACGGCCGTCGCACGTGCATATCGAGGATTACTCTGGACCTCCACTGCCTGCTCTTCTCCGCTTCGTTCAATATGCCATGGCGGGGGAACAGATAGTTGATGTCTTCCAAGAACCGATCCAGCTTTGTCCCGACTTCGATGATTTCGCTGTAGTCCCGGATGGAATCGACGCGGTTGATCAAGTGCGCAACCTGCATTCGAACGCCGAGCGTCATGGCGGCATACACCTGCATCTGGTTGTCGGTAAGCTGGTCGATCGGCTTGCTTGGCGGTAGTTCCTTCATGTCAACATAGAGATCGCTGTCGTCGAGGTTTCGGGGCGGCCTGCACGTAAAGTCTCCGTCGCGCACAAGACAGGGGAGGTTGCAAGCTAGGGACAGGTGCAAATCCATGTCCAGGATCGTAAACCACAGCCTTCTTCGAAGCTCACCAAAGAATACCGGCACCCTGGGTTCGAATTCGGACGGATCTCGGTGCAAGCCCATGGTCATGGCCATGCGCACGATATACCCCAACTGTGTCCACGAATCTTGCTGCCGCGGGGTCGTCATTCGCTGTGCGTGTACCAGCAGGATCTCGGTCTGCAACGTCGTCAAGTCAACCAACTGCTTGCCCCTGAGGCCGTCCAGCCACGACCTGACGAGCGCGCATGCCGTCGGGATGTGCACGCCTTCGACACGTTCATGGCCGAGCCCCTTGGATTTCGTCTCAAACCTCGACCCGATGGACAAGACCGCCAGAAGCTGTGGCAAGAAGGTGTCCCCCGGTATCTTGCCTTCCCAGAACAGTTCGTGCTGTTCTTTGAACGTCGGCACGTGAATCATTCGGTAGATGGTTTCGGACGTATCAATGTAAGAGGCCAGTAGCCTGTCGCATACTGCCTTCTTCGGAAGAATATCCTGCATGCGCTTCTGGACCGGGATTACAGAGTCGGCAAAGACAGAGATCGGGGACAGGGACTTGCGGTACTCTTCCTGGAATCGCCTGTGGAGTATCTGCAGGCCATACATGATGTCTCTGATACCCTCAATTTTGGACTGATTTGCCATGAAGTCCTTGGCGTCATCGAACTGGGAGGGACGGGTTAGGAGTGCTATTCGAAGGCATTCGGGGTCCGGAAGAGTTACCAGGTTCAGCATGACACGCACGCTGTTTTGGCCAAAGAAGCGTGTCCGTAGGGCGCCTCTCTTAACAGTCAGTCCTCGTATCGTTTCTGCCGGCAGCGGCAAACGCTGACCAGTTCCACTGAACTCAGTGCCTGCGGGACTCCGGATCATGAACTGCTTCTCCAAGCGCTCCAACCGGGACGTCAATTCCTCCAGAGCCGAAGGCGCGGCCGACTCTCCATTGCGCAGGGGCACAAGTGAGGGCTCGGCTGGCTGTGGTCCCGAGGGCGTGGTTGAAGGTAGGCAATTTCTCTTTGGGGGTCGCTGCAAATCACCCATCTCGGCATCGGAGCCGTCTGACAGCACTGACGAGTCCGGTTCGACAGCATACTTGCAGTTGCGGTGCGACTTCTGGCACTGAGAGCACGGCAGATTGCGATCACATCTCAACTTCCGCTTGCGGCATTCGGTACACGACTTGACGGGACGCGGCCTTTTGACGCTGCGCGATGCCGATGCCGCCGCCGCTGCTGCTGCGGCGGCGGCGGCGGCGGCGGCGGCGGAGCCTGTTGGTCCGCCAACAGCAGGTGGTACAGGGGTCTGCGCAGATGCAGGCGTGGGTACCGACGCGCCGGTAGCAAGAGTATGCGGAGATGGTTGAGGCGGGGATGTCTCGTACGGAGCAACGCTGGGAATCGGGCCCATAGGTGCAACAGCGGCCATGTTGACGTTCGGATGGAGCGTGGTGACTGTGCCCATGTCGGGGGCAGAAGAAGCCGTGGTGGCCATTTTTGGCCCCAAGTTACAAAAATTCCTGGAAGTCTCCGTTCGGAACCGGGTTTGGGTGTTTGTGGTAGTGTGGCGGCCGGCGGGCGACGGGCGACCAAACGAAGCGAAGAGCACACACGGTACGACAACGCGCAGCGAGCACGCTTGGCGGCGCACACCACAGCTACGCGGCGGCGGCGGGAACGGCAGTAGCTAGCGCTTGTTCCGAGGACCAAAGCTCCAGAAGCAACCTGCTGGGTCCGAGAGGCCAAGAATGAGAGTAGCAGACTGCTTCTGGCGGTAGCAATATCAACAGCTGCTGCTGCTGCTGCTGCTGCTGCTGCTGCAGATCGGCGAAGTGGGCAACAGCGTGCTCATCGAAGGTCCCGTGCACAGCCTGGGTCGCCTCTGTTCTGGTTCGCGGTGCGTGATCTTGACTCTGACTGGTGCCGAGTGGTTCGCGGACCATACATAGTGTGACTACGGGCGAGGGGCAAACGAGGGCGTGAGCGTAGCGCAGGCGAGATGGAGAGTTGAAGCAACAACGGAGAAAGCTACACGAGCGATGATCTGTTGCTGAGGCTCGAGATATGACTTGGCCGTGGCGGTGGTAGTAGTAGTAGTAGTAGCAGTAGCAGTAGTGTGGTGGTGGTGATGGTGATGGTGATGGTAATATCAGCCGTCACTGAGCTCGTAACCGACGAGGACAGGGAAAGACCGTCTGGCAGATGGATCTCCGAGGTGGCGGTGCTCGAAAAAGTGGCCTCGGCAATGTTGTCGATTAACAAGATGAAGCCCCAGAGGAGATGGGGAACAATAAGTGAGGAAGCACAAGGCGGACGGGAGGGAAGAAAGGGGAAGATGAACTAAAGGGGGAAAAGAGACCAAATTGCTAGCTGCAATGACCCAAGCATCCTCGGGGCTTTGGGTGAGTGGTCCAGTGCCTGCCTCGTCCAAGGCCAGCTAAGGTACGGACGACGGAGCAAAGACGGCAAGGTAAGAAAGGCAGGATCCGTATCTGGGCTGGCAACCGTCGAGGTAAAGTGAGACTGGCGCGTCTCTGTGACTCTCCCGGCTGCCGGCTGCTGCTTGTTACTGTTACTGTTGCTGCACGCTGGACTCCTGCCCGTGGATTTCCCCGATCCCAGGCTTGCCAGGCTATATGTGGTCTTGCAGCTTATTTTGCCCAGCCCAAGATGGAGGTGAGGTCCTGTTCTTTGGCTGGCTCTTGTTCTACTCGTAAGGAAGTATACAAGTCTGGGAGCTGGGGTTGAGATGAAGTGAGCCGAGTTGATTGAGTGGGTTGAGATGTTCAGGATACCCCCGAAGACAAGGAAAAAAAAAGTGTCGAATGTGCAGGGAACACGGTGCCCTGGTCAGGTTTGGCCGGGCCTGGCCTGGTTCGTTGTGGACGGGACGGGAAGTTTGGAAGGTTGAGGCAAGGAAGGCCAGACAAAAAGAAGGACGAGGTGGTGTGTTTAGTGATGGATTGGTGATCCCACCCCCCTCCCGCCCCCCTTCCCCGGTGAATGTTCCAGGCCGGTTCAGATTGGAGGTGAGTGGCCGGGACCGGGTTGGTAGGGTACGGAGGGAAAGGAAGGGGGGGGGGCAAGGCGATATGGTGAAGGGCGATGGAGAGGGTACGGCTATCAAACGGAGGGTGTGGATGGTGTGGCAACGTGCTTGTATGTATCCGCAGCAAAAAGAAAAAGAAGGACAAGAGGAGCGTTGAGCGTGACCGAGAGATCGAGACATGGAGAGATCGAGTCATCGAAAGCTGTACTTAGAAGGGCCGGGAAACGCCAGACCGGAAAGTGATCGATAGCCTCTCTCTCTCTCTCTCTCTCTCTCTCTCTCTCTCTCTCTCTCTCTCTCTCTCTCTCCAACTTCCCAAGACTTGGTCTTCGAAGGACTTGGTCTTCGAAGCACACTCACTCACTGCCTGTCTGTCCTGCCTCCTGAACTCCGTGAGACCCCGCTACCCCGTCTGTGGCCTTTCACACCACAGTATATGCACATACCAGCTGGTGCACCACCACCGGAAACCTGGGCAGGGGGCGCGATATTGCGATCGAGCACGGAGCACAGAACAAGAGGCTGCGGGCGTATTCCAGGTGGCTCTTGGTTGGGTCGAAACAGCGGTCGATCGTTCCTCGGAGCGCCATCAATGCAGCGCAAATACGGATACGCGCCCAGAAAGACGCCGCGACAACGGACAAGGAAGGAGGAGCCCGCCCTCTGGCTCGCCCTAGTTCGGACGGCAAGGAGCGAGACACTTTGGGAAGAGTATCGAATGATAATTCTCCGTCCAGAGTGTGCTCGTACGTAGGTAGTAAGTAGTGCACAAGCGTGCGTCCCGTCCCCAGTTGTGGTATCCGCAGTGTACGAATACAGCAAGGTAGACGGACAGCTGGGGCCACAACCTGGGAGTGGCTGGGCAGAAAAACAACGTTCGTGAGCAGAAAAAAGAAAAAAAGAAGAAGAGGGCAGTTGGGGCGCAACAGTTCGAAAGGGCTAGGACAGGCCAAAGCCGAGTTGGCCGTGCGCAAAGTATCCTCGCCTGTTCAGTACAGGGTACTCCGTACAGGACTAAGTACGCCAAAGGCCAGGAGACAGGACGCCGGTCGGAAGGGGGCGCACCAGGGCCTGGAACGACACTGCTGCTGCGAGAGAGAGAGGGATCGGCGTGCTGGCTGCTCTCGCCACCTTTACGGTGCCTCTCGGTGGCTGTATCGTGCGTTAGGTAGTTTAGTGCATCGGTAGGGCGGCGACACGAACAGGCCTTGCAGACCCCGAGGCTTCTTCCTTCTCTCCTTCATGCTTCTTGCTCGAGAGACCAGAGAGAAGAGAGACGGGGCACGACGCCGCTGGAGACCATGGAGATTTTCTCCCAGGAACCTTGTCGGAGGCCTACATAGTATGTCTTTGGCTCCATATAAGTGAAGTGTATCCGTAGGGTAGCGCGAGATGCTGACATGTAACGCGCTTGTATAGTCGGTTGGTATCCGTATTCCATGTCTTCTTTTTACCGTTCCCTTCCTTGATCTCTAGCCGACGGGCCCTTGACTTACCCACTTGACACTTGGGCCTTCGCTTAGTAGCGCCTGGGTGGGGTCTGGAAAATTCGTTCGTTGCTTTTCCTTCGGGGAATCCTGTGTCTCAATGTTGCTGCCTTCGGCCTATTCCTATGTTCCAAGAGCAATGTGCCTGCTGGTGGATGAGAACCGAGCTTGGTTGTATATCCCCATAATGCTCGTGTGCATATGTGTGTGTGTATATGTGTGTGTGTGTGTGTACGTGTGTGTGTGTGTGTGTGTATGTGTGTGAGTGAGTGAGTGTGTGCGTGCGTGCGTAGTCATGGTTGGGGCTTGCTCAAGACATCCTGATGTCGAGAGGTACCTGGATAATGCCAGAGACAACTGTAGATGTGGTACGGCGCTGCAAAGAAATGGATAGCCAAGCTGATAAGTGTGTATATGTGCTGTCGAATGATCCGACTCACACCCATCGTCTTTCTTCGTAGATGGCGGTATGATCGTCATGTATCCAGCATCATGCAAAAATCCGAGCTAGTTGGAGACACCTCTAGACAAAGCTCCGATGTCAGATGGTACTTCGTTGCCTTCAGGCAGTCAACTGTAAGACGACATGATTGTCGTCAGGACGACTCGTCATCCCTCACCCCAACAAGAATTGTTCTTGTAACCAGCGACTTTGAACGTACCCGGCGGAAGGGAAGAGCCCCATCCCTCCACCCCCCCCCCCCCCCTTGGCAAGCCCGCCCACCTCAGTTTCCGCCAGACGAAGAAGCTATGCCGTCCCCCCCCCCCCCTTACAAAGTTACAGATGTGACATGTGGAGGATGGTTAAAATGAGGTGCTAAGGATGGACATGCCATACCTCGCGGTGGGCCTACGGTACGTGTATGCTGCGTAGCGCAGGCGGAAACCCCACCGCCGCTAAAAGGCATCCATTTGTGTGGCCGGTCACCGCGGCCGTTTCCACCGATACCAGACTAAAATAGACGACGATGAGCCTGGTAATGTCGCGCGGGTCGCGTTGACACCATGTCTGAAGCATCTTCATTTCAATGCTCTCCCCTTTAACTCATTGCACGAGTGTCAGAGGGGGGGCCAATGGCCGAGGTCTCACAATGCGCTCAAGATCGTACCAACAACAATCCGCCCGTCGACTCGGGTCTCCATCATTTGTTTGGTTGAACCGCCCCCTTGGAAGCCTCCCCCTTGCGTCCGTCTTTGCGCTGTCTGGCAACGCGCTGGCTTTGACATGGCTCTGTGATCTATTAGTAAGTGCCCCTACCATGACATGGTGTGTGGGTCGGCATCAGTATGCATGCATGTGCTGCTTTGCATCTGAAAAATCCGATTGCGGCAAGTGAGCGAAGGCCCAAAGTCAAACCAATAATAGCCAGGCGTGCGTATGGTAGGTATGGCGATGGGGCGTTTAGGTACCGGTAGATGGAGGGAGGGTGATAACGTAACGATATGAGGGTGAGTCGATGGCCTGTCATGCCCTTCGGCCTTTGCGCTGACCATTTCAGGCCACGGAGTCCAGTCCGAAACCCACCCGCTCGCCTGCTTCGTAGCGTACCTCCTCATTCCTCCTGTCCATTGTCTTCTTCGCTGCGGTCGTCCTCTCATACGTGCATCGAATAATCGTCCTCCGGCTCTCTTCTGGAGAGACGGCAAAGTATTAGTCATGGATACCATTCCCACATCCCCTCCTTCACACCACTCCCCTACCCTGTCCGAGAGTATATGGCGCACGGCACTTACTGTTGATCGTTGACAGGTCCAACCCTGGATGCGACGCACCTCGGATCGTGACATGATCCTCACCTAAGCAACTCAAAGTGAGCTACGTGCGAGACTAGTCGTCGCCTCGCCGCACCGCACGTTTGGTCGCTAAGCCTTTCCATGGAAACATTGCGAGCGCTTCAGGACTAGGTCCTGTGCCGAGCCCTCTTCACGCACTGATATTCGTGCCTAGTGCCGGGCTCCTATGCGTCTGTTCTTCCAACCCCCAAGCCAAGCCTCCTCGTCCCTCTATCTTTTGTCTTTGCTTCATCCGTCGTTGCCCCCCAGTCGTCTTTAGCAGCAGCAAACGGGAGCCCCTCGTGCATGTTCCAGACAGATTCATCCTTCGGGTCTAGTTTCTGCTCAGGTGGGGAGGGGAGTTGGGTTAGTGGGAAAGTTCGATCGTTTCCCTTTCCTTGTCTTCTCTCACCCTTGCGAGATGGAGGGGCCGTATAAAACCAGTGCTCGTTGACGAATAATCAGAAATTTTGGAATGCGAACGCGAGGGTATACGACGAGCCTGGTCATACTGCGCTGTATATCGCGTGCGAAAGACACGGTGGTTTGGACGCCAAGTATTTTCCGTCCGATTTCCTGCATTTGTGGTGCGTGTGCCTCGAGGTACTTTGCGATAATCAACTCTGCGGTTCACTGCCACGAGTCTGTTTCCATAGAGCTTTTGCGAGAGGATCGCGCGTCCACAGCCTCCAAAATTTTCTGCCCCGTGATACAGGCTGTGCATGCCGGCAAAGCCTGAAAGCCGATTTCGATCTCGCCTGTTTTTTTGCTGAAATGGTGCTCATCATTCCGCTCCGGCCTAACGCTAGCTAGGGTTCGAGGTATCTCGACCGGCTGTTCTCCGAAACCACCGCCAGTGCTGCAGCAGGATGGATACCTGCATCTGGGGGACGCGTTTCACTTATAACTTATAAGACTGGCAGAGGGAATAAGGCGCATCGGTTCAGCGTAATAGCAGCTCTCCGTTAAGACCAGAAAGACGGGAGACGAGAATGAACCAGTGCCCGATCTGGGCCGACAATCGAGATTTCCCTAACTTCCCAACGTGTGTGCCAATGTCTGGCGCCCCCAAGACACAATATCACCAATTGCCAAAGACTAGATGAGTTTGATGTGTGTGTGTGTGTGTCTCGTTCCTCTATGGATTCATCATTGCCGATTCGGCCCGGACTGTCTCTTTCGCCTCACGAACGAATAGGCGATTTTGCTTCGACGTGTGCCGTTAATGAGGAGGCGTCCTTGCCGTGCATGCGGGGAGGACGGCAAGGCCAGGGCCCTGAAACCGGCGGCACAGTGGTCAGGCGCAGCACGACATCGGGTCGCAATAAAGTAAGCCCCCACGAGGGTCGCTCCTCGGATTCAGTGTCTGCAACCGGTTTGGGGGCCCGTCTCGTACTGAGCAGTTCGTGACGTCGGCTCCGAGCAAACCTTGGCTAGGAAGAGGGCGCAGATATTGGCGTTGACGCGTACCGAAAACCGGGACGAATACAAACTTCAACCCTAGCGTCTTCGGATTCGCAAAGTGTATCCCATCCCTCTGCAGCGTGCGTCCGAAACAAGATGATCATATGTTTCCAGAATACAGCTTTGGGCCAATGAAGAGTGTCTAGGCTGTCTACAGCACGTCAGTCTCTGGAACTACGTGGGCACAATGTGCGTCGCTCCGAAACTCGGCCGACTGGCTGCGATGGATGGGCATGCCGAGGGGCTGTTTGGGAGTTGATGAGCTGACAGTAGGTTTCGTTTGACGTCAAAGACACTCATGATTCACCCCCTTTTGGTCTTTTCACGCGAGCAGTTCGTGCCGATGCGAGAGCAAGCCGCGGCACATTCGTCCTCGGTTCGTTTGAACTCTAAGCGACGAGAAAATGGACTGCGCAGGCGCGACATGGAGGCCCTTCGACACGCTAAAGATTGGCTAGAGTATCATATCATGTAAGGCGATCAGCCGTGGTATCAGACGTGTGGCGATCATAACCGGTCGACACGACTTGGAAGGTTTGCTGCCGCGAAATTCTGGGGTTTTGGTGGATAAACTCGATAGCAGTAGCGAAAAGTGTCGTTTTCGGCCCAACATGGCCGAGAAGGAGGGAAACCTTGTGGGTTGTTTGCGCTGGTGATCTGGTAATTAGACGGAAGAAACATTTGGTTGGCGAGGACAACCTTTGAGGCAAAATTGCGTCAGACGGGGAGGCAGGCAGATAGGCTCAGAGCATCGATAGATGCCAACGTAGTGTTGCAGCATGACGAGGCAAGTTTGTTCTTCGTTGCTAGCTCTTGCATACGGCCATAGTGCCCTATGTCGATTGCATCCATCGCCAGATAGGTAGGTATCCTTGCATGCATTCCGCCAGCACCCATGCGTGCCGTGGGTGTCAGAGCGGGAAGGACCAGTCTCTGGACTTGGAGGAGTCTTTGGTATATGAAACGAAGCGTGGAAACGACGGCGTAGGGCCAGTCAAACAAGGCGAAGCTTCCTTGGAGACTGACGGCTTACTCGATAGGTAGCTGGGGGCCTGCGGATGTAAGCCCACGGCGATATTTACCTACCTACCGGTAGTTTCCGTATGGCTGACCGCTTTTCTTTTTCCCTGTCTGGTGTAAAGCTCGGGGAATACGACAAGCCGTCGGGTCCGAGATGCCACGGCGCCAGACGACCCAATGAAGGATAACGGTGCTGAATGAAAGAAGACAGACACGCACATGGGTCCGTACCTAAGATGGAGAAGCACGTTGCGATACAGACAGACGAGGTGCTGATCTGCATTTAGAGACCAGGGGAGGAAGGCACCACCACCCTCAGTACCTGCCTGGGTACCTAACCTATCCTAGGTACCTAGGTATTCGTACCTACCTATTGTACGGAGTACTACCGGTAGGTAAGCAGATAGGAAGGAAGGAGCTGAGCCAATAGCCTCTCGCTTAGCTGTAGCGCTAGTGCCGTTCACTGAGCACAGCAAGCCTAGCGCCGCGGGAGCCCTGAAGTACCCAGCGATGTCCGAGCGCGAAGACGCCCCCCTCGGCGCAGAGCTTTGGTCGGCAATGATGGCCTCCAATGTATCTGGAGTAGTTTGTTGGACCAAAGTACTGTGGCATACAACCCTCGCCGACGTGGTACATGCGTGGACAGAAGCTTCACTAGCTCCTTCGTTTTCGTCCTGCCCCATTGCTTGCGAGCCACGTTTTCCCCCGATCCCAAAATGCCATCCATATTCCTACACCCAAAGCAACGACACCCAGGCCGAGTTGCGCTTGCGTGCGGCTGCGGCTTGTGCCTAATCTGCTATGATGTGTATAAGCCTCCGACCACATGACATTAAAAATAAATAAAAAAAAACCACCTACCTCTTGCCCCCCCTCACGCGAACGGCCTAGGCAGTACCAGCAAATAGGCATTCTTATCTTAGGTACCTAAGTTACGCCGCCATCGTCGTCGGATGCTCATGCCTGTCTGTGACCTACGCCTGCGACAACGCGCCCTAGGATGACCAGGCTCCTCCTAAGCGTTTACCCGGGTTAGATATATTCTCAGCCTCGTACGTATGCCCTCAGACACTACTCGTCCAGCAGCCGCATCGCCTTCATCCAGCCTCGAGTCGTCGCCGCCGCTACCGACATGTCGGCCGCCCCCGCCAATAACAATGCGAATCCCAAGCCGCCGTCGAGCAGTTCCGCGGTACGCGACGAGGCTCAAGTCGTCAAGATCCCCCACATTCTCCCACACGAGCGCGTCTTCCCCATCCAGATAGGCAGTGAGCTCTTCAAGCTTTCAGGCGCCTCTATCTCGTCCGATGGTGCGTTCGCTATCCTTACTTGATTCTCTTGACTCTTGGCCGATGATGCATCGACATTTGCCATACTCTGCCGTGCTCTGCCGTGCTCTGCCGCCCGCGCAGGACGCCGCTGCCTGTTCGCGTTTGGTCTTGACAGCATGCGCCAGTCATGTTTGCTGGCCTGCGCTGAGCTAACCCCTCGCCAGCACCCTCCTACTTCTCCCAATACTTCTATTGCCAGGTCAAGAAAGCACACGAAACGGGCGAGGACCTCTCCAATGCCATACGCACCCTCTACATCGACCGTGACCCCCAGACCTTCGCCGACATTTCCCTCCACCTCCAAGGGTACCATGTCAAGCCACGGGACGGCACGCACTTTGTGCGCCTCTTCGCCGATGCTCAGTTCTACAGCTGTACTCCCACCGATCCCCATTTTCTGCCATTCTTGCCTGACCCGGGCTAACACCTGTGGCAGTACCCAAGTTGATATCCCAACTCTACGAAGAGTCCATCTTTATATCCATTGGCCACCGCGAGTTCCAAATACCCCGCGACATCTTCACTGACCCCGGCAACTCTCCCAACTTCTTCTCCCTCGGCTTCGCCGTCTTCTTCTCCCACCCCGAAGAACTATTCCCCGGCCTCGACCGCGAGGGTCTCCTCCGCCCACCGTCCATCCTACCCCCTTCCGTCCCAAACCGCTCCGCCGAAACGTTTGCCGAAATCCTGCACCTCCTGCATGGATACCCCGTCACGATTCGTGATGAGACGCACCGCGCCGAGCTGTTGCGGGACTGCCGGTACTTCAACTTCAAGGGCCTGGAGCAGAAGCTCATACCACACCACATTAGCTATAACCAGAGCCGCCGCCGCGAGGAAATAGTCCTCCGCTTGGAAGACATCCTGAAGAGCGGCATAAGCGTGGCAGCCGATGTCTCGGCCTCCCCGGGCGACCATTTTTCAGGCTGGGTCAACTATGCGCGTCCCTATGTTGACGATCGCGCGGCGGAGCTCGTCCTCGAAGTTGGCGGCGAGAGCACCCGCATCCACTTCCAGTCCGGCTCCATTCGCGCTGAGTTCTTCAGGGACACCCGCGCTCGCATCGCACGACTGTTTGAAGTCGTGGCCACGAAGCTGAACCTGCCGCCCACCACCCAACCCCTAGGCCTCCTAATGGCCTCAGGCGGAGCCGGCAGCCAGCCCCCAACGCCCGGGCACACTCCCTTGAGCGAGGACCTTGTCCGCGTGTCCATCGACGCCGACACGTCCGTCACGTTAGACGGCAAGCCATACGTCTTGGACGCCGACGACCTTCACCCCACAAACCACCCCATGTCCGCAGCCTCCAGCACTGCCGGCGGGCTCGAATCCCCCACAGCGTCATCTTCTTTTCAGCCGAACTCACGCAAGCGGAGGCGGGTCGACTCGCACGGGTACGTGGCCGCCGGGCAAGCAGCACTCGCGGCCGACGAGTGGGTTGTGCGGACGGGCCAGTGGAGGCTCAAGATCCAGGGATCACGAGGCGGCAAAAGCTCTGTCGAGGTCGTGCTCGTAGCCGTCAAGCTCGACGCATACAGCTCGGAAAATGCCAGGAATGCGGCCCGGGGTTTCCTCAAGGGATGAGGCGTGAGGCGAACCTATTCGCCCGACACGCATACCCCGGGTCCCTTCTGCATGATTTGACAAGCTGTCTCGAGGCCGATTGGGGGAAACCCGACACGAAAGACAAGAGCGGGGCAGTCGCCAGCCCTCTACACTGCATGATGTTACGACTCGCTGTTGCTGTTGCTGTTGCTGTTGATGATGCATATACCAATACCACACATAGTTGAAAGGAAAAGGGAAAAAGGAGTCCGACATGCTCCGGTGTCCGTGGCCAGAGAGGAGGAGCTGGCGGAGGGAGGTCTGTATGTTACTTTGCGCACCCCTGATCATGCATATTTCCTTCTAGCGAAAGTTATTTTTTTTCTCCGTCGGGTTTTACGCATACCGTGTCACCTCCGCGTATCTGTCAAGAGAAGGGGCCGCTTTTCTCATTATTAGAAAGAAGAAAAAAAAAAAGAAGCAAGAAAACTCCGTGAGAAGTGTTCAGCACCGTCCATCATTGCAGTAGGCGAGACGCAGGTCAAAGGTTGGCGGCAATGAGCAAAGCACGCCACATGCATTTGAAGTGGGAGCAGAGTACGACAGCTCGGTTACGCATCGAAGGGATGCGTTGAAAACGTTTGGTAAATAAAACGAAAAGAACAAAAAAGGACACACAGCCCGACTCCTTCATTTTTATCGTTATACAACAAGTGACCCAAGACCAGCCCGTCGTCTCAGGGTCTGAATTAGTAAAAATGCTGGTAATCGTCAAGGTCGCGAGAAAAAACAACAATCCAAACTCCCCAAATGATAAAATGTGACCGACTCCTCCTCCCCTTCCCCCCCCTCTCCCCGGAGAGTTAGCCGTTGCCGCCTTTCCAGATTCCGAAGCAGGAGAACGAACGCCGTTGACTATGCAGACGAGAGAGAGGGTGCCGGCCGAGCGAAAAATAGCAAACAAGCAAGTTCATCTTTCCCTTCCCCCGCCAAAACTCCTGAACCATGCGGGAATAGCTCCTGGGTATGTCAATCACTTGCCCGCTCACCGAAACGCCTGTCCACTCCCTTTCCCGTGTCGTTTGCGCGTCTCTGTTGTTTTCTTATGTACGTGTAGACCAGCCAAACGAGCTGCGTGAGAGCGAGTCCCGTGCAAGCCTCCAAAGGCGGCCCCGCACCGTGATATTATTATGCCCTTCAGCCGGCTGGGGCCTGTTTTCATCATCCGAGTCGTGCGAAGAGACACCTTCGTAGGGCCGGATCGGTTCGGTCATGTCCTCTTTTGCGATGGGCAGGTCCGCCCCTGATAAGAAGGGGCTCTACGCCTTCACCTTGGGAACCGCCTGGCCTGCGGGGGCACTAACATCTCGCCGCTCGCCGGCACCCTCGATCATCTTCTTGCGGGGCGTCGCGGTGCCCTGGGCAATAGAGCGGGCACGTCCTCTACGTTCGCGGATGCGGGCCAGGGCCTCCTCGCGGGTCATAGTTGGTGTCATGGCAGGGTTGTTGATATCAAAAGACATGTGGCAGTCGCCGGCTGAGGGCGTGCGGGCGCGTTCCATCCTTGGTTGCGGCCGCGGCTTGTCGTCACGGATGGGAACGGTTGTTGTCGTCGTCTTGGTGTAGAAAGCGGCTGCGGTGTGCGGGCGGACGGTGTCTTCAGGGGTTGGGGAGGGACTTCTTGAGGACCTGGATGCGGGGCGTGCGTCCATGTCGGGCATGGTGGGGATGGAGGGGAGAGGCGCAGTATGGACTTGGCCATCACTGCCGCCGTGGGGAGCATTGAGGAGGGAAGCCAGTGACATGCGCTCCTGGGCGAGGACAGCAAAGTCAGGGGGTTCGAGAGAGGGTGTGCGCGAGAATCTTGGAGGAGCGTCGTGGGGAGTGGGAGGCTGGCTGGGAGACCCTACGCTGGACTCGTGTCCTCGTCTCCCCTGTTCGCACTGACCCTCGATCTCGTCCGCCTCACGCTGCGACACAGTTCTGAAGATACCCTCTCGGGCGCAGAAGATGGTGCTGCGGCGCTCTTCCCTTGAGCGTTTGGTGGCATCGGGCTTCTTGAAAGCCTTCTCCTCGACCGGGGAACTCCAAGAAGCCCTCAATGACGACTGGCTCGAAGAGGAGTCCCTACGCCCCTGAAGGATGACCAGATCACTGGCGTCGGCAATCTCGGCAGGTGGCATGAGCCTTCGCCTCGGCGACATGATACTTGGTCTGTTGGACAGACTCTGCCTCGGGGAAAGTATGCTTTGTCTTCTGGGCGTCTTTGCGCAAGGGCAGCAGCGCAGTTCACACTCGGCCTGCAGAAAGTCGACCAGTTCGTATGCGCGGTTAGCGCGTTGGCGTTCCCAGGAAACCTGGCGCGTAAGCTCCTCAATTTCCTCCTCGCTGGCGGCGGAGGAGACGATGTCCACCGTCGAGAGGGAGAACCGCGGTGCCTTTTTCTTCTTGGGTGATGCAAATTCGTCGTCGGGCGCAGCGTCGAACGCTTTAGGTAGCGGAATGCGACCCTCGGCGGCTATGCGGGCAACCTCCTCCTCCTTGGCCAAGGTCTTGTAGGCGTCCCGTTCCTGTTCAAGCATCTTGATGCGCTCAAAGGCCTCGCCGAGTGCCTGCTCCATACCGACCATCTGATAGCGGGCCTGGAACGCCTCTTCTTCGCGGGCTTTGGAGCGCAGCTTCTCGGCGTCGAGATTGTCTGACGCTAGCCGCCAGCCCTCGCGAGCGGCCTTGAGCTCTTCCTGGAGCTTGATAATTTGGGACTCGTTCTTGAACGTCTTTTTGCGGGCAAGCTTAATCTCCTTCTCCCACGCTGCTTTCGTGTGGGCGTAGGTTTCTTTTGCGCGTCCGTATTGTTCCTTGAACAAGAAGTCAGCAACTTTGGACACCATAGGATGGCAACGGCGGCAGAGGCGGATGGCTTACCATGACAGTCTCGAGACGCTCGCTGACGCGCTGCTCCCGCTCCTTGCCCTTTTCCAGCTGAACGCGCAGCACCTTGGACTCGTCGCGGTAGCGGCGCAGTTCGGTCTCGGCCTCCTCACGACCCAGCATGGCACGTTTGAGGGCAGCGTCTGCGGTCTTGCGTTCAAGAGTCTTGGACTGCATCGCAAGGTTGTTGAATTGAGAAATCTTCTCATGTACTGAGCTATCACGTCCGCCGGGACTGCTTCGAGGAGACGTGAAGAGGTTGCGACCTTGTTGCTTTTGGTTCGCGCGGTCGGGGGTCATTGGACTCAGTGGTCCGCCCGGCGAGGGCGGTTGTTCGGCGCTGTCGGCCATCTCAAGGTGAGGGTGATGGTATTACTGCTGTATTTATCGAGCGGTATCCGGCGTGCAATGTCGGGAAGGCGCCTTTGGGTCCGTAGGAAACGACTCTCTCTAGTCTGCCTGTGGCGCGCGATTTGCAAAAAAAGGATGATGGTGGTAGCGTCGGTGAACAATGGAACCCTTAATGGAGACGGTATCATGCAAGGCCTGCAGGTTAAAGGTGTATGTAGCTATCTGCCAGTCCAGGTTGTTGACGGCGCGCGGGAGCAGGGCAACGGATGTTTACAGTGCGGGCGGTGGTGCTTGTCTGCAGACGGGTTGTCCAGGTGACGCAGCCAGATTGCCCTAGCGAAATGGTTCATTTGTTCATTTGGTGTGGTATCCGGGGGGTAGCGTAGTGTAGGTATTGGGCCGTTGACGAATGACATAATCGACTCCACTTTGGGGCGAAAAGAAGAAAAAGAAAGAAGGCGCAAGCTGCGAGCTGCGAGCTGCGAGCTGCAAGCTGCTTAATGTGGTTAGTAGCGACCCCCACACAGCGATACCCCCGAATAATTGAAAGGTAGGACGAAGATGGGTGCGATAGAGCTGGGTGAACTTTGCATTTAATTGCATACATGTACGGAGTACAAGGTAAAATGATGTACCTACAGTACCAGGTCATTAATCTGGTCACACTATTAAGGGTCACATGATGTCTACCCCACATTTTACAAGGCTACGTAAAACCGTAGTCATATTATTATAGTGTAAACTCCAGCCAAAATAGATGTTTCTAATATCGTGTATACCAGCCACGTACTTTAATACATTCAGTAATCCTATCTTGGATGGAGTCTATTAACCTCCAGGTAAGTATTGGAGGTAGAGCCCTATATACCTCAATTAATTGCCTCTGAAGCTCTTGTCGCGATGCATTCAGACTAACATGTGGTAACCTTAGGCAGAAGGGAAAGTGGGCCTGGCGGAGGAATCCTGATGTATTAATTGGCTAGATATTCTGGTGTGACCAGATTAATGACCTGGCACTGTATATGCCTACCTCGCTGTGTAGCATAAATGCGCAACCATGTTTGCCAGAGCTCATGGGGGGCGACAGCGACTTAAATGACTTTAATTTCGATGGACTCTGGTTCTCGCCGCAGAAAAAGAATCGGGAGTTTCCCACCTGTTCCATATACGAGTCCCCCAACCTGCAATGTGTCGTACAAGTGGGTTTCGGCACTGTATCGTGTATGTATGTATGGGGACTCACAGCTTCTAGGAGCTCAAGACAACCCCCAGATATAGTACATGGTGGCTTGTGAAATCCAATTCTTCCATATGCATTTCCAAGTATTGCACCTTATCTGGAACTAGTCCTTGGGTCCAAAGGGGCCTTTATCGAGGACCCAGGAAGGGGGGAGGGTGATCTCTCCGGATGACCTGGATCCGCCGTGACCTATCACACGCCGACTAAAAGTCACTTTCGCTCTTTTGGAGGCATTTGCGGTGCCCACTTTGTCTGCCGCCGGCGAAGCGCATGAAGCTAGCAGAATGCTCGAATGTCCGCGGCATCCATCCAGGTGCTTTTCGGTTTTCGGTCCTTTCCCAAGGTTTGTCCGTAGTTGACCGTCTATCAGACCACGTCGACAAACCGGGGGTGTGTGCTCTCTCTCCATATTAGCGCAATTGTGTCCTCATTGGAGCAAAACCAGCTAGCTTCTGAGACTTTTCGCCTCTCGTAGCTTCTTGGCCATCTTTGCCCACTGCATCCCCTCCTCCCCTCCCAACGCCCCTCCCAACGGAACAGACGCAGCCGCAGCCATGGCAGACGACACGACAAGCGTGCGCCAGCGCAAGCCGGTGCAGGAAGTCGAGGATGAGGACAACTTGTTCGCAGGCACCCCAGCCGAGAACTCGCGGGGGAAGAAGAGCAAGAAGTCCAAAAAGGCCAAAGGCGAGACGGAGGAGTACAGCCCCTACCTCGACATCCTCCGCGTGCTGAGCTTCCTCTTCCTCGCCTCGTGCGCCCTGAGCTACCTGCAGAGCAGTGGCGAGAGTTTCTTCTGGGGTCACAAGAACAAGCCCTGGTACATGAGGCCCAGCTACTGGAAAGCTAAATGGGTACGTGCAATGCATTCCCCCCCTCCTCTCATGATCCTCCCGAGAATCGTCCCGAAAGCTAACGTGTGTACCCTTTTCCCGCAGAACGGACCCCTCTACCTCACCCCCGAGGAGCTCCTCCAGTACGACGGCTCCGACCCCGAGAAGCCCATCTACCTCGCCATCAACCACACAATCTTTGACGTCTCGGCGAACCCGCGCATCTACGGCCCGGGCGGCTCCTATAACGTCTTCGCCGGCCGCGACGCCTCGCGCGGCTTCGTCACGGGCTGCTTCATGGAGGACCGCACCCCGGACATGCGCGGCGTCGAGGAGATGTTCCTGCCGCTCGACGACCCCGAGGTCGACCGCCACTGGTCCTACGACGACATGCAGAGGCTGCGCGAGGAGGAGCTCGCCGCCGCCCGCGCCCGGGTCCACGAGGCGCTGAAGCACTGGGTCGACTTCTTCACCAACAGCGACAAGTACGGCGTGGTCGGCAAGGTGAAGCGGGACCCCGATTGGCTCGCCAAGGAGAAGGAGAAGAAGCTCTGCGCCCAGGCGCAAAAGGCGAGGGTCAAGAGGAAGGTGCCCGGACAGGAGGGCCAGAACTAAAGAGAGGCCGCGGGGGGGTTGAGCTCGCGCGTTGGACTCTGAACGTCGGCCCCCCCGCGTCATCAATTAGGAATAGGGAATGTTGCTCTAGGTGTGCTCCGAGCATACCTGACCTACTGTCTGTCACCTTGCAAGAGTGCATTTACCTCATCCCGTATGTGACCAACTCTTCTGGCCGGGTCTTTATGATTGTGATCCCTATACCAAATGTACTTACGGTCCACACGGCGCCTCCGTCGGGTTAACAGAGAGCCGGGAAAAAACGGCATGTCCCAAGCAGGCGGGTGATACCAGGGAGGGACTTCGTCGTCCCGCATGAGTGCCGCGTGACTCGGCGCACAAGAGCATTTTGGTTCGGAAGAGCTGCCCCCGTGCTTCGTCGCCAGCTATTTATAGACTTTTCAAGTAAATCAGAGGCCTCCATCCATTGCACTTGTCCCCCCCCCCCCCCTTTCCCAAAGACGGGCCCGTCTGCGATCTCCTAACACGCACACGTTGGCTGGATATTCCCTTCACTTGACGATTCGGTCGTCTCATTAAGGGATATTTGATTACCAGAATCAAAAAAAAATACTCGATTTAGATGCTATAGCGAGCTAAGAATGCCCCCGCCAAATCCAGCATGAACCCCATATACTGAGGGAAAATGGACCCCCGTCTAGTTTGTAGGTTTTCCTCGTACATCCCATCCCACCTCGTCCGACCCGAACCAGCCGATCCGGAGTCGCAAGGGTATCAGGACCCGGCGGTAGAGATATGCAGCCCCTCATGAGAATAGAAAAGGAAAAAAAAAAATGGTATTAAGCTTCATCATCACGCAAGTGTACACCGTCACCAGAGCCCAACGCCCGGCCGAAAACCCAATCCTCTCAAAGCCCCAGGCCCCATCGTTGCGACAAAGGCACTGCTTACAAGAGCAGGAAGCCGGCACCGACGGCGAGCAGGAGAGTTGCGGGTGCGCTGAGAGAGACGGCGCCGGCAGGGAGAGGGGGGTTAGTGGGAGCGGCGCCACCGGCACCACCGGAGCCGGAACCAGAGCCGGAACCAGAGCCAGAGCCAGAGCCGGTACCAGAGCCAGCACCGCCAGAGGGAGAGGCAGAACCACCTCCGACGGTGCCGCCGGCCGAGCCGCCGACGGGAGCCAAGGCCTGGGCAACGGTCTTCGCGGCCTTGGCGTAGTTCTCGAGGGTGCGGGAAGCGTTTGCCTTGGAGCTGCAGGTTGTTAGCATCATTCTGTTACTCTACTTCATGTAGGTTGCATCGTGATTGTGTGGGTGGATGTTCATGCGCTTCGGGTTTGGCCATGTATCATCGTCCGAAAGATGAAACACGGGATCGCCAAAGGTCGCAACGCCGATCCAGGGGGGAGTTCCCGACTTTGACACTTTGACGTGCACCAACCAGAAAAGCAGCAAGCTTTGATGGGGAAAAGGATTCGAAATTGAGAGAAGAAAAAAATAGTGACACTTACTTCTCGTTGATGACCATAACCATGCCGTTCTGGCAGTGCTTGGCCTGGGAGCAGTACAGCCACATGGGCGCGGCGCTGGTGACCTGGACGGTGAAGACGGGAATCTGGCCCATGGCAAGGGAGGCGGCGACGGGCTGGTATCCTGAGAAGAGACCCTTGGCGGAGCTGTTCATGCTGGACGTGCTGGACATGCCGGACATGCCGGACATGGGAACGCAGGGGTTGTCAAAGGTGGACTGGACGACCGAGTGGTTGCCGCCGCGGAACTGGAACTGCACCATGGAGCCGACGGCGGCGTTGAGCTTATCGGGGAAGAACTTGAGGGTGTTGTTGGTCGTTGCGACGGAGACCACATGGACAGCTGTAAGTTTATTGTGTTAGTCTCCCGCGTCCTGCTCTGCATCCCCCTCTCCGCCTTTCGACGACTTACACTGAGCCTGAGCAACGACGGCCAGGGCCGAGACGATCATAGCTGAGAAATGCATCTTGATCGAGTTTTTATTTTATTTGAATAAACCGGTTAAAAAAATGGGTTCGATTGTTGTCGAGGACGAGTCGAAAGAGTGACGGTAGTTTAGTAAACGGTTGGAATGTTGAATAAGCGGCTTGCGCTTGATAGGACTAGCCTGTGAAGTTGAAAGAATTAAAGATTCGCAACGAAAGAAAGGGAAGAGAAACTGAGAAATCCCGCCTCGAAAATTGTTTGTTGATGGAGTTCCTAAAAGAAGAGGGACCAGAAAGAGAGTGGGAAGGGGGTGCGAGGGGACGGCACGAATTTAAGCAGTCTTTGGGATCGTCCCAAGAACCAAGTGAGGAACAGGTCTCGACGACGAGGACAGGCCCCTTCAGACCCACCCACCCCCCTCCCCTTGTCTGCATCCATCGGGCGGCATCGTCGTCGTCTTTCGTGCTGCATTCGAAGCGAAAGTGGCTCACGCCATCCCCAGGCCGCAGCGCAGCGTCGATGGACAGGGGGCTATCGACACGTTGCACTGGGCAGCGGAGAGTTGAGGCGAGGCGAGGTGAAGGGGGGGGGGTGAGGAGGAGTGAGGAGGCTGATGCAGCGAGGTTGAAACACGTTTTGACCATCACACTCGGGGCCATGGGTGTGAGAGCCTGCCCTGCATCTGGGCCTGCGTACCCGCCGTACCGTCTTTCTACTGCCTTGGAAGCATGGGGAGACCTGTCGAGTGTGCAGGTCCAGGAGGGAGAGAAAGACATCGGAGCCCTGGCCTCGCAAGATTGGCAATTGATTCCCTAGGCGCCGCCATGCCTCGTCATCGTTGTCGTCGGTTTCTCGACTCGGGACTTGCTTGGTTCCTGAATCCATCTTTTTCTTGGCAGCCGCCCTAAGGGAATTTAACCTCTGCACTAAATTTGTAGAATAGAATAAACTACTTAGCCGGTCACTGGCACCCAGGTCGGTGGGTCTTGCGCGCATGGCTGCGTTGCCTTGCAGGAAATCCCTGTTTGCCCCTGGCTTGTCGAGAGCGGACGGGTCTGGGGAAGACACCCGACCAAGGAAGGCAAGACAGAGCAAAGCAAGTAGACCACTATAGTATGCAGCGTGTAGAAAATAGTCAGCGTCCAAGGTGGAAGCCGTCGTACCCGAGGACGGCTGTGCCATCGGTTCTGCCAGAGCGAGACGAATGGGGACCTGGGGTGCGTAGATCCGATGCGTTGCACCATGGCCGGCATCCCGGATGAAGAAACACAAATTGGAATCAGAAAAAGAACAAAAAATCCGGAAGCAGAGAGGAACGGAAGACTAGGCTCTGCGCCACACTGCGGCAAGTTAAGGCCGACCGACGATGACGGGCCGGGATGGCCCATGACACAAGGAAGCACTGACTGACTTACCCTATCCTACTAAGGTCTATACTACCTAGATGGGTGGGTAGTTTACCTAGGTACGCAGAATGGAAAGGTGATTACTGGAGGCAGGTTTTGCTATGCTCAACACCTCACTCATTGCGGCGCACGCAGGCTCGAGCCACGCCCGATGTCGCAAAAGTATAAAGTCAAGGGAGTTGGGACCGGCCCGATCTTGACAGGACAGAATACCTAACACACGGTGAAGAACACGGGCTGTAACGGTGGTTCGTCTGCTCGCAATGAGATTCAACAAGGGAGAGGTGAGAACCATCTCAATTTAGAATTCCCGCCTGTCAACCTACCAAGCCACATGGTTAGGCGGACAATAAGCCATTCATTCAGTCATTCGGGCAGTCGTCAAACACTGGGCCGGAACACGGCGCTTGAGAGAAGAGGGAGAAATTACGACGTGGTCAAGACAGCACAAGACCCGTCGTAACTCTGCATCTCATGCAATAAGACCAAGACTCCTTCTTCCTCCAGTTCTGTTGATACCGTCTTGGCTTAGCCTAGGGTCCAGGAGGAGAAGAAAGGAAGGAGGTGTGGAAGGGGGGGTTGAGAAAAAAAATTGGAAAAAAAAAAAAAAAAAAAGGTTGAGACTGGCAAGAGGCGGTAGCGCGTGTCAAACCAAGTCGGACGACGTCGAAGCCGAAATAAGGTTGGGTGTGCACATGTCGCCAGACGAGCCAATACAAACACCCCATGTCCCCATTTGGCCGGTACGTGGATTCACAACAGACCCACTTCTACGGGTTTGCTCCTTAGCCATTGGCTAGAACCTGGCGGTGGTCCCCAAAAGAGGCTGGCGCGCCCGGATGTGCTTCACCCTTTTTCAGCCCTCTGACAGTTCCGTAACTCTCCTTGTTTCAGCCGGTCCGTACTACCTGCTGTACCTGCCTCTATACCGGTACCTAGGTAGGTGATGAGTGTAGTACCAGCCATTCACCACCAGAGCCGCAACTACGGATTCCCTCTTCCTCCGACGTCTTCTGTCCTCCTGCCGGACCACCTTCTACTTGTCGTTCGTCATCCGACCACGTCCGCGTGCACGTGCTCTGCCCTAGCGATATTGCCTCCCGTGTCCGCCACCCTGGGGCTCTCTCCATCCTTAGTTTAGTACCGTATCCTCTGACTTAACTGAATAACCGCACAGACCATACGCTAGACCCCTTATAGAAAGCGGTCAATCTATTTCTACACACACCCACCCATGTAACCCTAACCCTTGCCGCCTAACTTGCTGCTGACGTAAATGACTCCCTGTATTTGCCACATCTAGATCCCTGTTTCTGCCACCACGCCAGCCCCTTTTCAGCAGCCCGCGGTCTGTGCGGTTATTCAGTTAAGTCAGAGGATACGGTAGGTTGGTAGGTAGGTAGCTAGGTAGCTTAGTATACCTACTACTTCGTAGTGCAAGTGCACTAAGCATGAATTGTCTGACGATACAGTACATTAATTGCCCAGAAGCAACATCAACCCCTGTCCATCCTCGGCTCTTAGCACCCAGTCGCTGCATGGCATCGCCGTCGCTTATCCACCCATTCGTCTCTCGTCTTGCCAGCCCGTCTCAACGGAACCGTACAACGCGCATCCCGTCTTGGACACTCGACTCTGTGCCTGCAGCCGTCGTCTTCCCTCGGATGTCTCGAGAAGCCGGGGAATGACTGTCGACGGAGGCATTGGCGTCTGATGTCCCCATCCCTATTCCCTGCCTATCCGTCTACCTACACGTACCCATCCATTCTTCTCTGGCTGGCCAACCGTCGCCTCCTAGTACGCGGAGAAACGAGAGGCAGCCGGCTTCCCCTGTCTGCCTTGCTTGTTCGAGTAATCGCAGTTCGCCTTATACCGCCTCGGGTACCCAATATTCGGGACCAAGGTCTACTTGCAGCACCTCACGCTTACGTAGGTACACACTTGCACACACTTACACACACTTTCTCTCTCGCTCCCTCCCTCCCTCCCCCATCTTTCCCTCATTCTCCCTATTACTCGCATCGCCCCGACTTAAGCGCCTTACTTGCCAATCAGGCCCTATTCTATCCCATTTCTCCCTTAAAGAAGCAAATTTCCTCGCTATCAAGTTTGCCTCGCCTCGTGACTCACGACGTCTGACTTGCTCGCCCCGACACAACTCATAGTCCTACCTTGAACAGGCCTTTCTCCAGAGCAAACGAGGATGCCTCGGATCTGCAAACACGTATCGTGCCTGCCCCATTCCACGGCCACGCTACCTTGCCTAGTCCCCATAATCCTTCTGCGTGGATCTTTAATTTACCCTTCCGACCGTTGGAGCGTCAAAGGCGGCCCATCACAGGGGTCGCCAGACGGGGAACCCAACCGCTTCCAGCCAGCGCCGCCAATGCGAACTATCACATAGTATAGCCAGCCGCCTGGCGTTATAAGCTTGCGGGTCCCTCTTACGCTCGCCTTTTAGCCGAGAATGGACTGTTTCCTAATGCAGCCAGGTTGAAAATCCTCTCTTTTTCTTTTCTCTCTCTCTCTCTCTCTTTTTTTTTTTTTGTCATGGCATGGGGACGACTCGGGGTAACTCAAGATCCGTTCGCCACACCCCCTGGTTTGGGGTAGCAGAAACGAAACGCTCCGATCCTCGTCAACGACATACTTGTACGCACGCGAGGCCAGTGAACATTTCCTTCGAATCGAACTGGACTCGTGCTGAACCGAATGCGGGGTTCTAAGAATAGTAGTTGTGGTCGCTCCGGGCAGTCTGGAGTCAAGATAGTTCAAGCCCATGGACCAAATCAAAGGTGCCTCGAGACCCGTTCCCCCGTTCAGAAGCGCATCTCGCGTCGTGTGAACTGGTCTTTTCATGTCGCCTTCGGAACGTCATCTCATCTTCCTTGTTCTTACGCCACAAGAAGCGAATAAAAAAACAAAAAATAAAGAGAGAGAGAGAGAGCCCGTCTTTCCTGCCCTGGATCTCGGTCAGCCATCTGTTGGCCTCTGCCAAGCCCGCAGGTGAGGCAGAGAGGAAACCGCGCAGCGCCGTATGCAGATGTTCAAGTGCGATGAGCGACTTTCCAACGCACGCCCGAGGCCCTCTTCGCGATCGAAATGTCGGCTTCTGTTTTGGGTAGGTTCGAGGTTTGGGGGGGACATGGGATGGCTGTTGCTGCTGTTGCCGACCGGTCGACAATGACGGCCCTCGATGGACGAGAGGGAGCACCTCGGGGCCTTGCTTTGTTACCGAGACCGTTCTCAAGGCGCCAAAATAGTATTCATCAGTAGGGACGACGTCGTGGTTGAGGCAGGCGAGCAAGACAGCGCGACTCCTCTTCACGCCTTGACCCAGATCCTAGTTTGGCTTTGTTCACAGCAACAACCCCCCCCTCTCTCCTTCATGAAGATTCACTTGCCAATTGGATGCAGAAACCCTCCTGGCCGTGTGCGCAAGGATTCAAGAAACCACCTTCATCACAAAATTTCAATGACTCGGACCCCTATCATGATCTGCTTGACGTGCCGTACATTCTGTTGCTTAGGCTACATACAGATGAGGCTCAACTGATCGAAGTGCGGCAGAACGAAACGACACGATCTGCAAGATAAAATAAGATAGCAGCCCTGCCCAGTAATGTTCTCAACTACAACCTGAATCGAGGACTGCCTCAAAGAGATGCTTGGGTTCGTCGTGCCCGCCTCGAGTTTTGTTCCGATATCCACCCAGACGCAAGGGGCCTCATCCTTAAGGGATGATACACGCTCACGGACGAGCCGTGGGCAGTCAGAAGGCTCCCAGGCCTCCTCCACCGTTGCGGCCCCCTCCCCAGCCGCATATGATCTGACAAGCTCGTGCTCATCCTTTACTGTTTCGTCTGAACACCGCATCGGTCTGAAGCAGGAGAGGTGCCAAAAAAACCCTATGTCTTCGAATGGCAGTTCTATCCGGCTAGATTTTACTCTTGTTATACCTCTAGGTGCGGGTCTGGACACATTGGTTGATGGCTTCGCGTTTCCTTCGTCGCGAACGGGTTCCGGGGACTCGTGCGCTCGTACAAATCATTGGTTCGGCGGCGCTTTTGCCCATCCCTCGACCATGCCGAGCGGTAGCGACGAACCCGCGGGTTGCAGGTGATGGGTGCTCTACTTGTTATTTGAGTCCCGTTTGTTATGCGTATGCCGGCCAGATACGCCATACGTGTGTGAGTTGGCGTTGAACCAACATAGATTAGTCTGGCCGAAGGGATTCGAGACGAGTAATCGTGCCGTTTGAGATGGTAAACTCCACCACAGTTCTCCGAGGCCGGGGGGCTTCCGAGCGCTTTGCTCACAGTGGTCCATCCCCTGTCGACTTGTGTATGAAATGCTCCGACGTCATGTTGAAAATTTAGTGATCATCGCAGAGCTCTACACAGAGCTCTACGCAGATCGGTTATGGGGAGGGGATACGTAGGCTCTCCTTAAGCAGTTCACAGCTTGTCGTGCCTGCAAGCTCGGGGATCCAATCTGGGCCGCGCGGTCGAGAAAGGACAGCAGCGGCCAACAACGAGCTATTGGCAACCCTCGCCGCTGGGTGAGAGCATCTTCCTAGAGGCGGCGATTTGTATATGGAGTATTCACCGGGCATCATTCGACACGGTACTGTTGCGGCCTTGCCGATCGGAGGCCTTCGGTAACTCAAAAGTCCATGAGTAGCTGCGGCGCAATCTTCTCCAAGTCCTCAACCTAGCTTCCCCGTCAGTTCCTTCGCCTGTACGCAGCACATAACAACAATGACCACAAAATCACCACCCCCGCAGGAGAGGCCAGATATAGTGAAACTCACTTCTAGGAAGCCGCCCGGCCGCTCGTGAATACACCGAGCGATGGCCTCTCTGACGAATACGTCCATGTACTTGCCTGCCGCGGCGTTCGCGTCCTTGCTCAGCCTCGTGTCGTCCTTTTCGAAGAACTCGTGCAAGAGCCGCGTCAGGAGCTCGGGCGGAATGGTGTTTTCGGGAGAGTCAACGTCCTCATCTTGCTCCTCGGCTTCCTCCTCGTCCTCGACCGCCCGCGACGCCGCGTCGCTGTCTGATAGCTCAAAGGGTCCGGACTTCTTGCGCGCGGGCTGCTGCGCGGCCTTACGCTTCGTGCCGGCGGCGGGTTGCTGAGACTTGGCCGGCCGACCGCGTTTTGTGGGCTGGGTCGGTTGATTGGGCATTCTGGTGATCCGGTCTGTTGACGTCGAGAAGTGGAGTGTTGGTGTCGTCGTTGAGGGAGGGTCGTGATCTACTTCTTGTCTTGCAGGCAGCCCAGATCTTGTTAGCGGTCGAAAGAGGGTGGCCGACAACACAAGTTTCACGTGTCAAAGATACGATAGCCCACTTCTCAGAGTTAACCCAGGAAGACAGATGGTCAAGGGTGCGTCCGCTGAAGTGCGAGATCTGATCTGGGTCGGGGATCAGGCGACTAACGCGGGGGGAGCAGCATGGCATGTGGGGACGGAAATTTGACGCTAGCCGCGACTGTCACTGTCGCTGCAGGCGCGCTTCTGGGCATTAAGCCCATTGGCCAATCACATGTCTGCAGCTTTGCTGCAAGCGGCAAACTCTCCTTCCAGAGGCCACATGGCATCAACAACCGGCAAAGCATCACCGTAGTCACAAAATACAACACATTCAGGCATCATCGGAGCAAGGTTATCGGAAGCACACATCTTAGAAAGAAAAAAGAGATATCTTCCTATTGTACCATGGAAGTCTATCGAGTCATGCAATACCAAGGAAAATCCACGCGAGGATAGACCAGAAACCGGTCGAGTCCGGCGGAGACAGGGTTGCGTGAATGAATGCAATCGGGAATTGCTTTAGTGTACAAATTACAGTGGATTAGGTAGCAAGCAAAGCTCTTCAGGTCATGTAAGAGAACGCCTTGCCAAATGCCATTCTAAACCACGAAGGACTGGCCGACGCAGACAATCCACCTCTTGTGGTGTCTGAATCCATAGTCCCTCCGCAACTTCCATCTCACCCCTTTTATCAACCGAATCCTTATCAGATCCCAGCCAACCACGAATCACCACAGCCCGGGTGTTGCCAACTGCCAACCCGCCACCGGTGAAGAGTTTATACACGAAGAGGTGTCAAGGCATTTAGCCAGAGCCACCCTTGAAGGCCTTGCCGAAGAGCAGGACCTGGAGCTGGTCGTAGATGGACAGGACACCAGCACCGGCAACACCACGGAGGATGTTGGCACCGGCACCCTTGAAGAGAGACTTGACACCCTCCTTGGCGATGATCTGCTTACCGGCGTCGAAGGAGCTCTTGTACTTGACGGCCTCACCAGAGGTCATCATCATGCGACGACGGATGGTGTCAAGGGGGTAAGAGGCGATACCGGCGGCGGTGGTGACGCACCAACCGAGAGCGAAAGAGGCGAGGAAGTTACCCTGGAGGGAACCGGTGAGGACGACGGGCTTGATGGAGTCGTAGAGACCGAAGTAGAGACCACGGTAGACGACGATACCAGCGACGGAGGGCATGAAGCCACGGTAGAGACCGGCAATACCGTCGGAGGCGAGGGTCTTGCGGTAGACGTCGACGAGGCCGTTGAACTGGCGCTCACCACCCTTCTTGGCGGACTTGGCGTCGTTGGCAAGACGGGTACGGGCGTAGTCGAGGGAGTAGACGAAGAGGAGGGAGGTGGCACCAGCAGCACCACCGGAGGCCAGGTTACCAGCCATCCACCAGGCGTAGCCGTCACGCTCCTTCTTGAAGCCGAACATCTTCTTGAACTTGTCGCGGAAAGCGAAGTTCAGGGCCTGGGTAGGGAAGTAACGGATGACGTTGGCAGTGTTGCCACGCCACAGGGACATGACACCCTCGTCGGCGGCGGTACGCTTGAAGCAGTCGACGATACCCTCGTACTTGCGGTCGAGACGACCCTGCTTAAGCATCTCATCCTGTCTGGAAGTTAGTCATGGTTCAGGTTGACAGTAGATGCGACAAGGCGCGCCAAGATCACGTGTCATGGTGTGTTGACATCGAATCGGGAGTACCCGATCGAGCTTTGGCTCGCGATCTGTCAACACCCTGTGCAGAAAGTCTTCACTAACCTGGTTCTGGATGAGGAGCTTGATACGCTCGATGGGAGCAGCAGCAGTCTTGGAGACAGCGGCAGAGACACCTCCCACTGTAGGAAGCGGTTAGCGGTTATTCGATGAAGGGAGCTATATATCGCGCCCGTCGTAATCAACTCGCCGAGGTCGGATAGCTGACAGGACAAGGGCGACGATGTCGATTTTGATGGTACAACATACTAAGGAAGTCGGCCACGAAGGGCTTGGATAGACGTTAGCATGTTTAGGGGTAGGTTATTATCCCTGGCCTGACGAGAAAAAAATCCCCAGCTAAGCTCGGTTCGTATATCCATCCATCGATCAATGGCGACGATAAGGCGAATGTTGACCATTGTCGCATCGGACTTGGCCCATCGAGTTGAGATCGGCATCGCCTCGATGAAGCCATTGGTCAAGTCGATGGCCACTAGATGTTGGTCGACGATGGATGGAAGCGACGTCGCCAGCGAGGGATTTTTTTTCGCGCAGCCTCAGGTGAAGGAGGGAACGGGAGAGGATAGTTAGCTTACCGGCATGCCCAGGACCTTCTGTTCGGTAGGAGGAGACATTTTGGCTGTGGGTTTCTTCTCAAAAGATCAACCTCAGAGAAAAGAATGAGCGGAGATGGACGGAGGAGTAGAAGGAGATGTGAAGACGGAAGGGCGAGTCGAGAGAATTTAAAGGCTCCGACCGGTAGCAGGTTTGGGGGAGGGAAAAAAAAATTCCTGCAGGGTGGCCGAAGAAGGAACAGCTTTGAGCGAATCTTTCCGGGCCGCGCTAAACTGAGGAGCACCGACCACCTCGAACAGGGCCAGGGTGCGTGAGAGGTGGCCGAAAAAGCGGGTCCCTCTTTCGCTGGCGGTCCTTCCAGACTCCATCCAGCAATTCGTGTGTACGGTTTCTTACCTACCTACGGAAGGTGTCCTCTTCTTCTCTCTCCTTCTCTGCCTTTTCTCCAGTATCGGATGGGCAAGAGCTGGGTGGGTCACCCCCTTCCAACCCTTAAATCCACTGGGAAGGTGCAGCACCGACGCCAGCACTACAGGTACTTACGTAGTGTACGTATGCCATGTACCGCGTACCTATAGGGAAGGAGGGAAGGGTGAAGTTTTTCTTTGGCCCGGCAACTGTTGCCTCAGGCCAGAGCGCTAGTTTGCCATGGAATTGAGATACCGGTTCACCCCGAGATTTGCACGGGGACTCCGCTGCATGTGTAGCTCTGGCTTTTTTTTTTTTTTTTTTTTTTTCAGTCTGCCGGCTGTCTGTCAGGCGGGAGGACGACGGCTGTGTCTCTAGTGCTCCTTAGCCAGGCACGTCGGTCCGTATTTTAATGAAAATCTCAGGTCCAAGCAGCGGTTATTGCGACCACGGTGTTGCGATGAATAGGGGCTCACTGGGCTGTCTCGGGCGAGACTGACTGACTGACTCTGTGGAAGAGGGAAGCTGGCATAGAGCATCCAGGTGGTCGGTCCATCAACCTCCACCCATATACGGCTTAGCAGAGGGTGTCAAACAGCGGATGGAGAGACGGCCAGCATGGCATGGCTCTGGTTAATGAGATTTCATTCCAAGCCTCCTTATCCGCCCGCGGATGCCATTGTCATATCCCGTTCTTTCTTGTTCCAGAATCGACCGTCATTGCTAGGTCCTTGCCTTTCTCCTTGTTGTTCTCATCGTCACGATCGATGGTTTCCAATGCAGCTAGCTGCAAGCGCCGAAACGCAATCTCCAGAGCCGCCTGCCATGGCAACTACTACGTAGACTGTTATTACCGGATATAGGTCATCAATATCTCTATTCCCCTTATCCCTCTGGCGGGTCCTTCAATCCGAGCAAAAAGCCACCCATGTCCCAGTGCCAAGCCGCCCACCTTGGATGGCCGGGTATCCTCTGGGGTCTTGTCAGCCAGCAGAAAATTGGTGCATCCAATCCTTTGAGCCGCCGCCGCTAATTCCTTATCCGCCATTGACCTGCATCCAGACAACCGAGCTTAAAAAAGAAAGACGAAAAACTAGGGACTACGCCATCCGTATGTTGTACCAACATACAGGCTCTAGAGCGCCAGGGGGGCAGGCCTGTCTGGTCGGCCGAGCCACGTCTCTTCTTTAGCCTCGGGTACTTCTCCCCAGTGCGCAAACGTGAGGTACGGCAAGACAGACACTCACATGCCCGAGCTAGGTAAGCGCATCTCGGGTTTAGTGCGGTAGAGTATGAAGCAGAGTTTGTTTGCTATTTGCTTCCATTCGTCCAAAGCCGCTGTGGTGTACAGCGGAGTGTACTGTATGGAAATGACGGGGCGGATCTATGGATACGGCCCACGATGCCCAATGTATGTAATTTTTCGCCATCCATGAAAAGGGGAGGGTACATTATTGCCTTCTTGACAGCCCCCTAGCACACTCGGACATGCCCTGCTCTTGACAGCATGCATGCCAACGCAAAGCACCCGAGCCGAAGCAATCGACTTATGTGAGTACATTACGTAGTAAAGGACTGGCCAAGCTGAGAGACACTACACTCGCTACACTACACTACACCACACCATCTGGTCGGGCACACGCGACGAGCACGGATGAGTGGCCACTTTCAAGACGCATTCAACGTCAGGCTTCAGAAACGGCACGTTTGAATCCTTACTCGCGCGGCAGCATCCCTAAACCAGTGGCGGCAAGGCAGGGCTGGGACATTGCCAGCTGTGTCACCATGCTACGAGTACGGTCTAAAAGAGCGTTGAAAGATGGCATCCTCGCAGCCCGACATACATTCAGTCTTTCGCGCGGGCTGACAAACAATCAAATGAATTTCTTTATCAGGCCGGGATGTAATCAAGCCTCGGAACCCTTCCCCAGCGCGGGAGATCGGGAGAGCGGGAGACCGGGAAGAGAGGGATTGGAGGCCATTGGACGGATGGTTTTGCTGTGGATTTCCCCTTTGGCCAGCTCAGCTTCTTCTCCTTTCTTGACATGGGACCCGTGATAACGATGACCGATCTGTTTCGACCAAAACTGGCTGCGCGAGGTGCCGGGGTTTGTTTGGTCTTCAGACTTCTCTCCGTTTTCTGGCCAACAGAAGCGCCAACGGGCCGCAAGCAGCCCCAGCTATTTGGATGCCTTGGCGCCTCGTTTCAATCGGGTTTTCTGCTGCAGGCAATACCCACACCTGTGCGCGACGTCAATAGTCGACAACCCATAGGAAAAAGAATAGGAAGTCTCTATCGATAATTATTCATCGCGCAATAGAAATCACTCTGTGTACAGAACTTTCTTGCGATTGACAAGTGTGCTCGCCTGGCGGTAATCCTGTTCGATTTTCTCTAACAATATTGTATCGTTATTGAAACTTTTGGTTCATTCAAGAGCGTCGCACTTGAATTAGATGTTTTTCTACAGAATGAAGCGTGTCATTCGTCATGTCTGTCACAGATTCCCTTACTTCGACCGCATCCTCCACTAGGCTATCAAACCCCTAATCCAACATAGACCTGATAACCTGGATCTGCTCCAGCACGCTTGATCGACTGGCGCCGCCTTCAGCCGGTTTCGCCTCGACACTCGCTTTGTATTCAAATGCCTCCGCAATGTCTGCTGTGAGCCGATAATCAATGGCCTGAAGTTGCTCAAGGGTCAGCTTGTCCGTCAAAACTTCCAGCTTTTTAGACAGTGCAACGATGCGTCTAGGGATGTGGACAGCCTCTCTGAACGGACTACCATTGCTCACCAACCGCTCTGTAACATCAGTGGCTAGCATCGTTTTGACCAGAGCGGTCTCCATCCGCTCTGGCCGCACCTTCAAGGTAGTAATAACCCCACTAGCTATGCCTAAACCATCCGACATAGCTTGAACCGAATCCAGCATAGGCTCTCACCATTCCTGAAGATCTTTATTATAGCAAGATGGCAGGCCTTTCAAAGTCTTTCAAATGAATAGTTATAGCTACTCTCGATACGCTCCTCAAAGCCAAGGCAGCTGGTTGAGGTGTTAATAAGAGGACCGCCCCTTTAGAGCATGCCAGGTCACCAGTATCATGCACAATTTGCACAGTGTATTACATAAGGTAGGGTAAGGTGATGCAGTACGACGTCTGCCAAAGGCCACGTGACAGCTGCAGCTCGGCTCGGCTCCGGCCAATTTTTTTGATTTTTTTATTTGCTGTCTTCCCTCAGGCCTCTGTTTCGTATGAGCCTCGCCCCAAATTTGATGCTCGCCCGTGCTGCACCCGTGGTTCATCTCGCTCGCCGCATGCTCCAGATTCCCGTTCTTAGTTCCCCATTCTCTTCTCCAACCTTGCCGACCGACCAACGAGAAAAATTCATCGACCGCCCAGTGGCCCGCCTGCAGTACAATAAACACGCGAAATCCCACGTCTTCAAACTATTTCTCATCACGTGACCCTCCTCGACTAGACGAAAAAAAACACCACCCGCACGACACGCCTTTGGATGCGCGACGACTTTGGCCCCTGATAGCCATCCTTCCCACCCTGAACGCGCCCAGATAGATGCCTCAGCCCACCCAGAGCTCCTCGTAGAGGCTGCCAGTACGTCCCGCGACGCGACTTTCAGCCTTGCGACGCCGTGATGACACATGTCTAACGTCCGAGATGCAGACCCTGGCGCCCATCCATCCTCTCCCCCAGCGACCTGACGGCCCCCTCGATCACTGGCGAGGTGCATATTGGGGCATGAATAACCCGGCCGCCTACACTCCTCTCGAGTCCCTCTTCCTGTTCCAAGCCATCCTTAAGCACGGCGTCGAGGCTGCCGCCTTCATCAAGGTCTCGGATCTTCTCGTCAACAACTCGCTGATCAAGGATGACAAGACCTACGACGCTAAACGACTGAGCCCGGATGCGCTCCGACAACTCTTCCTGCACCTGTTGCAGGAAGAGCTCCGGAGCGAGGCCGCCACCGCCGATAAGCCCGATGGCACCTTGTCGCCCAACTCCAAGAAGCGCAAGCTCAACCGTCCGCCGTTGCCTACGTTGAAGGAGGTGAAGGAACAGCTGCACAAGCTCCCGGCTCTTGTTGATCGGCTCTATGCAAGGTACAAAGCTCACGTCGTAAAGGATGTCAGAGATGACGAGCGGCGCATCGAAACACTGGCAAGAGAGCTTCAGGTTCTCGAGGCACAAGAGGCCAACGAACGGGCCAAGGCCAACGCGCACCGCCAAGCAGCTCCAAACGGCACCTCCGGCCTCAAGACGACTCCGACGCCTGTCCCAATACCATCGCCCGTTCCGACTCCTGCACAAGCTGCGGCGCATCAGCACGTCAAGCCGTCGACGGCGACACCGTCCGCCGAGGTACCGAGACCGATCAGGCCCGCGAGTGGACAAGCTTCCGCTCCCACCCAGACTCCTGTGCCCATTCCAACACCCGTACCTTTGCCACCCCAGGCGCATGTCCGGCCGTCAGCAAATACAGCATCAACCCCGCCTATCGCACCCAACCCTACACCGGCAAGGCGAGATGCTGCTCCTCCAGGCGTGCCTCAACCGTCGCCCGTGGCTCCTCCGGCGCAAGCTGTCTCCGCAGCCGGGGGACCAGCTATGACACCTACCACCACCCCAGTAGTCAAACAACACCCGCCCCCTAAACCTCCCAGTAGCTCTGGCCAGGTTCTGCAACCTCCTAGCAGCGCTATCCACCCACCCGTACGGCCTGGTCAGTCGACATCGCCAGTTCCTCTGCCGACGATTTCACCTCGGCCAGACAGCATTGCGAAGTCCCGTACGTCAGGGCCGGCAACACCTGCGCAGCCCTCAACACCAGGAACCCTCAAATGGGAGAAGCCATATCAACCTGCCACTCCAGCATCGCAGTCACAAGGCCGTCCCGTGATGCCGCCAAATATCCCTACAACATCCGCTCCGTCGACTCCCGGCCAGCCACATCATCCGTCACAACGGTACCCTCAACCGACAGGGCAATACCACGGGCCACCGCAGCCACCACACGTTCCAATCCAGCCAAACCCTGCACAAAGATATCCCCAGCAACCGCAGCCGGTATTGGTGCCGCCTCAACCGCAGACTCAGGCTCAGGCGCAGGCGCAGGCTCATCCTCAACCCCAGGGTCAGGCCACAGCACAAAGCCTCGCCCAGGTCCAGGCCCAGTCTCAGCCTCAGCCTCAATCTCCCCAAGCTCAGCCGAAGGGGCAGCCAAAGGGGCAGCCGAAGGGACAGCTAGTGGCACCAATGCATTCCACACCGGTGAAAGGCCCTCCAGAGAGGTCTGCTATCCAGCCCCCGCAGGGTCGTCCGTTATCAACGACCCCGATTGCCCCTCCTGTGCGGCCACAGCCGACCCAGCAGCAACAACAACAGCAGCAGCAGCAGCAGCAGCAGCAGCAGCAGCAGCAAAAGACTCACTCGCCAGCCCCTCCAGCCTCGCAACCTCCTCACCCCCCACAACCCCCTGCCGGATACCAAACCCAACCGCGCCCTCTTGCTGCGGCCTCGCCAACCCCCTCTTCTGGCGCATCAGGACAGACCGCAATTCCTCCACCGAGATGGCCCCAGTCCCACCCGTCGCCTTATGCACAGCAACAGTTTAGTCCTTCGCCGGCCCCGGCTCCGGTCCCGACCCCTACGCAACTCCAAGCGAAGCCGGCTGATACCCAGCGGCGCGTTAGTGCCCCGTTCAACAAACAACAGCAACACCCCCGTCCAGCAATACCTCCTCACCTCGTTCCACAACTTGCAGCCACCCCTCAACCGGCACAAAAAGCCGCAAGCACGCCAATTCCGCCTCCACAGACGCCTGTCACAGCACCTCCTACTTTTGTTCTTACTGGCTCTGGTACCAAGTGGACTTTGAAATCAACACCTTCCACGCCTCGTCCGTCCGGGGCCGGAAAGGAAGTCGCAAGCCCCGCTTTTGAGCCACTGAGCCCGGTGCAACAACCTGCATCTTTGCCTGCACCAACACCATCACAAGCATCGAAGAAGGCCAGCCCGAAGCCGACACCGGTACCTATCCCGATCCCGAAGACAGAGTTGAAGACCCCCGCACCTCGAGGTCGGGGCCGGCCACCTCGCAGCGCAAACAAGGTCCATGCCGACACCACTCCGTCTTCGGTGGTTGGCATGCGCAGGAGTCCGTCAGTGGCATCTCAGACGGACGAGTTATCGATGGATCACCATGAGTTGGCGCCCAGAATTAAGGATGAGAACGCAACTCCTAGAGCGACTCCAAGAGCGACACCAAAGCCTCAGGATGAGACAGGCGATACCACTGCTGATGAAAGCGTGCCAAGCCGAAGAAGCATGGTCACTCCCAGCAGCGTTTCGTCCCGGCTCCCTCACAAACGCAAGCGTCAAGACACCCCGACCGAGCCGCTGCCTCTGCCCACGGCGCCCACTCATGTCCTGTGGACGAGGCAGTTTGGCCGTGTGAGCGCCGCCGCCCTCGATCAAATCAGCGCTCATAGATTTGCAAATCAATTTGCAAACCCGATTCGAGAGCGAGACGCGCCTGGCTACAAGACGCTCATCCTGCAGCCTCAGGACATTAAGTCCATACGCGCAGCCATCACTCACGGGAACAGAGCGGCTACTGAGGCCGCCAAGGCTCTGCCGGAGGGAGATCCGGGCACTGGCTCTGTTCTGTTGCCAATCAGTGACGACTTGGTGCCTCCCAAGAGCATCATCAACAGCGCGCAACTTGAGCGAGAACTGGTCCACATGTTCTCCAACGCCATCATGTACAATCTGAACCCCAGCCGCGGACCGGGCCCGGCTTTCATGAAGGGCGGTACTGCAGCTGATGGTGCCGATGTGGTGGGATATGAGGTCGACGAGGACGCGGTCGTCCGTTCTACGAGAATGATGTCCATGGAGGTTGAAAAGATCATTGGCGAGCTCCGTAATGCAGAGAAGGAACGCACAGGTCAAGCCCAATCCAATGCTGGCAACACGAGGCCGGCGAGCGTAGCTACTGGCGAAGACACGCCGATGGCCGAGGACGATGTTGATGAGCTGGCGGGCGATACCGACTTGGGATCGACAACGAGGAGACGGCGCGTAGGCACGAGAAACTAGGCGTTGCCTCGTATTGCGCGCGACCCTGATGATTGAAGTGTGTTTTATGCGTTATTAAGGACTAGAAAGAAAGGACCAAGCATCTGGGTCTCAAGGAATGTAGGATACTTTGAGCGGAACTGAGGGTCCGCCTTCGTATGATAATGTTATCAATAAGCCCAATTGTGGCCATTGCGTTACTTGAGCCTCCAAATGCTCGCACTACAAAGCTCGTCCGAGTTGTGTCTCCCGTCCAGTGAAGCCTGGGAGACGGCGAGTGATGTGCTTCCCAAGGCCAGGCCAGGCCAGGCCAGGCCCGTCCTGTCCCGTTTCCTGCCCTGGGCCGGCCACGTGTTTGTCCCATATACGCTAGTGAATAACTGTACGTGAGGAAGGCGAACCACGGTGTCCTCTTACGTTACCATAAAGACTTTGAATTAGGCCGATTTCCGAGAAAGCAGTGGACAAACAAACTTTATATATCGTATAGAAAGACGGCCTCGGGCTCGCTGTTCTCCCGCAGTCGCAGGAGGCAAGGGTTTACCGCTCGCGAGCGGTGCTCTGCGCATCACGTCACGAACACCAAGTCGTTTTGGGGTCTGAGGATGGAGTACCGACTTCTCCAGGAATCTCGGGCAGCTCTTGTCGGCTAGGGGTGTGTTCCCATAGTGCCGGCGGGCGAAATTGAGGCTACCGACCCTGGATTCCCTGCGGCCTCATCCGACCGACTGTCAACGGGGGCGTGTGTGGTTCCTGGGCTCTGCTCCCCTGGGAAATGGAGGAGCCTGTATCCGCCCGATGGAGCTGTTCATCAGCCGTATCATGGGGCTATGTTTTGAGGCCAGCGAGGGCGCCGAGGGGCTCGCGGAATTTTATATACGACGATCGAGCATATCTCAAGGAACGCTTTTCGTGTGGGTGGGCTCGAGCTCCGGGGACATGGCTGAAGTTTTTCAACAATACTCATGTCTCCAGGCTAATTAGACATGATTCGAGGAAACATGAACCATTGAAGAATACCGCAGACATGTGTTCTTCACCAAGCGCAGGGGTGGAGGTATTTTCACTTTTTTTTTTTTTTTTTTTTTTTGAAAAACTATCAAATGTTTGACCTTTGTCAGAAAGAGGGTACAGTGATGCGGGTGCTCTTGTATTAACTAGGAGGATATGGATGTGGCCTTGGGTCTGCGGACAAACGACCCGACGATGAGGCGGCTACGCTGAACGCGGTGAGGCAAAGGTATCAGCCATCTACGCGGCCTCCTGCGGCAAATACAATGTGAATCTTGGAGGTCGCCTCTGGAACCCAAATTGCCTGTCTCCGGTGGGTGTATCTAGCTTGACGACCTGTATTGAACAAGCCAGCTGCTCCGGAATCTCACGAAGGGGGGGCGATTTGATAGAGAAAACAGGAAAGAAAACCTGGCAAACGATAGGTGACCAGGCATCTCCCACCAGTCTACTTGAGAGACTGTTGTCTAACATAGAATGGATAAAGCGATTGAGGATCGGAATACATGACGGCTGGTGAGGTTTGTTGATTCCATTCAATGAACTCAACATGACTACCTTGACAAGACGATAGTAGTTGCCCGGAAGTGAACATTTATACGTAGATTACTACACATGCAATGCATATGCAATACATCTATCAATCGAGACCTTAGGTTGGTGGCCCGCGCAGTAGGGTCCTTTGTATAATCACAACGGAGAACTCTCTTGTGGAAACAACCTAAAACTCTCTACAGGACTGGAGTCCCGTGGCACCGATAAACCCTTCTACAGTCCTCATCATTCGACCCGGCTAGCAGACAAAGCACAAACCCTCCCCTCAGCACTGCCCCCACCTTCAACTGTTGTCCATAGGCAGCCAGGCTCGCAGGGTTTGCCTTCAGCCCCATCGCGGCCAGGGCAAGGCTCTTCTGAGAAGCGGGCCGCGACGTCGCGAGGGCGTTGGTGAGGACGTCAACACTGGCAGGCCCGCCGAGGGTCGCGGATAGCATGTTCGGGAGGGAGAGAGAGGGAGGGGGATGGAGGAGGCCTCGTAGGCGATGCCGCAGTCTTAGATGTGGGTCTTGGCTTTGCTCGCGGCCGCGATGGTGATGAGAGAGGAGGGATGCGCTGATAGGAGGGGAGGAGACGGAGCGGGCGAGGGCCACGACTGCGGTGGTTAGGGTCGCGGCTGAGCTGGGTCAACATACCCGAGAACGATGCCACCTCCTACGTCCTGAGACCATCTAGGCTGAAATCGCATGGTATTGGGAGGGGGGACAGTCAGGATCGCCGAGCCTTAAGGTGGCGATGTGTCTAGGTTGAAACGGATCTTGGCAGAGCTCCGTGACAAGGAATCGCCTCAGGATTGAGGCTGTGGTGATGAGCGCAAAAAAAAAAAAAACAAAAAAAAAAAAAAAAAAAAAAAGAGGAAAAAAACCGACCTCTGCAATTGAAATCATTGCATACGGGTGAGTATCCTTTTTTTTTTTTTTTTGTATTACCAAGATGCATTGGTAAGACGTAACTTTTAGTGAGATACAGCGTAAGAAGGATTCTGACGAAGAGCGAGAAAGTGCACACATGAGGAAAGGGAACCTAGCATGAACAGCAGAGTCGGCAGATGATGTGCAAGTTATTCAAAATCTCACGACAACGAAGGGCATATACGGTCATTTGTGGGAAGCCTCGCGATGAATGCCCGCCGGGTCGGGCCCCCACGGCCACGAACACCGGGGGCATTGCCCCGGATCGGAGACCGGCAATTGTGGAGAAGCACACGAGCAACGCCGGCCAGCTACGGGTGGGAGGTCCGGAACAAAGGGGGGGGGGGGCAACATCCTGACCCGCGTCGAGGAGGGGAGGAGGGGAAAAGGTATTGAAACGGGACGTGCGTGGTGTATAATGGGAACGGGATGAGCCGGCTCTGCGCTCATCTCCGCTCCATCGAGGCGGCCTTGCATTGACAGAATGACAGAGTGATCGGGGAGGCAGGTTAGTCACCTGAGCTGCTGCGCCATTGCCAAGACCGAGCCGGGTGAGAAGCGATTTGCTGGCTTGTGGGAGGGAGAGAGAAACTATGACGAGCCACGGTTGTTATTGTTGGGGGAGGGAAGCCTACTCGCGCCGCTGGCACTGGAGGGGCGGGAGGTTAAAACAACAAGAACAAGGGAAAAAAAAAACCAGACGAAGATCTTGCTTCGTGATCGTTTGTTTCTTTGGGTTTCCTTGGTTCACAGGCGTTGGCCTCGGGCTTGGCGGGGGTCTGGCTAACAGGAGCAGCAAACAGGGAAGAAGAGACGACACTGGATTGCGCGAAGCGGCGGGCGACTCGCGCATGGCGGTCGGTCCATTAGTCTTGGCTGCCACGGTGCGGTGAGGCTGTGCCTCCGTTCGTCCAGGGAGACAGACTTAACGTAGTACGTGTGAGTGAGAGTTGAGTTTTGGTCCTAGAGTCGGTGAAGAGGGAGGGGAAAAAAAAAAGAAGGTTGTGGTGGGTTAGTCACAAGGGAGGCTTGACCGCCCGGGTGCCCGCCGTCGAACCATCCGTATGGAAACACTGGAACGAGGCTAAGGAGTTGAGATGAGGATGGGATGGGAGAAAAGGCGAGTGGTTGGGGGTTCAGTTCGTCGCTACGGCGAAAGGGGTTGTCAGCTTTCAAGGCGGCCGGAGCTCGACGTCAGAGGAGAAGACTGGCAAGACGAAGGAAATGGAAGATGGTGTTGGGCTGTTAACCTTTTTCCGTGCAGACTGTGGAGAGGGGGGAGGGGAATGAGGGATGGATGGGCTAAACTAATGCAACAGGCTATCAAAACAAAAAAACGCAAATTGGACAAGTCTTGGCATATCACGATACTGTCGGAGACATGCACTGGCATTCGTTGGAACTTACCGTCCCCCCCCTCTCTTTCTCTCACACACACAAGCAAAGCAGCAAGCAGCCATCGGGAAGATCATGTTTTGTGTGGTGGTGCACCTGGACACTGGCCGGCAGAATGAATGTCTTGTCCATATTGCTGTGATTTGATGATGTCAAGGCCGGGCTTGGCATAGAACCCGAGGATGACGGAGTGAGACGACTAAGGGTGGCAGTGCAGCTGCCCTCTTAGTCTTCCCGTTCCCTTTCCAAGGCCCTTCCTTGGCCACAGCATCGCAATGTTATCTTGCTCATCAAATGTTTTGCCATGTGTTGGAGCTCCGAGCTCCGTAGTCATCGACCTTTTCGGCGACAGAGGCCCAGTCCCGTCCGTCCGTCATCCATCATCCATCCACCAGAACGCTGCCTCCTCTCTCCACCTGCGGTGGTAAACGAATGGGCCTCGCCGCCCTTGTTTCGTTTGGACTTGTTCCGGTTCGCTGTCGCCAGGGTGTCGCCGGGTCCGGGAGCTGGACGCCCGCCCTGCTTCGGGTAGGACAGAAAAGCCTACGCTACGGTCTCAGCGGTGAGCACCTTTGCCGTGAGGGATGGGTTGGTTGCCCTGGCCCATTTCTCGCGTCCAGAGTGGGATGATTTGACGATTGCAGCCACACGTCAGTAGTGACCAGTGGTGAAATGCATCCATCCATCCATCACTGACCATGTCAACCCAACCCAACCCGACCCGACCCGACCCCTTCTGCATCCTGTAGCGCATAGCGACGTGTGAAGCACGGGGACTTGCTGTGTTGTGCTGTGCTGTGCTGTGCTGCATCCCTCAGCGTGGTCACACACGTGGTGGGAAGCTTCTGATGACATCCTCGGGATCACTCATGGCATATGCGCTCGCTCTGTGCGAGTGATGAGATGAAATATGCCCAGCCAAGGTTTTCGTCTGTTATTATTTCATCTATTTTCTTCTTCTTCTTTCGTTCAAACCCTCCCCCTTCTCTCCCCCATCGACAAAAATACTCACTACGCAACCCGTTGCAGTCTCGAGACATGCCGGCGGGTGCTGGACCGCTGAATCGAGCTGAATCACAATCAAGCAGTCGATCCTTTCTTTCTTGGCTCTGGTAGGTTCCTGCCAAGAAGGGCCGGACTTGTGGCTCACCTCACTTCCGGAGCCGGCGGCCTCCTTTTCCTTTTTTATTTTACTTTATTTTGCGTTGCCCAAAGCACTCAAGTCGGGACCGCGCAGGGGAGAATAAAAGTAATGTCTCGGCGTTTGTGTCCCATCCAGTCACAACGTTCAAGGCGGATTGTCAGTCCGTTGGGCTTGGAGCGACCAAAGCTCCGTGGAAGCGACAATCGGGCGCGTAGTGACTAGGGGCGGGATAGCCTATACCCCGTCATCCACCTCTCACCTCGGTGAAACGGTGCTGTGCGGATGCGTCTTCTTGGCGTATGGTTTTGATCAGTCGAAATGAGAGAGTGACATGCGAAGTCAGGTACAAGTGCGCATTCCGGCTTGTCCAGGTAAGGTGTAGGGATCGACGGAGGGCCGATGAGGCGTGGGGAAGGATGAGAATGAACGAGGAGAGGCAGTTAGAGAGAGAGATAGAACGAAGGTCTCCCCATATCCAGGCGACGACCCAGCGGGATGATTTTATTCCCCATATTCAATGCAACTCCACCGTAATTCAAAGACATGGCTTGGCGCTTCACCTCCCCCTTGTTGCTGGCTGAACTCCAATGCATTGCCAACGAGGACGCACCGATGCCAGACGAAGAAACACCCGTGTGTTAAATTGAGCTGAAGGATCTTCCGTCGCTCAGTGTTTGAGTGAGTGAGTAGGTGAATAGCAAGGCAGAGAAGAGCAGCCGGTCAGCCAGTTATCAGCGGTTCCAAGCCTGGGTTCACGATTGTTTGACTGTTCGGCTGTTTGACAGCAGTGGTTACACTGGATGGATGACTACCGGCCGCTGCACCTTTACGTACTGGACGCCAGCAGTTTCTTGGCAAGACTAGAATTTCTTGCCAAGCCAACTCACGGGGGGCTGTGTAGAAAAGCGCATGTCCTCAGTCTCCTGTTATTCACCAGAGCCAAGCCTGACTAGGACTGGGACATTGCCCAAGCCAAGCGAGAGAGGACAGGCGCCCTAAGAGTAAGAGGCGGGAGTGTAATGGCCAGTATCATGTACCACACCGGTGGGTGGCATTGCATGAAGGTGTTTCCTTTCGCCCTCTCTCTCTCTCCCTTATTGTTTTGTTGCTTCCTGTCATCTTGGTTGATCTCGAAACAAGAAAACAGCAGCGCCTTGGGCCTTGTGCGCGCGCTCATTTCGTCACTCTCACTCTTGCCCTCACTCTCATGCTCACTCCTCTCTCACTCACTCACTCATAATATATCTCTCTCATCGCATCATCTGCGTGGCCTGGGAACCGGGTTCTTAACCAAAAGTCTGACCTGCCAACAAAAACCCCCAGACTCAGTCCCACGTATCTTTCTTGTCAGGCAAACTTTATTTTCCCCTTCATATCCCTCGCACCTTGTTGTCATCTTCCCTCGCCTTGTCGAATCGGAATCGCCACACAGATATGGAACACACCACCTAAACGGTATAGACACCCACGACCGAGAGGGAATAACGAAGAAAGAGAGAAAAAAAACTCAACTGCCTACACAGCCCCCCTTCGATAGTCCATATGAGGAGGCAACAACGACATTGAGACTCCATAGTACCCAGCGGGCCCCCTTTCTCCAGGCGCCTACGATCGTCCACGTCCGTGACTGTACCGACACGCCCCTCCCAAAATCGGCAGGCATCGCATCACACATCACGCATCGCGCATCGCTGGCACCAATAATCTCTCCAATATCTCCAGAACCCGACCTAATCAGCCACTTTCTCTCCCTCCCTCTCTCCCTCTCCTCTCACGTCGGGCCCTGACTTCACTTCAACGATATCGCGGTACACTCCATAATTCGTTCCATTGTAATCCATCTCTCCTCCCTCCACGCTCTTCTCTCCGTCCGTTTCAACAACACTAATCTATCTACACAGCCTCCCCCAGAATATGCCTGGTAGGCCTCACGGGTTACACTGATTGCCACCTGCGGGCGTTCATCAGGTCGCACTCGTCGTACCCTATTTTTTTCCACTTCGCCCTCGTGGTATCCCAATCAGCCGTTCTTTGTTTGCACCCGCGCAACCAAATTCCTTTCGGGCCGCAGACTTACAACCAAACAAACTACTTACCGAACGCATCTGCCAAGCAGCACCGGCCGACCGCACATCTCTTTCTTCGAAAAAGGGAAGTGGGAAAAAACAAAAACAAAAAAACAATAGCTAGACGGATTGGGTCTGATTTTTCTTACATTGCTCTATTCCGCTTCGCCACTTCTTGAAACCCACCAAACCAAGAGGACGGCGACCAGACGATAGAAATACCACGACACACAGCCAGACCAAGGCATCAGCATCATGCCAAGGGATAAATCGCCGCGGACGCGGTCACGAGCCCCTACTATCACGCTCGATACATCAGCCGTCAACGAACAAGGTATGACGGCGTGCTACATTCCAACCTAATTCTCAAGATTGGCTCCGGGGTTAGAAAACAAAACTCTGTCGAAATTGCGTCTGGCTGGGCCAGCTAACCATCGCATCTGATTTGTAGGAGAAGAAATTCACAACACTTCGTCAACACCGTCCTCAGATAACGGCGATGAGGTCAACAATACGTTGTTGGTGCCGACGAGAAAGTCACGCTCCCAGTCGTGGGACTCCAACAACACGACATTGGCCAAATCCAAAACCAACGAGGGGGCTGACAAGGGTTCCCCAACCATCCAGCATTCAGGCTTCCCCAAGGGCTATGGCGGTGACCCCGACGACGCTCTCGCACCGAACCCCGGCGAAGAAGCTTCTTTCCGCGTCGACAACAATCCGTTTGCCTTTACGCCTGGCCAAGTTTCAAAGCTTATCAACCCCAAGAGCCTCGATGCTTTTGTCGCCGTCGGTGGCTTGGTAGGCTTGGAAAAGGGTCTGCGTACCGACCGGCGCGCCGGTCTGAGTCTCGATGAATCAAAGCTCGACGGCGCAGTCAGCTTCGAAGAGGCCGTCGCCGCCGGCAAGAAGCTGCCCTCGTCTTCAGAGGCGGTTCCGACAGATGCCCTGCAGCAGGAGGTGGACCAACATGCAGGGGGCAGCGGCAAGGGATTCGACGACCGGAAGAGGGTGTTTGGCCAAAACCTCTTGCCCGAGAGGAAGTCGCTGTCGCTTCTGCAGCTCGCCTGGATTGCTATGAAGGACAAGGTTCTGATCTTGTTGAGCGTGGCAGCCGTCGTCTCCCTGGCTTTGGGATTGTACCAGACCTTCGGCGCGACACATCATGGGGACGAAACGGCCAGGCTTGAATGGGTTGAGGGCGTGGCCATCATTGTCGCCATCACCATCGTCGTGGTCGTTGGTTCCCTCAACGATTGGCAAAAGGAACGCCAGTTCCGCAAACTCAACCAGAAGAAGGAGGACCGCGTCGTCAAGGTCATTCGATCCGGAAAGCCTGCCAATCTCTCGGTGCACGAAGTCCTGGTCGGAGACGTCATGCTCTTGGAACAGGGAGACATCATTCCCGTGGACGGCGTTTTCATCGACGGCCACAACGTCAGCTGCGACGAGTCGTCCGCCACCGGGGAGTCGGACCTTATCAAGAAGGTGCCCGCGGATGCAGTCATGAAGTCGCTGTACGAGGAGGAAGCGAACCCTAAGAAGCTGGACCCATTCATCATTTCTGGAGCAAGAGTCCTGGACGGCGTTGGTACATTCTTGGTCACTGCCGTTGGACAGAACTCTAGCCACGGCAAGACCATGATGTCCCTCCGTGACGACCCTGGGATGACTCCTCTGCAGCTCAAGCTAAACATTCTTGCGGGTATGTTTATTCCGTTCCGCGTCGAGAGCATCCGTAATTAAAATGATATCCAGGTTACATTGCAAAGCTCGGCAGCGCTGCCGGTCTGCTGCTTCTCGGCGTCCTAACAATCGAGTTTCTGGCCCATCTCCCCCAGAATAATGACAGCCCGGACGAAAAGGGTCAACGGTTCTTGCAGATTCTCATCACCTCGATCACCATCATCGTCGTTGCAGTTCCCGAAGGTTTGCCCTTGGCCGTCACGCTGGCTCTGGCTTACGCCACCAAGCGAATGACGAAGGAGAACAACCTCGTTCGCCATTTGCAATCTTGCGAGACTATGGGCAATGCCACCGTCATTTGCTCTGACAAGACTGGTACTCTCACGGAGAACGTCATGACTGTCGTCGCCGGAACTCTGGGTACAGGCAAGTTCCGTTTCGCCGCCGGCGACGATCGTGCCGATGCCAGCGAGGACGAAGTCCAAGTGCATGTCACCGGAGGAGATCAGAAGACGAAGAGCGCGCCCGTCAGCGAAGTCACCATGTCGAAGCTCTCATCAGCCCTCGACGACGGGTTCAGAGACCTTATCAAGCAGTCCGTGGCCATGAATACCACTGCATTTGAAACGGAAGAGAACGGCAAGCAGGTTTTCGTAGGAACCAAGACCGAAACTGCGCTGCTCGACTGGGCCCGCAAGTGCTTCGCCCTCCAACCGATTGCCATCGAACGCGAGAATTGCCCTGTTGAGCAGCTATTCCCTTTCAACTCGAAGCGAAAGGCCATGGGTGCTGTCGTGCGTCTGCCCAACAAGAAGTACCGCTTCTTCGTCAAGGGTGCTCCCGAAATCCTTCTGGGGCAGTGCTCCCACGCCGTCATCGACCCGACTAAGCCCTCCAGCACCACATCGATGGCTGCGGAACAGCAGGATGCTATCCGACAGATCATCACCGACTACGCCCGCCGATCCCTCCGCACGATTGCCCTCGCCTACCGCGACTTTGAACAATGGCCGCCAGAGCATGCTCGCAAGGAGGAAGGTTCTGAAAACGTCGAGTTCTCGAGCATCTTCAAGAACCTCAAATGGTTGGGTGTTGTGGGCATTCAGGATCCCGTCCGAGCCGGTGTCCCCAAGGCTGTGGAGGACTGTCGCACCGCTTCCGTGTCTGTAAAGATGGTCACGGGTGACAATGTAGAGACCGCGAGAGCCATTGCAAGGGACTGTGGCATCTTGACAGAGAAGGGCAAGGTCATGGAGGGTATCGAATTCCGCCGTATGGATGATCGTGAGCGGGTCGCCGTTGTCCGGGAGCTCTGTGTGTTGGCTCGCTCCAGCCCCGAGGACAAGAGAATCTTGGTCAAGGCTCTGAGAAGCTTGGGCGAAGTTGTCGCGGTCACCGGAGACGGAACAAATGACGCACCTGCTCTCAAGTCTGCCGACGTTGGCTTCTCCATGGGGATCACCGGAACGGAAGTCGCCAAGGAGGCTTCCGACATTATCTTGATGGACGACAACTTCTCGTCCATCGTCAAGGCCATGGCCTGGGGCCGCGCCATCAACGACGCCGTCAAGAAGTTCCTGCAGTTCCAGATCACCGTCAACATCACCGCCGTCGTCTTGACTTTTGTCACCGCTGTGGGGAGCGAATCCCAGGCGCCCGTCTTAAATGGTAAGTTTCACTGTCCACAAAATCTTCGCCCCGAACACCTCATTCTAACTTTTTTCGCAGCTGTCCAACTGCTTTGGGTCAATCTTATCATGGATACATTCGCCGCCCTCGCGCTTGCGACCGACCCTCCTACCGAGAGCATGCTTCACCGAAAGCCCGAGGCCAAGACGGCTGCTCTGATCAGCACACCCATGTGGAAGATGATTATCGGCCAGTCCATTTACCAACTCATCGTCACCCTCATCCTGCATTTCGCTCGCCCGGCTGGTATCAATAACTACCCCGAGGCCCAGCGCAGGACGCTCGTCTTCAACGTCTTCGTCTTTATGCAGATCTTTAAGCTCATCAACAGCAGACGCATCGACAACAAACTTAACATCTTTGAGGGAATCACCAAGAACTCGCTCTTCGCCGTCATGATGGCCATCATGGCCGGCGGCCAGGTCCTCATCGTCTTTGTTGGAGGTGCCGCTTTCAAGGTCGAGCCCCTCAACGGACCGCAGTGGGGAATTTCCATCGTCTTGGGTTTCCTTTCGGTCCCCGTCGGTGTGCTTATCCGTCTCTTCCCCGATGCTGCCTTTGAGGCTATTGTTAGGCCTTTCGCTTGGTGCTGGTCCAAGATCCCCAGATGGCATCGCAAGAAGAAGACGGAAGACGAGGATGCCGAGGCCTTGGGTGGCGTCAAGGATGCTCTGATGGAGATCAGAGACGACTTGGCGTTCCTGAAGCGCATCAAGGGAGGACGAATCAGCCAGATCAGCGAGGTGATCATGAAGCCTCGCGAGTACCGCGAGAGAACGCGCAGCCGGAGCGGCTCCAGGTCTTCCAGCCGGCATAACAACACGGCGATGAAGGCCGCTCTAGGCATGCCCGGTATCTTGGCTGCCAGTGTCGGCGGGCTGTCACCCGTTGACCGACCGGTGTCGAACGAGAGCCGGCCAGCCGAGAGAGGAAACGAACTCGATGTGCCGCCCCGGACTTGAGATGTCCGGACCGCCCAATCATTTACGGGTCAAAACAGTCCCTCCCCCCATTACGCATCCCACCTAGCCACATAAGGAAGGGTCGGGCCCATGTTCTTGTTTACCAGAATCGAGCGTCTGTGTGCTTTTCTTTCCCCCAACTCAGCCATTGCTCATGTTATGACTTACCCAGGATCGGCCAGTTGAACCAATGCCGAATTGTATTCTCTTGTTTTTCTGCTGCTGTTTGGCCCGGCCGATCAAACAATACGGAACCTTTCCCATTTTTGAGCGAAGATAAGAACATTTCTTCTGCTGCATGTGCAGCTTTTGTACGATATTCATAAAATAAGACACAAACAACCAATGTATAGACCGCCGATCGCTTGCCAGGCTGAAAATATCAAAAGCTAGCAGTAGTCAATTCCAAGCATACCAAGTCTTTTCCCAACGGTACTGTTCCTTTGTGCGTGACCAAGTGATGATCCCAGCTACCGGGGTTAGTGGAAGGCGAGACGGATAGGAGCTGGGCTGAAAACGTTGCTTTGGGAGTTGTCGAATGGTATCTAGTTACGTCTTTGGTGCTGACCGGCGTGCACTCCTGGCTTCGAGTGGCCTGGGCAATGGATAGGAGAAGGGCCGGCGAGACGTCGTCTTGAGCTGAAGCGAACACCAGCAGTATATGTGGTCCATCACGCCATCTCTTATCATGCGTCTATATGTCACATGGCACCCTGCCAACGGCGAGGAACGATTATTTTGATGGGGAGTGTGAGGCGCTGGTGTGGCGAGAATAAGATTGCTTTGATTTGATCACTTTGGTTCCCTTTTACGGATCTCGTCCAACAACTGAATATCGACGACAACCCAGTCAGTACATGAAGAGCTGGCTGGGTATGTAGAGCTGGCTCAAGATTCCAGGGCGATCTATAAATGCCGATTCTGAGCGGTTATGCATGTTACTTCCGTCTAGGGATGACACGTATTCTGAGGGGCGGCACGGCAAAGTTTGAGTTAAGCAGAGGGTGCATTGCATTATAACGGGACTCGGCGCGAGTTTCTGCAATACTGGCTAGAGATATGGTACAGACGTCTGGGTTCCGGCTTTGCCTGAACGCCTCAAGATGGTATTGTTTTCTCCCCCACCTCTTTTTTTTTTTCTTTTCTTTTTTCTTTTTCGCAAACGTCGCCACAGACACAGGAGAAAAGGGCTCTACCTGTGCCTCCTCGCCTCGCCGGCCTCCTTGCCCAGCGCCTCGAGCGCGTCCTCGTACTGGCGCACCCTCTCGTCGCCGAAGCCGCCGGCGTCGGGGTCGCCGATGCGCAGGCGGTCGACGCGGCCGGCGCGGCGGATGCCGCTGCTCGGCTTGGCGATCTTGCCCCAGAACCAGCCGCTCTCGCCGTCCTCGACGAGGGTCCACGCGGCGCCGGCGCGGCCGGCGCGGGCGGTGCGGCCGACGCGGTGGACGTAGCCGGCGGCGCTGGCGGGCAGGTCGTAGTTGACGACGTTGTCGAGCAGGGGCAGGTCGACGCCGCGGGCGACGAGGTCGGAGGCGACGAGCAGGCGGAGGCGGCGGCCGGCGAAGGCGCGGAGGGCGCGGCGGCGGTCCGACGTCTTCTGGGTCGAGGTGAGGGTCGCGATGGAGGGCGCCAGGGACGGCTCGAGGAGGGCGATGAGGCGGGAGAGGCGGAGGGCCGACTCGTTGGACTTTGTGAAGATGAGGGCCGTCGTCGTGAAGAGGGTGCGGGCGGTTTTTGTCTTGGGCGTGGCGGCGGCGGCGGCGTCTGAGTCGTCGTCGTCGTCCGAGGAACTGTCAGAATCGGAGTCGGAGCTTGTGTCTGAGTTCGAGTCGGAGCCGGCGTCGGATGAGGTGTCTGACGAGGCGTCTGACGAGGACGTGTCGTCGTTGTCCTCGTTGTCCTCGTCGTGCTCGGCGGCGGGCGCGGACAGCGCCTTGGTGGCGGTCTCGGACATGAGGTGGCCGCCGAGGAGGAGATCGATGAGGTAGAGCGGCTTGAGGTTGGCGTCGTGCACTCTGATGGCGGACTCCTTGAGAAGGGTTGGCAGGGTGTGCTCGGCGATGGGCGCGGAGCCGTCGGCCTGGCTGCCCTCGAGCACGATGAGCTGCGGCCGGCGGAGCTGGAGCCCGCTCAGCAGACTCAGGTCCCGCGTGAGAGTGGCGCTAAGGACGATTTTGCGGACGACGCCGCTGAGGTTGGAATCGGGGAAGTCGCGGGCGCTGAACTTGTTGGTGCGGAGCTTGGGCATCACGACGTCGAGCCAGCCCTGGAAGCTCTGCGCGAGGAGCTTGTCGGCCTCGTCGACGACCAGCCAGCGCACGTGGTCGAGCGAGAAGCCGGGGGTGAGATTGATGTGCTCGACGAGCCTGCCGGGGGTGCAGATGAGGACGTCCACCTTGGAGGTGTAGTCCACGACGTGGTCCGGCAGGGAGCCGGCAGCCGCCGCGTCCTCGGGGCCGGCCAGTGCTGTTGGCTCCTCGACGTCCATCCACGCCTCGAGTTCCCGCCGGCGCGCCGCGCGGTAGGCTTCCGGGTCGTACCTCTCCCCCCTCTCGACCAGGGCGGCCTGCTCGTGCCTCAGCTGCTGGCTTCCGATGGAGATGCCGATGCGCACCCTCTTCTGGTCGCGGCCGTCAAAGGCGCCGGCGCAGAGCTCAAACACCTCCTGCGCCTGCTTGACCAGCTCGCGCGTGGGCAGGACGACGAGCGCGCGCAGCCGCGTGACGGCGCCCTGGCTGATGTCCCGCACGACGGGGAGGGCGTACGCCAGCGTCTTGCCGGAGCCGGTGGCCGCCGCGACGAGGAGGTCGCCCTGGCGGTGCTTGCAGGACGGGAGAAGCAGGGGCACGGCGGCCGTCTGGACGGCGAACGCGTCACTGAAGCCCTTGGACTCGAGCGCCCGAGCGGCCTTTGGGTTGATACCGATGTCGGCGAACGGCGTCCGCGTGTCCGGGGCGACGCGGATCGGGGCGGCGAGCCAGTGCGGCAGCGTCTCGTACGAGGGCTTGGAGGTGTCGAGGGAGGCGGGCTCGGGCTGCGGCAGCGGCTCGAGCCCGTGCTCCTCCACCTCTTCCGCCGCTTCTTCGTCCACGTCCATCTTCTCGGGGGCGCCGGCCGGGGCCGACTCGGCGGCCTTTTTCAAGTACTTGGTGGCCTTGGCGAGGACGGCCTTGTGCCGCGCATCGACTTGGTCTTCCTCGCCGTCTCCGCTCCCGGCGTCGTTGCGGCCCTTCTTCTTTTTCGACTTGTCCTTTTTGGGTCTGGGCCCTTCTGCGCCGTCTTCCTGCGCTGCGGTTTCGGATTTAGAGCCTTCTGACGCGCCCTTCTTCATCTTCTTCTTTCCATCTTCTCCCGTCTCTTGTGATTCCGTTTCCCGATCTGCCTCGTCGCGAGTGTCCATTTCGTCACCGTTGGCTGGCTCGCCTCCTGTGGGTTCGTCGTCTTGCCTCGAGGTCTTGTTCTTCTTGTCTTTCTTGGACTTCTTGGGTGTGGCCGCATCTTCATCCGGCGCAGTTCCATCTTCGGATTTCCTAGACTTCTTCTTCTTGACTTGCGTCCCCTCCTCCTCGGCCTCGGCCGAGACCTGGTGCTTGCGCTTGGTCGCCGGAGATAGGCCGTCGGTGTCCGCCGTGATTACATTCGCGAGGGAAGAGCGGGGTTTCGAGCTTTTTGAAGGGACGAATCGTGCGTAGGGGCTGGCTGTCGAGCCTCCGGATACGAGGCCGTCGTCAGCCGGGGCCGAGGAGGATTCCGGCGCCGATGGTGGTGGCGGAGGCGGAGGTGACAGCCCGGCAGGCTTCGGTGCCTCCTTGGTCTTCTTCGAGGGAACGTAACGGGCGTACATTTTGTCGATTGGGCACTCGCGACCCGGAAAAAGGAAAAAAGAAGAAGCACAGTCACCTCTTTTGCGCAAGCGGTTTCTTACAAAGCGAGGCTTGCATGGTCCATATTGGAGGGGCAGCTGGCGCATCCAGAAAAAAAGTTGGCCGGCTTTCCTTATCGTGTTTCTGCCCGTCTCCACCGCCTGCACTTTCTACCTTATCGCACCTAGTGACAGAGCTCCTCCAGCTCAGGTCATCTTGTCCGTACCGTTGCGACGAAGCAACATCGATCGCGTGATACCGTGGCAGGTCGACGAACAATGCCCCAGCGCCACTTTCTGACGTGACAATTGCTCGCGCAGAGCAAGCCTGCAAAATGAGTCGAACTTACAACATTGCCATGGTCAGCGACTTCTTCTTCCCGCAGCCAGGAGGAGTCGAGAGCCACATCTACCAGCTCTCTACGAAGCTCATCGACCGCGGACACAAGGTCATCATCATCACTCACGCCTACGAAGGCCGCAGCGGTGTGCGCAATCTGACCAATGGCTTGCGCGTCTATCACGTTCCCTTCCTCGTCATCTTCCGATCGGCCACCTTCCCGACCGTCTTCTCCTTCTTCCCGATCCTTCGCAACATCCTGATCCGAGAGCAGATCGAAATTGTCCATGGCCACGCGAGTCTAAGTAGTTTCTGCCACGAAGCTATCTTGCACGCGAGGACCATGGGCCTCCGGACCGTCTTTACGGACCACTCCCTCTTCGGATTCGCGGATGCTGCCAGTATCCTTACAAATAAGATCTTGAAGTTCTCTCTCAGCGACGTGGACCATGTCATTTGCGTTAGCCATACATGGTATGTTTGCGCCCTGTTCTACCCGTCGAGAGAAACGACTGACTTCGCGTCGCAGCAAAGAAAATACAGTCCTCCGAGCATCCCTCGACCCCTTGATGGTCTCGGTCATCCCCAACGCCGTCGTCGCCGAGAACTTCCGCCCACTCGATTACCCGTCTACTGACGCAGCTGGACAAGCCTTTGGCCAGAACCCCCCGCCCGCGCATCATCTCGGACCGAACGACGTGATCACCATCGTAGTGATATCCCGCTTGTTCTACAATAAGGGCACTGATCTTCTGACGGCGGCGATCCCTCGGATCCTGGAGAATCACCCAAACACGAGATTTATCATCGCCGGGTCGGGCCCAAAGGCCATCGATCTCGAGCAAATGATTGAGCAGAACGTTCTGCAAGACCGAGTCGAGATGCTAGGCCCTATCCGTCACGAAGAGGTGCGAGACGTCATGGTCCGAGGCCACATCTATCTGCATCCAAGCTTGACGGAGGCATTCGGAACAGTCATCGTGGAGGCAGCTAGTTGTGGGCTATACGTCGTGTGCACGCAGGTCGGTGGCATCCCCGAGGTTCTACCGTCACACATGACTGTCTTTGCAAAGCCGGAGGAGGACGATTTGGTCCTTGCGACAGGCAGGGCAATTGCCGCGCTGAGGGCAAACAAGGTCCGAACGGAACGCTTCCACGAGCAGGTCCAAAAGATGTATTCGTGGACCAACGTCGCTATCCGCACGGAGCGAGTTTACCACGGCATCACCGGCGAGCTTAGCGAAGCCGAGTTCTACGGGTTCGATGCGGCTACTCCCTCGACCTTTGGCAACAGTCGGGTGCGGTCCTTTGCCCTCATCGACCGGCTCAAACGCTACTACGGTTGCGGCATTTGGGCGGGCAAGCTCTTCTGTCTCTGTGTCGTCGTCGACTATCTTCTGTTTCTATTTCTGGAGCTGTGTTTTCCACGGGAGCAGATTGACATCTGCCCTGAGTGGCCGCGGAAAATTGCCGATGATGCGGAAGATTCCAAGGAGGATTGAGGGAACCTCCATGTCCCAACATCATATTTGCAAGAATGCATTATTCGGAGCAGGCCGATGGCCACGACAGAGGACGAACGGTCATGGGCCTTTGGGATCCTCATAAAGGGGTCTCTTTTATGGCTGGGCGTGTCCAAAAAGTCGCGAATTGCAGAACCAGGAACCGTCTTCAATTGCCCACCTGGACCCCGGCGGTGACCGGCGGAAATAGCAGGATACTCAAGACAGGCCAGGCCCCTGGCTCGCGTGCGCGATGAAGACAGTCGCTCGTAAGTATTCCTCCAATGGGAGAAGCCTAAATGGAAATCGGAACGGGATCTTGCCATCAGCCCTCCCGGAGAGCGCCGACAGACAGGCGGGATTGGTCGAAATTGCCTACATCTTTAACGGCTTGGTCGGTCCAAAGCTGCCTGTTGCGGTCAAGCGCCCGGGTGGGCCATGCGACCCTCTTAGTTTCTAAACCCCCACCACGCGCGCATCTCGAAGAGCTCACATGTGCCACGGAGCAAGACACAAAGTCCAAACATTTCCGCCCTTCGACACGACTCCGAATCACTCTGTCACTTCTCTGTTACACGACTGCGACTGTGTTAACTTTTCCCTACAAGCATCAGCGGCAACGGGCTCTTCACAACTGCATCCCCTTCCTTCATCTTATCCTGCGCTCAGACGTCGACGTCTTACCCCTCCAAACTCCTCTATTGCTAAGAAATCCGCGTATACGCTTGCCCACGATGGCCGCTGCGCAAGATCTCCCGATGGACCTTCCCATAATCGACCTCGATGTCTTCCTCAACGAGCCGCGCGACTCGCCCGCCGTCCGCGACGAGTGTGCAAAGGCCGCCAGTGCCCTCATCACCTACGGCGCTCTCGTACTGCACGACTCTCGCGTCGCGGAATCCGACAACACCACCTTCCTCGACCTCCTCGAGGACTATTTCGCACTGCCGACCGAAGAACTCAAGAAGGACGAACGCCCGGAGCTCAGCTACCAGATCGGTGTGACACTCGAGAACACAGAGAAGCCCAAGTGCGCCGTCGACGAGCCCTGCCTGCGGGTCATCGAGCGCCTTGCCCCTGCAGAGCGCCCGCTCGATATCGGCGGTCACCAACCCGACCCGAAGTGCCGCTTCTTCTGGCGCATGGGCGAGAACCCGCCGTACGAGACCGAGTTCCCCGGGCTCAACGCCCCCAACGTTATCCCCGAAGCCCCTCACATTCGCGAGCGCTGGCCGTCGGCTATGGACAAGTGGGGGACGTCCATGAAGCAGGCCGTCACTGGCCTGGCTGAGATGGCGGCCGTCGGTCTCGGTCTTCCGGCCGACACTTTCAGCAACGCCGCCAAGTACGGACCGCACCTGCTGGCACCGACAGCCTCGGATCTGGTCAAGTACGGCAAGCAAGACACCATCCTTGCCGGCTTCCACACGGATCTCAACTTCCTCACCATCCACGGCCGCTCCCGATACCCAGGGCTTCACATTTGGGCCCGCAACACTGGCAAGAAGATTTCGGTCAAGATCCCAGAGGGCAACTACCTCTTGGTTCAGGCGGGCAAGCAGTTGGAGCACTTCACGGGGGGCCTCATCAAGGCGGGCTTCCACGAGGTCGTGGTGAACGAGAAGACGCTCGACGTGATTGAGCGCCGCAAGACCCAGTTCCCCGACCGCCCGCTGGTCCGCATCTCGTCGACCTTCTTTTACCACTTGTCGTCCGACCATGACATCACACCGATTCCTCAATTGGCGGAGCAGGCGCAGAAGTTCAGGGCCGAACAGTTCAACCTGGGCAAGGATGAAGGTGAGGAGGTTGTGTATCAGCCGATGAAGGTCGGGCAACAGGTGCAAGAGTAAGTCAACCATGCCGATGATATGCAGTGGGCCAAGCTGACCATTTCCCCTTTCCTTTTACAGAGAGCTAAAGCACATCGCCCTGATGGCATGATGAACATGAAACGGCGTATTAGTGTAGTATTATAAATGACATGCTAAGAATAAAAACCCCGATTATGACGTTCAAGCCTCGTAGAATTCCTCGCCCTCTGCGACGTCCACCTTCTCCTTGACGACACTGTCCACAGCCGCCTTGGGATCCTCGTCGCCGTCCAAGTGGTCGACCCACGACGTCGCGAAGCCGTCGTTCTCTGCGATGAGGGCGGCGACCTCGGCGACGGATTCCCTGCTCGAGGAGCCCTTGGACTCCTTGGTCCTGCCGAGCTCGACCCGGCCGGCGGGCGCGTCGGTCAGGGTGCCGGGCCGCAGGCTGACGCCGGCAAAGTCGGGGCGCGTCTTGGACTCGCGCCAGAGGACCTCGTCGGCGGCGACCTTGGCCTTGAAGTAGTTGGCCAGCTTCTGGTTGACCGCCTGGGCGTCGGCCCAGGCCTGGTCGGACCACCAGACCGGCTTGGTCTTGCGGGAGGCGAGGTAGGAGATGAGGATGAACTTCTTGATCGAGGGGGTGGCGACGGCGGCCTTGACGAAGTGGATGGCCGCGTCGCGGTCAATGGCGAAGGTCTGGAAAGGGGGGAGGGGTCCAGGGTCAGTAACGCCCGGGTACTGCGTTTTTGTTGTGTTGGGGGGGAGGTCCGGGGGTTAAACTCACTCTTTCGGGATTTCCCTTTCCACCGGCACCTTTTATGACGATTGCGTTAACATCTGATTTAACTTTGTCCTTTCTGCAGGACTCCCTCCCTGCTCCTCGTCTGATGATGGCTTTGGAGATATGGCGCCCAAGCGTCACGAACTCGTGGAGAAGAAAGAGCCAAGGGGAAAACGACTTACCGGCGCTCCATACGATGGTGTCGGGCTTCACCTCATCCAGGATAGCCTGGGCCTTGGACTGGTCGGTGACATCCTCGATGCTGCGCACGAGCACGTTGAGCTTGCCGGCGCGGCCGGCGCCGAGCTTCTCGATGGCGGGGACCTGCTCGTGGGCGCGGATGACGCTCGTGACGGTCCACGACTTGTTGAGGAGCAGCGGGGTGAGGAGCTGCGAGACCTTGCCGTGGCCGCCGAGGATGAGGACGTGTCTGCTCATGATGGGTGTGTCGGTGTGTGTGTGGGTGTGTGTGTGTTGGTCTGGCTTCGACTAGTGTAGGGCTGTGATTTATCTTGTCGTTGTTACTGCTGGTGTTGATGCGTGCGTGTAAAAGCCACTTCTCAATACCCGACACTGTAGCGGCAGACAGACGGCGTGGGCTCAAATAGTTTTCGGGGAGGATCACGCCATGGCTTTCTGGAATCATAACCTGGGATTGGCGCTTCCCCGCTTCGCTGGCCCCATTGACAGACCGGCGACAAAAGACTCGTTCGTTGGAATGAGGGGGAGGGTGGGTTTGTCCAAAAGCCCGTCCGGCGCGGGCTGTCCGAGCGAAGCATGTTCAGGGTCCCGAGGTCACGTCACCGGGGCGTCAATGACGTAAAACCCGCGAGTTTATTTGGACTCCCTCCCCGCATCTCGTTGTATTGGTTACGTTACAGATATGGTGGGCAAAAATCGCCTAACGCCGAGTACTGCAGTACCGGCGACATCAATTGAGTTTTGCTCTGATGGATAAGATCGTCTTTTTTTTTTTTTTTTCCTGCCTTTATTTCTTGCTGTTGTTTGGTAATTACTCAGCCGTCCCGTCGCTAATAGATGGTTGTTGAGCGCTTCAGTAATAGAACTTCGTCCTCGTCGACCGCAGCTCAGGGAGTCAAGGTTTCTTTCGGGCGAGGGATGAGATTCTCAGTACAGACGCTTGAATTATAAGATGAACAAAGAGGATTAGATTCATCAACAATATGTATTGATATCGTGGCACTCTGCTAAGGTCTAATACAGCCACTGCAGAATACAGTATAGGCCGTATGTCCTGTCTTAATAGATAAGACGTAATTTATCATTGTTTCTATTGCAGCTTCCAACTCGCATCACTAGTTCTCATTGCGTCTGTTTATATAACCCCAACTGGGCAACTGTTGCGTCTGGCCGGAAAAGCACAATTGCAAGTCCGGTCAAAATGACATTGCGCGAGGCAAACCGTCTGCTACATACAGCCTATGCAGTTCCAAGGAGACTCAACACCGTGTCATCTAAGCAATAGACGTATAGACAGCAGCCCATATGCTGCTCTCTTAGCGCCATTGCCGATGGTTTGGAAAGAAGGCTTTGGATTCATATTGATTGAGTCGATGTAGCGCTACTAGTTTTCACAATATTACTGGAACTCAGATTGCTACACAAGGCAGTCCGTCAAAAAGTAGAGATATGTCCATGGAGAAGGCTTTTTAAAGTCCTGCTTTCATTTCCAGGAGGAGAAACTGTATTGCGGGTTTGTGCTTCCTAGTCTGTGATGGATCATGGTTATACAGTCGTCGTATCATACAGTACTGGGTCAAAAGGCTGGCATCAGCAATAAGAACAACCCAATTAGGAGTCACAGAAGGAACCTTCAGCTTGGGGTCACTTCACAGTGCACCACCAAAAGACGCATGTCTCACCACCCTACTGTCGCTGTTCATTGGGCTATCTTTATTGCTGTTGCTAGACTCTTGACCTAGTACTGTGTGTCGTCGAGCGTTAGATCGCCATCTCCAGATCAGTTCTTTTGTTAGAGGTGATATAAGCGGCTGGTCTAACTGCAGAGGGGAAAAGAGACGCGCAACAATCCTTCTGCTTCCTCTGTAAGGCCAATAAGGTGTTCAACGCTTACTGGCAGTGGCTACGCACTCCCATTAGTCCACCTGAAGTATGAGTACGAGACATCAACAGCTCACCGTAGCAAACAATAAGTCTGCAGGGCACCTCATCTTGGTAACTTTCGACACTGGTGACTCGGATGGAAACAGAGCGTTCCAAGGCGACGGATACACCAACCACGACCCCTGCTCTGATTCCTCGACACGGAACAATGCCCTGCCGTGTCTCACAGGTGAACAGTTTCGCAGGAGTGTCCAACAAATGAGTAGCTTGACTACACTGGACACCCGAGCGCACAAGTCGGGCAGCTGTGAGTTGAGCAGCTTAACAATACACAGGATTCATTGGCATCTCGGTTTCTCTCAGTTCCACCAATAGACAGAAGCCGGCGACATGGAACAGTGTGCTACTGGTCGCGCGCCGCACTCGTCTCGATTCTTCTACTCGCCAGAGTGCATATTGTGCGGCGTCGTCCTAAAAGAGGCAGCTGCGCGAAGCGGTTGCATTCGAAAAGAAAGCGTTGAACTTGATGCAATACAATCCCCTATCTCTCCCCCTCCATCTCAGATCGAAACATCGTACGTCAGCCCTATCCAGGGGGGAGCCAACAGCCAGCCCGATACACCTGGCTGGGAACGCCACGAGAGAGGTGCGTTTCTCCAACAGCGCGATGTCACCCCAAACAAGCCTAGCAGGCATGCCGATGGGCCGAACTCTTGGAGAATTCCCAGTTTAACCCGCAAGCTGCACCCAGAAGGGACTGGGCCGACGAGATATATTCATGGATGGCAAGGTGAAACTCGATGTTTCTTGGAACTGGCGGGAAACCCTTGGGATCCGGAAGGTCGGCACTGGCTTGTTGCACCTCGTCATGCGTCCCTCATGGCTTAACGACGGGTGGCAATGGATCTTTTTCTTTTTTTCTTTTCTTTTTTCCGATGGACATCTTTCCAGCAGCAAGCAATTGGCTAATTTTTTCATTTATATATATGTATATATATATACCTTCTGGGGTGGGGAGGCTCTCGAGTTTACCAAATGAGAATTCGTCGTGGTAGCGAGAGGTTTCAGAGTAGATCTAGTGATGCATTCGGCCAAAATACCGAGAACCACCCGTTCAACATCGGCGGTGCGGCATAAGGGCCATGATATTGGATCGATGCCCCCGCAGCTCGGCGGCTCCTGGGATTCGGACAAGGTCACGTGGAGGCATCATCATCTGGTCATGATCGTTGGTTTCCTTCTTGGTTCTCTGGAGCATTTCCTCCTTTGGGGAGATTGTCCCGCGGTCAGGGGGGTGGCGATTTCCACCTCAACCATTTGAAAGCAAGTTAATCGGTGGGGGGATTCATGCTCATCATCACCCATTTCGAAAGATCAAAAGCGTGACAGAGTGTGTGAGGCGAGATGATCTGTCCCAGAAGCTGAGTTGCCGAGTGGATGGTGAAACTGATGAGATACTCGACGCAAGCCTGTCAGCTTTGGGGGTTGGCAGTGGAGCCCCGGTGTGGTGAAGAAGATAGGTAGTTGGGTTAGGATTTCCCGTGGAGGGTTGGGATGCAGGTGCTGTGACCATATCCTGTCTGCTCATCAGACGAAACACAGACTTCTGGGCAGACAGGGGTTTACGAAGACTGGTTTTTTTTTTTTTTTTTTTTTTTTTTTTTTTTTTTTTTTTTTTTTTTTTTTTTGCCTGTACTTGGATGTTGGTACCAGCACGGTCGATGTGGGTACGTCACAGCCAGTTCTGTGCGAGTGGTATACGTACGTGGTAGGCTCTAAGAAAGAAAGATAGTCGTTGAGGACTGTAAGATGCGTCCTCGCGTCTATAACCCATCGGGGAGTTCTAGGTCTCCGCCGACTCTGTATTAGAGGGGTTGCTATTCTTAGGTGCGAGGTCGCTCGGGAGGACTCTTGTCCGACAGCGAGCCGTGTCTTCATGCTGCGTCCGAGGGTGAAAGGAAGAAGCAATTATTCCATGTGGGGGTCAGGTCATAGGAAGGTTGGTATATCGAAGCATCAAGCGGCTTCCAATCTCGTGTACCACCAGTTTTCTTACCGGCCGACGCATCCGTCTTGGGCCATTACAATTATTTCCTCCCTATTTGGGCTGGGCCGAATAGTTCGGACGGCCATATGATGCACTTGTGTAGGATCGCGGAAAAGGCGTTTCTATAACCTGCCAAGAATAAGACTCTTGGCGACCTGGAACACATAGCTTCGAAGCCGGGCTGCTCGTCGTCCGAAGTAAGGGCCTGCCTTGGTGATATAGGACTTCGGCGGACCGCCGAGCCGCTCGCCCACCCGCAAGAGCGTTTCGACAGTGACCGAGAGAGCCCGCTCAGGTGAACAATCCGACAGCGTCCTGAGTCGACTGACGCCGTCGCATGGAAATTGGCAGGCCGGCGGCAAGGTAGATCAGAAGGTGGTGCAAAGCCAGCCCAGTAATATTAGGCCTCGCGTGGGGGGGGGGGGGGGGGGGGGGTTTACACGGGACAGCAGCGCAACCAACAATGATAGCAAAGCCCAAGTCAGCGAGAAATTTCCCCGTCGCCGAGGCTGCCAGCGGAGCCGCAGAGATCACCAAGGAGCGACAACACCCCCTTGATGGGGTGGTGCCTGCGACTGAAGAGTATCAGGAAAGAGTTCTATCCCGCCTGTCAGAAACCCCGAGGAGTGTTGGATCGCCGGGAGCCGGGGGAAATGTTGTGAAGCGGGGATCATGCATTCTCTATGAATGCTGTATCAAGGCCCTGGTTAACAGCTGACGGCGTGGATGTGGGAACTCGGGCGTGAAAGGGGACGAAGAGGCCAGGGATAGGAGGAAGAGGTAGAAGAATGAACAGAAGAAGAATACGAGACTATCGAGAGGTTGCAATCGGTCGCTTCCCAATAGTCTGGTCTCTGGGAACGAGGAGTCGATACCCAGTTTACCTTATTCCATGTTGAATAGGTTTGAGTGGTAGCGAGACTGCCCTTGCAACTTGGAGAATGCAACGCCAGTATTTTTTTTTTCTTTCTTTTCTTTTCCCTTCCCTCTCTTCTGAGGGCTGACGTCGTATGACAGACGGTAGACCGCACCTAGATGCTAAAGAGGCTGATCTGCAATAACGGGGTAACAAAGGGATGAACCTGGAACTGAGGGGTTTTGACCGCAGGGGAGGTAGCGAAAGGTGGGACGGCGTTGGGAATCCAGGGCCTCATTGGCCTCGCGAGTATCAACCCAAACGTTCCACGTCTGACATGGTCTGGCGATAGCCCTGCGGGGATGCGGGACCAACACCACCCAGAGGGTTGTTCTCGTGCTTGCACCGGAGCCGCGCTTGAGCCTCCGGCTGGCGTGCAGGGACCAATACCATTGTGAGACGGACACGACCCCCCTGTAGATCCCCCGTCCCTCTTCGCTGCCGTTGTTTGGTGGCGGGCTGCTCTGGGTGATGGCTGTCCCAGCTCTGTGTCACGTCAGCGTAAACTCTCCAAGCAAGGTTCCTCGGGAGATTGGTTGAGAGCATGGAATCTCGAGGGACCGAAGCAATGCGGGAGAGAGCATCGTCCGATTATGTGAGAGGGAGTGTAAGAGAGAGGGTGTGTGTGTGTGTGTGTGTGTGTGAGTGAGAGAGAGAGAGAGAGTGAGAGAGAGTGAGAGAGAGAGAGAGAGTGAGAGAGTGAGTGAGAGAGAATGAGAGAGAGCGGGAGAGGGAGCGGGTACGCGTGCATCACACGGCAAGGGAAACCCCCGGGGGGGGGGGGGGGGGGAAGGAGGTGACCACACATTGTTTAAAGATGTGTCGCAGCCCTCTTTTCTCCCGGACAGGTGAACCGTGGCTCCTTTGTTGTATTTTCGGGACCATCACTGCGTTATGTTTATTGCTTGTTTAATTTGTATTGTTTGAACAGAAAAATCCCGACGGTGACAGCCTAGCTTTCCCTTGACTTGGTCGGCAGGAAGAACGAAAAAAAAAAAAAAAGGTACAGGCAAGATTGTTTGAGCCGCTGGACGACTTACATCGACGACCTGACCTCCTCTCATTCTACCATATCAACCACCTCTCCGCCTTTATACGCTCGATACTGGACCGCTTAATTCCGCCTCGGCCTTCATCAAGAGATTGCAGGAAAGAAAAAAAAAAGGGACTCTTCTTACGGACGTCTCTCTAATGCTGGCTTCACCAACAACAAAACGTAACAACTGAGATACCCCCTTCTTCCTACGACGCTGCGATACCAACATTCAAGTCCGGGATATACCATACACTCGTCTCGTCTTTATACCAACTTTCTCCACGTAGTACAACACCCGCTCTCCGTCGTGCAAGACGCTTGAGCTGCATCATGTCCGGCCTTCTTCCAGGGATCAGACTCGACCTCGGCCTTGGGGACGGTGACGCGCCTTCCTCGGAATCCGTCACCAGAACGGGGACGCCAAGCACAGCCAGCGCAGAGGCAACAGAACCGGCGACGACGTCTCTGAGACAGGCGAGATCAACCGCTTCACCATCGTCGTCATCGTCAGCATCACCACCATCACCGCCGGCCCCGTCATCTCTAGCATCATCCTCGACATCATCAGCGGCAGCAGTGGCCGCATCGTCAACTGCACCCGCGCGGCAGAACACCTCGGCGGCGCCTCAACCCCCATCACAGGCACCGACACAGCCGCTGGCATCGCTCGCGCCCTCCAGCTCCGCCCGGCCGCTGACCACCTTCATCATCTCCTCGGTGGCCACGCCGCCACCGCCCTCGCCGACCTCGATCCCGGCGGCGCTGACGCCCTCCTTCGCCCCGGTGCCGCCGCCTCCAGCACTGCCGGAAAGCAGCAGCAGCAGCAGCAGCAGCATCGGCAACGACATCATCATCAGCAGCATCCTTCTCTCGTCCGCCGCCGTCCCGACAACGCTGGCCACGTCGTTCTTAACGCTGACGCCGACGCCGACGCCGACACCGACGCCGTTCCCCGGCGGCATCGCCGAGCCGAGCCAGGCGGAGATGTCGGGGGGCGGCGGCGGCGTGAAGCTGATGCCGGCGCTGCCCATCGCCCTGGGCTCCGTCGGCGGCATAGCCATCTTCGGGCTCGCCATCGGCATGCTCTACCGCAAGGGCCGGTGGCCCTTTGCCGGGCGGCGCGACTTTGCGCATCTCGACGAGCTCGAGGCCGAGCGGCAGCAGGAGATGGAGAGGAAGAACAAGATGAAGTGGGACCCGCGCGTCACGAGGACGTTCAAGACGCAGGGCGGCGGCGCCGGCGCCGGCGCCGGCGTGAATTTCTAATTCCCGAGGGGGGATCGGGGTTTGGTGGTGGCAACTTTTTTTTCTTCTTTTTTTTCTATCATTCATATTCTTTTTTTGGAAGACTCGAGAAATAAAAAGAGAAATACCAAAAAGCGTAGCTCCAAAAACTCAATTTGAATGACTTTTTTTTTATTTTTTATATCATTCACATCTTTTTGCTGTAATCATCTACTTGATGCCGCTGCGACTGTGGAGAGAGGCGGTGAGAGACACAACTGTAGCTCAACAGATAGGGGATATCCGGGTACCATTTCGCCATCACAATGAAGTGATTCCCGTCCCCCCCCTCCCTCTGGCTGAGTGTTTCAAGTCAGCTTGTTAGCCGAGACGGGTCTGACGAAACTTGTCACGACAAAAAAAAAAAAGGCATCGGACAACTAGTCAGTGACGAGTCGTCTGAACGTTTCAAGACGGCTGTGTACGTGGCCCCGTCAGCCCTCAGCCCCTGTCCCCCGGGTACCCTTCCTCCCCCCCTTTTTACGAACTGGCTCTTTTGCGTGACTTCACGTCTAAAAGAGCTTATTTTTCCTTCCCCGTGCGGCAATTCTCTCATGGCATGATGGCTGTGAGTATTTAGACTCTGGCTGAATAAACTTTCGAGACCTCTCCGCCTCGGCACCGGTTGTACGACCATGATTCGGGGTCCACGGCGGCACCGAGGGTTTAAAAAAAGAACGATGAATCGGCTCGGCAAAGGCCGATGGACCCCCCCCCCCGAGAAAGTGTTTGTCTCCCGCACATGCAAATCCCCGTGGAAAGGCGGGGGTGGCGCACTCGTGTCCCTGGTGTTGTCAGCCTGTTTCGTTTAGAACGTTTATTACCCTGCGGCCAAAAAAGAGGGCATGACAAAGAAGGCCGAGCCCGGGCCCGACGCACGCTGGCCGAAAGCGGCCCGCCAGGCCATCCAAGGGTGGCCCCGGAGGCTCGGATCCTTCGCGGTGTGCTCCGGCCCAGAGTCCTGAATTTCCAGCAGGCTACACGAATTTGGGGAAGTAGGAGGATTTTGGGGGAGGGGGGTTATAGTCTTCTTAGTCACGATGGAAGCTATCTAGGTACTCTACCTACTCGCCGCCCACAGTGCCGTGGATACCGTATGGTTTAGACGCCCGCCACTCTGGCACCCAACCCCCCGGCGACGAGTGTTTACTCAGTGGGTTCCGCGGTCGGATTATGCCGCGGAGCCGGGGGAGCCGAGGGGGAGGGAAAGGGTCACGAGCAGGCGGCGGCCACTGCACTCTATATGACGCCGGGTTAATGGTTCGGCGACAAGGTCACATCCTGGACGCGATACATTGTCAATTCCAAGAGACTCTGCCCGGGAAGAATGACGGACCCATCGGAAGGTGGAGAGCTGTCTTGCGTCAGATGTATATTTTTATTTTTGTTTCTTCAGAAGATGTAGGGTTCGATGGTAGGTGGCTGGTTCATTGGTAAATCAAGCCGACGCTCTTGTTGCACGGCATTTGCAGCATATGTCCCGCATATCTGGGCCTGAATTGAAGTAGCTTGGCACTCAAGAGCGGAACATATCCGCCGTGTCAACCGAACTAGACCCCCAGGACACCCCTCCCCCCGGAACGATGATGCCGTCGCTGACGGCGACAGCCGCCGAGCCGTGGCGCGGGCGTCTCATGGGCTCCAGGCTCGCCCAGGCTCCCGTCGCCGGGTCCAACACCTCTGTCTCGCTGAACACCCCCGAGGCCGCCTGAAGGTTTCCCTCCCCGCCGAATGTGTAGATACGATCGCTAAACACGGCCGTGCCGTGCCAGGCCCTGGCGGTCGGGAGCGGCGAGGTGCTCGCAGTCTGCCACCCGGCGTCGCCGGCGTCGAGGGCGTCGAGGCCGAGGACGTATACGGAGTCGCTTGCGAAGAGCCCCCCGGCAACGTGCCTGCCGCCAATCACATAGAACACATTGGCGACAACGGCTCCGCCAGCGTGGTCTCTGGGCTGTGGCAAGGGGTGAGTCCCGAGAGAGGTCCAGGTGTCTGTCGCCGTGTCGTACACCGATACATCGTCGACTGTGGCGATCGTGCCGCCGGGGACTGTTTCCATGGACCGAAGGCCGCCGGCCAGGTAGATCTTGGTGCCGGAGACGCCGACGGCCGCGCTGCCCCGTTCCGTGCCAGGAGGGAAGCGGGCGACGGGCTCCCAGCGGTCTCGCGCCGGGTCGTAGACCCAGCTGTCCGGGACCGCCCTCCAGGTCCCGTTCTGATCGAACTTCTCGGCGAGGCCGCCGAGGAGGTAGATCCTGCCGTCGACCACCGCGGTGTTGGGGTGATTGAGGGCCACGGGCAAAGAAGCGGCGGGGTCCATGTGTCCAAGGGGACGTCGTACAGGGTGACGAGATCGGTGTTGTTCCACACGCCCGTCGCCGAGGACCCCGTGATGCCTCCAAAGACGGCGATGGCCGTCGAGTTGATCGCCACGGCGGCATGCTCCTGTCGTGGGAGAAGCGGGATCCGTGACAAGTCATGCCAGGCACTTGCTGCGCGAGGGCCGGTGAAGCTTCTGCCCTGGGCGAGCACGGCGCAAACGGTCGCGAAGGCGGTCGCGATAGTCGGGATCCTCATGATGGCAGGCTCATTTGTGTCGGGATATCTAGCGGGTACACAATCGACACAGAGGCCACGGGACCCAGGATACAATCGGGATGGGAAATAAACGTGTTCTTATACCTGTCTCCCATTGCCTGGAAAGAAAAAAGCAGACAGGTTTAGTCTGGGCAAAAGTACCCTTTTCTCTCCGGTCAAGGCTGATGGGGAAAAAAAGTTCGCCCAGTCCACGATCGGAAGATCAGATCTGACCCCTGTCCCGGACGGCCTCTTGCTATCGTCCGCGTAACATAGAGCCGAGAAGAGATATTATCCATCTTGGCATGGTAAGCGTTAAAGCCAGGTAATGAGCATCTAGGACAGAGCTGCGTAGACGACTTCTTCATACGACGTGTTATTAGCATCGCAAAAGGGGCTGCTTGACTGAATTTTGACCGTGTTTATGTACCCAGGGTCGTCCATATAAACATCATCTATACATCAATCGCGCGAGGGTCCTCAGCGCAAAGCATATGGCACTCGAGACATGAGCTGTAGAGGGGAGCCAGCCATTGTCAAGGTGAAAAGTATCGCCCATATTCGCGCTCAGGCGTCCACAAACTCGAACTTGACAAGGATGGAGCACTTGGTCTCCCTTCCCTTCAGATCCAGCAGCCGGATAAAGACCCAACCAGGAACGGTATAGAGCAACCGCACCGCGCCAACAGCCAGGATCGGGTTCCTCGAGAAGCTGTCATCGCTCTTGACGAGCATCCGCAGGAAGACGAGCTCGTTGTCCTGGTACTCCCACTCCAACACCTCGTCCCACAGCGGGTCGGTGGGCGGGGGGTTCTCTCCCTTGTGCAAGAAGCCGGTGAGCTTGTGCTGCCTGTATCCCGCCGTCTTCCTCTTGGGAGGCTCCATATCCAGGTCGTGAGGATGAACAAGCGTACAGGTGAGGTAGGGCTTGATCGTCTCGTCGTCGTCGCGGTCGGAGGGTATGGGGATATCCGTTGCGCCGGCGACGTGCAATCGAAGCTTCTTCTTTCTGCCGTTGCCCAGCGTGCCTGACCCGCCGGACCGGAGCTCGGCGGGCTTGAGGACGAAACCTTGGGAGCCGCTGAAGAGGGCCTCGTTGATCTGCATCGAAGCACCGAAAGTCTGCCAGTTGAGGGCGCAGATCTGGGCGCCCACGCCCCAGAAGGGAACGGGATGCAGGTTTTTGGACGAGATACGCGTGCCCTTGGGGAAGATGCGCATGAGATGGTGGGCGTTGTGGCGGGCGATCTTGACGGCCGCCTCGGGCATATGGGAGGCCAGGCCGGACTCGGAAACGTTGATGAGGTGGTGGTGCGGCGCGCCTTGCAGCGTGTCCTCGTACCACGAGTTGTCAACAGGCTTGACGGACTGGGCGTAGACGCCAAGCTCCTCGAGCTCCGGGATGATGAGAGAAGGAGGCGCCTCCTTCTTCTTGGCGCTGTAGTCGCGGCGGGCCTTCTTTTCCTCGTCTTCATCGTCGTCGCTCGAGCTCGAGCTGCTGTCGTCAGGTTCACCTGGGAAGTGGTATTCGACGATGACGACGATCTTGTTGCCTAGATCTTCCAGACGGACGTGGTCGCCCTGGCCGTCTTGCTCGGCGTGGCCTTTCTCGCGCACGGCTCGGCTGAGGAGGCGGTCTCCGAAGACCTCTCTCATGATCTGGACCAGACGAAGCTGGCCCTCGGGGTTACAATGGTTCTCCAAGGATAGAAGAATGGGTGCTGCGGGCTCGGGCGCTTTGGCCTCCTCGTCGACGACATTGCGGATGGTCTCGCACACGGCGCGGAAGGGGATATTAGAGACCAGTGTGTAGCCGTGGGTGACTTTTGGCTCGTCCTTGTTGTCGGGATTGTCCCAGGCATCGATCTCGACGCAGCGCGCACCAGCGTGCAAAGTCTCGTTGTAGGCCTCGGCCGAGGAGCTTCCAAAAAGCTGGTGGGCCAAGAGGTAAGTGTTGTGACTGGAGCTGATAAAGTACTCGGGGAGGGGATGCGACCTGTCAATGAGCTCGGACGGCACACTGATGTGAGGCTTGTTGACGAGGGCCTGCAGGGCGGGGCTGGCGCGGTCGGAATCGAGGTTTGCATCCTCGGACGAGATGGCGTGTTGGTTGACAAGAAAGGAGCGGAGAGCACGGCTCACGCGGAGGCGGTGCTTGAGTTCCGAGTCGCGGGCGGCGTGGCCACCACCGGCGAGGGTTGTGTTGTCGGTGGCATCGCCAAGCTCCTCCTCATCCTCGGGGGCCGACTTGGAGAAGGGATTCAGGTTGGCGAACTTGGATGTGAGAGAAGCCATCTAGAAAGAAGCGAAGCGATGCGTTTCAGAGGTCGAGAGGCGGCGCAATGCTTGTCGTGTGAGTTGTGTCAGTCTTTGGCGGTCGTGTCAGTAGCGTAGGACGGCCGGTTGCGTCGTGCAGCTCTGGGGATAAATAAAGGCGTTTGTCGGAAAAGAGGAGGAGTGAGACGAGCGCAAACAGGGAATGAATATGGATTGCATGGAGAATGCGACACCAGCCAAGAAAGACAGCGAAAGTAGTGAGGGAGATGTTGGTGTGAGAGAGAGGAAGAAACGACGTCAGTCTTGGCTGATGTGCGCCGCGCAAGGTCGCAGTCGCTGTGGCGCCCCGTCTTTCTATGCTTGCTCCCACTCCCCTCTTTCCCAGTGCAGCTGAGCTGAGCTGGAGCTCCTGCTCGCCGTTGCGATGCGATGGAGGGGTCATGTTGTGGAGATATATTATGGAGACGTCGGACTAGATAAGCGGATAAGTCGGCCGGCTCAGGCCAATCATACATGCTGAAGTGATCCTCTTTCGGCTAGACTGGGTCTTAGCGCTGGTACTTGTATACGTGTACAGCACATAAACCGGTACAAGGTACATGAGACGACAAGTGGGGGGGTTTGAGCATATCGTGTCTCTCCCAGGTCGAGTCTTCAGCTCATCTTACTATGCTCAGGAACACATAGCAATGCTGAATGGGACCGTGTAATGTGCATTGAATATCATCATGCCGAATCCAACCAGATTTCCTACTGTCGCATAAATGCGTTGGTTGGAATGTTATAGGTCGAAAGTGGTGAAGTTTCCACCTCACCGGGTTCGATCAGCGCGCTCTCTAGGTTCTACACTACCCACCTACCGGTACCTATCTATCTGGTCAAGTAAACTAGGTAGCAGCAGCCGTCGAGGCCAAGAATGCCAAATGCCGAATCCCCGGCGCGCCATTGGCAGCGTAGTCAGCTTTCGGGTCTTGGGCGGCATGTTTTACCGGCTGGGCATCTTGAGCCGGAACGGCTTGCTGGGGGACGGGACCCTCTCAGCCTTGTGGGTCCTGTCACGGGGCGAGTTGTAGCTGCGTGCGTCCACCTAGATCCATCCTTGACATTCGTTGCCACAACATGCAAACCGAATCACCTCAGGTCAGGTATTGTCTACCGGCCATGCATCGTACGTACACTTGATACCCAGCCCTACGAAAATCCCCGGTTATCTGCCTTTGCCATGTTAATGCAAAAGGGAGTCAGAGCCAGGCCCATCGCTAATCGACTCTTCCGCTAGTCAAGCCATCCGCGTAGCAAAGCGCCTCGGAGGCACAGACAATCCAAACCATCGACGCAAAGTGTGCGCTCGTCCACCCCACCGTTGATTTCCTGACTCGTCCAGATCGAGTGATGTGCCGCGGACGAGGAGCGGGTGGGGAGGATAATGTCGACGGACTGACGAGGGCATTCGAGATGTTTCGGTTTCTGGCCGCAACGGAACCCGCGCCCGCAAAACAAAACCCCCTCCCACATCGTCATGCACCACCGCACGGTCCGTCTCATTGGCGAGCACGACATGCATTCGGCAGCATGGGCATTGCAGGCCAAGACATCTACCTAGACCACCGGGCGGAAAGACAAGCAGCAAGCGAATGGGGGGCCAGCTGATACACCAATACAAACACGTCCGATGTCATTACATGGAATTTACACAGGAATTATTGCGGCACACAAAAATAGTGCGGATAAGCAATTCAGCTGCACCATCTCGATGCCGGAATCGGGACGCCTTCCGAAGAACCCGTCGCCCTCACCGTCGTCATCACTAGCTTACCCACCCGTCCAGTGATGGCAAAGAACCAAAAAAGCGACGATGAATCTGTCGGCGTCTACAAGCACACGTAAGTAGCTCGCTCCCTCCCGGATCCGTCGATAATTGGGCTTACACACTGCCGGAAGATCATCGGGTCGCCGTTCTGGACAATGGCAACGCTACCGCACCGCACCCGCACTGCCAAATGCGGGTACGGCGTCCGATACGTGGACAACGCACGCGTACCCACGCAACGAGGCATTGGATCGATACGACAAGACCCAGGGTCCGACAACTAAGCCCTCAAGAGAGGAACGGGTGGCCGCAGCTGGAGCAAGCAAGGGTCGGTCGACACACCGACATGCCTCCCCCACCCTTTCCTTTGAGGATGCCGACTGACTGGTTGAACGACTGCCAGCCTGTCAAACCGCCAGCGGCCTCCGGCAGCGGCGGGCGCGTTGGCAGCCAAGGATGTCGGTGTCAGCCTGAGGTTTCTGTCTGTCTGCTTGCCTGCCTGCCTGCCTGTCTGGGCGGCTCACGGTGTATAGGTACGTACAGTAGTACCCAGTAGCACGATACGTGTGTAACCGCGACAATGCTCAGCATGCTGGAGCAGATTGAGGTAAGTACACGTACCAATTGTATCGTGCAAATATGGCCTGCTGGGTTGAAAAAGTAAATAAGCTTCTCGGGGAGCTTGTTCATGACGTTGACTTTTGCCAGGGTTCATGGCGCTAAGGGAGAAAAGCAGCTTCGGTGGTGTGGACTGGGGGGCTCAAGGGGAGCTTGGGGGAGCTAGGGCAGCTCAGGCGGCTTGGGGGTGCTAGGATGGATGCTCCGATTAGTTTGCCCCCAGCAGCTTTCCGCCCTAGCACAGTGATCGAAAAGTTACTTGGGGGAGCCCTGTTTGATTGACCTTTTTGGGGGCGACGGCCAGCGCCACACCTTCTTCCTCCCTTCTCCTGTCCTCCTCCTCCTCCTCCTCGTCTGCTTCATATCACAACTTACCGCGCAATCTGATGTGCTCCTCCTTTGCACTATTTACACGTGCAGCTGGACGCTCATCATTGATCTCCCCCCTCGTCTCGTTCTTTCGTCCTTCTGACTTTCTTGATCTCATTCGACGTCCAGCTTTGTTCCCTCGACATTAATCCAACACCCGCGACCAAATCCCCCTCCAGTGTCTGCTACCGAGTTCAGCATCCACCATGTTGATCAATCCGGGCATAGTGTTCCTCTTGGTAAGCGCCAACACATTCAGAGCCATCTTCGGTTTTTAGAAGTAAGAAAAAAAAGGCATTCATTCCATATGTCTGACGTGTGTACTGTCATATAGATCTCCGCCGGGCTCGTCACGACGGCCATGTAAGTCCCCATGCCGAGCATCCCCTACACCCTCCGTTACCTTTACTCTAGGCTGACCACTTTTCGCAGCATCGTCCATGTCTCGAGCACAAGACTCTCCCTCCCCATCGCACCCTTCTTGTCTTTTCTCCCCATCCTGTTACCCGTTTTCGGCACCATAAACGCCTTCTACTACCCACGCCTCCTCTTCAAAGCCCGACACTCCATGGCCGCTCGCACCGAACAGCTCTTCCCGACAATTATACAGGCTCTGCAGGGCATCCTGACCACAGCCATCGCCGTCCTCTTGTTGCAGTCCGCCATTCCCCACGATACCCTCAACTGCGCCCTCTCTACCGCCTGGCAGCGCATGTTTGCCGCCAAGGACGCCTCCTCTATCCGCCGCATCCAGGACAGCCTCGATTGCTGCGGCATGAACAGCGTCAAAGACCGTGCCTGGCCCTTCACCGGTAACATACAGTGCGCCCAACGCTTCGGTCGCGACACCTCTTGTGTCGGCCCGTGGCGCGATGCCACCTTGACCAACTCGGCCATTGATCTGGCCGTCGTACTCGCCGTCGGCGTTTTGCAGGTGCGACCTCCCCCTTCATCCTCTCCAGACCTCTGGCACTATCACCATACCCCAAAACTGACCTCACACGAACCCAGGTTCTCACCTTGCTCTTCATGCAGAGCGCCAGCAACTGGAGACATGCCTGGTGGGCGCAGAGCTGGAGCCGCCTGTCTGATCGCCCTATCGAGGAGCGCGAGCGTACTCGTCCTCTCCTCACGGGTTCCGCCGCATCTCCTGCTGTCAACGCTGCCAGCCCTGCCAACGACAGCGGCGAAGAGTCGGATCTGCCCGTCACCTACAGCGACCTCAACCCGCACTACGGTACCACCGGCGACGGTCGTCGGGGTTGGACACGCACCGGTACCAGTCGCATTGAGCCCTCGTCGCTGCGGAACGAATGGGACGGCGAGTGAGCCTATCTTCGCGCGCAACTGGTGCGGCGACGTTTGACTGCGCTGCGCTGCCCTGCGGTACTGCACGACATGACGACGAGACGACAAGACTTGGAACTGTTTGGGCATTGCGAGCGAGAATATATATCTATCCCGGGTGGTCTGATTGGCTGTTTTGAGTTTTGTTCTTGGTGACGGAGTTTGAGAGGAATCGGCAAGGCTTGGGAGAGGCTCTCTGGTACTGGTAGATTGTTTCTGAGGCTAAAATCAGTATCCGCGTTTCCCGTTTCCGTCTTGCTGTTTCCCGTCCTCGAATATCGTTCTCGGTGATATCTCACTACTCTCTCATTAATCGGCCGTCGTTGACGCCCAGCCGCGACGGCCACGACAGCCACGATTGTGCAGATGGCCGCTACTGCTAACGCCTGACGATTCCTCGACCCGGCAGCCGCATTGACGGGCGCCAAAGGCCGCGCTAGCGAGGAATAGTCTGGTAATAGTACCATGTCCGGCCTATGGGGCAGCCGTTCATCGGGAAGCCAGCGGGGGTACGATGGAGTCGGCGCTAGAGACCACGGCCGCGCCGGCAGAATGCTACACGTTGAATAGTACTGAGCAGTGGTTAATCGGACCATTGTGTCAGCCATACACGGGCTGCTCACGTAAGACCCTCGAAGATGAATAGGGCAACCAAGCTGCTACAGTCTGCATGCCAAGCACCTATCAAAACTCCTCGGAAGGAAGGGTCGCCAGTGGGACGTGCAACCGTGGTTCATCCCGCAGCTGCTGGCATTATCCACAGCCGCGCTCTCGTGGTGGAGGGCCGTTGGATACGGCTGTATGCGAAGGAAACGGCAATATTGCCCAAAACTGAAGGGTCCGGTCTGGGCGAGCATGCGCTGCGACGCTGCAGGCTGAACAAGAGTGGCGAACACGAGCAGTGCCGATCGCACATGCTCTCGGGCTGCATCAGAATAGATACTCGAGAAATCTCTCGAAAATGGGCATTGGAGGGCATCGGTTATGCGCGTCCAATAAAGGGTAGCAAATCGTCACCACCGGGGTTTCCTCACATCGCCGTCCGTAGCAAAGTGCGTTCCACGACATCGAAGCGAGAGGCACGAAGTGCGGGGACGAGAGTCCTAGGCGTCTTACCATACATCGGTTATACACGTCATGTTACCGAGGCCAAGATGACTGGCATAGACAAGGTGCGAAACTGCCTCGGGTAAAACGCATCTAGTATTTCTCCTCTCTTCCTATTGCCTGTGTCTCTTTCATGTAGCCAGCAAAGACACGTTATCGGCCTTTACACAAGCCCAACTGACTTCGGAAACAATGGAAGGCCTTGCGGGACATCGCGAAACATCGCATTCCAGAACACTGCCCGTCCTCTCCGTCTTATTCCTCGTAGCCTCTGTCGGTGTCTACCTGCTCGCGTCTCGTATCCGTCGTGGTCGCCAGCGGTACTCGAAGCTGCCTCTGCCACCGGGACCGCCGAGACTCCCCATCATCGGGAACCTCTTCAATAGCCCTACCCATTACAGCTGGCTGACCCATCTCCAATGGAAACATGTCTACGGCCCGGTAGCCTACTACGAGGTTGGAGGGCAGCCCACGGTTGTCTTGACCACCGTGGAAGCGGCCCACGAGCTCCTCAACAAGCGGGCCAGCAACTACTCGAACCGGTCTTTCAGCTACACTGCCTCCGAGCTCGTGGTCAAGGGCTACAACATGCTCTTTCGTCAATACGATGCTCGGCTCCGCCTACACCAGCGCCTACACGTCCACGGGTTAAACCCCCGGTCCTCGGTGCTCTACCATCCCATTGAGGAGATGGAGTCTCTCCAGCTTCTGAACGACATGCTTGCGGAGGGCAAACCGAAACCGGGCCAAGGCACCGGGGAGAAGCAGACGGCGGCTGTGGTGCCCCAAAACCCTCACTGGGATTTCCGACGTGCGTCCGCGAGCGCCATGAGCTTGATCGTCTGGGGGTACCGTCTGCGAAAGGGAGAGCCCGGCACAGAGTACGAGATGGACTTTTTCAACAACACCTCAACGCTGGAGGTCCTGAACGCCCCCCCCTGGTGGATCGACACATTCACATGGCTCAGGCACATCCCGCGCTGCGTCTCCCCCTGGAAGCGGGCCGGGGAGAAGCTGTACGAGCGCGAGGTCTCGCACCATCTGGCGAACTTCCGCAGGGCGCTGAAGCAGCCCGGATACAACATCAGCAAGCAGGTCGCCCGCGGCGCGGACCGTCTCGGAGAGGAGGATGTGTGCGAGGCGGAGCTGGCCTTCGTGGCGGCGGCGCTGACGCTGGCCAACGGCGAGACGACGGTGACGATCCTCTGCTGGCTCGTCGTCGCCATGGTGACCTACCCGCGCGTCATGCGCGAGGCGCAGGCGGAGCTGGACGAGGTCGTCGGCCGCGCGAGGATGCCGACGTACGCCGACGGCGCGGCGCTGCCGTACGTCAACGCCGTCATCGACGAGGTGATGCGCTGGCGGCCCCTCATACCCGAGGGGATGGTCCACGCGGCGGCCGAGGAGGACGAGTTCATGGGCTACCGGATCCCGAGAGGCGCCGCCGTCGTGGCCTCCCAGTGGGCCATCACGCGGGACCGGGAGGCCTTCGGCGCCGACGCCGACGACTTCCGGCCGGAGCGGTGGCTCGAGCGGGACGACCTGCCGAGGACTTCGTTCGGCTACGGGAGGCGGCTGTGTCCCGGCAGGCACGTGGGGCGGGACGGCCTGTGGATCATGGCCGCGCGGCTGCTGTGGGCGTTCGACATGGAGGCGCCGCCGGTCGACGACGACCCGGCCACCTCGACGAAGAAGAAGAGGGTGATTGACCCGATGGCCATGCCCCCTTTCGGCATCATCATCGGCCCGCAGCCCTTCGAGGCTCTGTTCAGGCCCAGAGGGGAGTGGGTCGAGGCGCTGGTTCGCAAGGGAATGGAGAATGTTGAGGGCGATGTCGGGAGCCTAATGGAGCAGATTAGGATTGCGAAAGACTTCCAGTAAAGGTCTTGATGTATTACGATGACGAGCAAATGGAAGGTCTTTGGTGCTGGGAACGAAGAACTCGATGAATCACAACTTTCCTTAAACGGCGGTCTCAGCTGCCGTGACAGAACTGGCCCAGAAGTGATTCCACAACCATCTGTATGGACTCGTCGTTAACCGTTCGGGCTACATACATAGCAATCAGGACACGCTCCCAACGATACGGCCTTTCTAGCGGAACGCCATGGTATTGGTAGCATCGGCGATGCTATCACAGTCAAGCGGCGTGAGGGACAAGATGGCTTCCGCGTTGCCTCTGCCTTCTCTATGATATGGAGATGCCCAGGAGGTGATTGGCGCCCCCCGCTTTCTAGGATGCGAGACGCTGATCATAAAAAGTACAAGGTGCTTGCTGGAGAGGGCCTGCTTGATGCTATTGGCGCCATTACCTATAACGTAGCTTAGACAAATCTCATCAAACCGAGTCTATGAGCCGTAGCAGTTGAACTATAAGATCACCTCATTGATACATTCAGGCTGAAAGCGAGTGGCATGATAACTGGAAGACGAGACTCGAGCTGCGGTTCAATATAACGCGCATGAAGAATAACCTGACTGGTTCTTCGTCTTGGACAAAATGGAGGCTTATCATGGGTATTCCGAACGTAGGAAGTCCTCCAAGATCCATTGCCCAATCTTGGCGTTTGGCCAAGCTCGCTGCACCCGGATCTCGGGGAATGTTGCTTGTAAGACTGATCGTGAGGGGGCCATGAGGCCGCTTCCCAAGCGACGCGCAATGATGGCAGGGAAACCCCCTGAGAGGGGAGAATGAATGGATCGGCATTGATAAATTGATCAATCATTTCGACATTGCCATGAGCTTGACGGTGTAAAGCGTCGGTCTCTTGGAACCGATTGCCCAGCAAAGTTGACTTTCAAACCGGCACCTCACGCCAGAGCAAGCCTGTAACAATGCCAGCACAACCGTCCAACCCGCTGATCACGACGCTGCGCGTCAGCGGTATAAAGATTGTTGACGAAAATGACAAAGAGATACTCCTCAAGGGGGCTAGCATCAGCAGCATGCTGAGCATGGAAAGCTTCACCACCGGCTACGCCGGCCACGGGCATGAGCACTGAGCGGCCATGATGGAGGTCCTCGGCAAGGAGAAGGCCGACTTCTTCTTCGCCCGTCTCATACACCACACTTTCACAGGACGACGCCGCGCTGTACGCCTCACTGGGCCTCGAATGCCCGAGACCCCTTCGACCACCGCTATTTCATGGACGACAACAACCCCAGCGTGATCAAGAAGTCTGGCTTTGAGCTCCTCGACCGCATCGTCGACATCTATGCCAAGTACACCATCTAAGTCAACCTTGACCTACACGCTATACCACGCAGACGGAGCAGGGACTAGCACTGCAACTCAGGTATTAGCAGGGTCTGTTCTGGCTGGGAGTTCAAAGACTTCCAAGACCGCGCAATCCAGCTGTAGGAAGCGCTTGCTTGCCACTAAGTTGGCAAGAAGGTCGTCGCCAGATGCAACCCGCTTAATAAGCCAGCGGACCCTGAGAACATCCGCCTATCGACCGGGAGATCATGCTGTTTTCCAATAGAAACACTTACGCCATAGACCTCTCGGAAACTCCCCAGGAAAGACACTGCCTAACAGCGTCTACAGCTGCCATGACTACAGCATGATAGGGTTCCCTCTCCCAGAGCGGTACAAGGACACAGAGGAGCAGAAGCAGAGGCTCCAGCGCAGCCTCCTGTGCAAGGTGGCGTTCATGTAAAAGGCCGGCGTGCCTATCTAGAACAGCAAATAACGCCTAGTATACCAGGATCTCAGGACAGGCCTGGACGCGGCGGCAACCGACGTGAAGCGCTTCGCCCGGCTCAAGGAGCAGCTCGCTATCTACCGCGAGATCGGCCGAGCAACTGCCTGCACAAGGACATCGGCTACCAGGGCATGGTCTATCTGGAACCAGAGAGCCCCTACATACGGCTGGTCCGGCCGTTCGTCGAGAAGAAGCAGCGCGACGGCCTCGACTTCTGGGTCTGCACCGACAAGAGCGGCGTCGATGGCGCCGTGTACACGCCATTCATCGTGGAGCTCAAGGAGGCGGTGCCGGAGCCCTTGCGGAGGAGGAAGTACCCGGCTGGGAGCTCGCCGAGCTATTCCGCGATAAGACGGAGGCGGATTTAGAGGAACTGGCGGCGAGCTTCGCGCTGGGATACTGGAGGATGCCGTCGCGGCGAACAGGGGCGTCAATGGGCGGGACTGATGGTGCGTGATGATTACCATGATGATTAAGAGGTTAGGAGGAGCAGGGATTTGTGTTCCCTGGGACGGGTATGTAGGGCTATTTGTTGTTTATTGGCGAATATAAGCTAAACTACACAAGATAGTCATGAAATCGCCAGTCATCATCATGTCATGACTTCAATGCAAAGGTATATTCGTCAGTGTACCGAAGTATGTATGTGTAAGTATGTTTTATCTGGCTTGCTCAAGTTCTGGCAGTACAAAATCAAAGAAATCCTAGGGAAATGAGTACTTACATCTTCAACATCAGATTAACCGCGTTTAGTTACTTTGCCTTTGGAACTGTGACGGTAACCCAAAAGTAACAGGGGCAGCATATCATGCTAACCTAACGGCCTCTCTGGGACTCTAAGAAAGGACTAATCAATTCTTCCTTATATCTTCAAAGGGGTGACTGCTTGAGAGCAAATTATGTACTCTAGTTGTGTAAGCGAGCGCCAACAGTGAGAGATACAAATGTAGAATAGTTTTCATACATTTCCCCCAGTCGTTATCGAGTCCTTAAACACTAGCGCAATTATGAACGATGCCAACAATGAGGCATAACTACTGATCCACCCGTTGTCTGTTGTCGAGATCATAGCCAGCAGAGGAGTAAACACTTCATCTCGCTCAGCATTGAACATCAGCGCATATCAAATCGCAATAAGCCCTGCGTTTCACCACAAAACGCAATTAGCCTTGTGTGATGAACCGCAGCGTCTTGTCATATGAGAGAAAAGTAGTTGTCCTATTAAGAAACTACGTATGAACCGGAGAAGCGGTAGAAATACCTTTTCTACACGGTCCGTGCGGGTGGTACGCCACATCCTGTGGCGGCGCTGCTGGCACTAGCCACACGAAGCTATTCCAGCTTCACGACACCTTGTGAACAATGGCTCATAAGTTACCTGGAACCGTATCAGTCTCTGAACGGCGTCTGTTCGGGTTCGGTACCAGTAACGGAACGTGGTTGTGGATTTTCTCACATTTCTCTTGGCAGCCATCAAGGTTCTCATTCTGGAAATGTACAGTCGCTCAAAATACCTCAAAAAACAGCCTCGTTTCCTACCCGTACATTGATTGCTGTCAGCCTTGTAATCCTCAGTCTTTACAGTTTGGTCTTTGGTCTAGACGTTGCAGAGCCTGGTGCAGGGCGTAGACGGCTCAGGTCCCACCCATCGTCGACCGCACACTCGTCAACTTGTCTGCCCCTCCCGAGTTACTCACTTGCCCCAAATCATCCGCCGACATCCTCAACTCGACCATCAACCCAACAAGTGACCATGAGGTTGTCTCGCCCGGTCGCGTGGCTTGTCTTGGTCTTCGCATGCGGTGTTCCGTCAACAGCAAGCAAAGTGGAAGTTAGCAATGAAAATGCGGACAAGAAGATTGCCGCCGATGGGATGCTCAAAGAAAACACGATCCTAGCATCAGTACGTGCACCCAATAAAGTGAAATAACGACAGCCATGTGACCGGCTTCACCGATGCCGCCAGCCGCTATATCGGAAAAGTCCTAGCTAATGAACCGTTCAGATACCAATTGACTCGCTCATAGAGTTGCACGAAGTGACGATCACTGTTGAAGAAACTCGAGAGAAGCCAAGCCCTCGCCATGAACAGGAGAAGAAGAATCTGCTGAAACGTATGAGCAAGTCCCACGGTAAATGGGACACGAACCACCCACGCCACCGACTGTTAGAAGCTCTTTTTGGCTTCAGCCGGTACAAGGCACGACAGATGGCCGAGATTGATCGTTGGAAGGGTTTTTACAAGCAAGTATCCAAGGCTCAGAAAGCAGTACGTCCCAGCCGACGAAGTCCGCAATTTCACGAAGGCGTGACTAAACTGGCGGCTAGGTTCTCGAAAAGACCATTGGATACTCGCGCAAGTTCGAAATTACGGAGCAGCTTCTTGGTCTCAACCAGGAGCTGTGCAACGAGATTGTTGAGACGGCGCTCAAGTTCTACGGGATCACGCAGAAGGAGCTTGCGGACCACAGCAAAGCCAAGGATGATGCAGGTCAGCCAGCTGACCGGGTCAGCGCATCACAAGCGCTAAAGCACTTTGTCCGAGATTGGTCCACAGCAGGTACCGGTGAGCGCGGAGATGCGTTCCCGTGTATCCTCGATGAGCTAACGGCCTTGTTCCCTGACCGGTCCTCCCGCAATATCAAGGCTCTCTTCCCGGGCTCGGGAGTGGGGCGACTCGGCCACGAGGTTGCGGCTCTGGGCGGATTCGAAGTCACCGTCAACGAGTGGTCAATGTTCATGAACCTCGCATACCGTTTCCTCGAAGCGCATCCACAACCGAGAAGCAAAGCCCTCCATCCATTCGTCGATAGTTGGTCCCACCACGCAACAACGGCCGATCTGTTTCGTGGCGTCTCGTTTCCCGATCAGAGGGTCAATACCAGCTCTGTACTGTTGGTCGAGGGCGACTTCACGACGGCCTTCAAGGCGGAGAAAGGGCGGTATGACGTCGTCGTCACCCACTTCTTCATCGACACTGCTCGCAACGTCATGAGCTACTTCGATGCCATCCATGCTTCACTCAAGCCGGGCGGGTACTGGATCAATTTCGGCCCCCTTCTCTGGGGAACGGGACCCTTTGTCCAGCTCTCTTTGGACGAGATTGTTGCTATCACGAAGAGCATGGGGTTCGAGTACATGGATATCAGCGAGCATTGCGGTGCTGTGACACTGCAGGGAGAGAAGGTTCGCGGAAAAGAGGCCGTGTACGAATTCAACGAGAAGGCTCTCACCAAGAACGCCTACTTGGCTCAGGGTTGGGTTGCCAGGAAAGTCAAATGATTCTTTTCTTGACCAATATCACTTGAATCCTACTTGATCGAAGTATATTAAAATATATCCACTATTATCCATATTTCAGTCACAATTGAGCAAGCACAGTCCCGAAACATATGGCGGTGAACAGAAGTATTTTACGCCCTAGTTTTCACTACTGTCGTTGGTGAAAAGACTGGTAAATGGTTTCAAGTTGTTCCGTACTATAAGGGTTAGGAAAGTAACCACGGATGCCAACGTTTTGTGTAATAAGCTTTGATTGAGAGTGCTTCCTGCATGCAGGCCGCCCGCACTAAGTTACTTGGGCACGTATCACCAAGTCGTGGCGGGAATCAATTGGCTCAACAGTTGTGTTTGCACGTGTTTTTGAGACCTATCTCTCACCGCTTTCCTGAGAAGTAGCAAACATCGACTACTTGCTTGCATTGTGCTGCTGGACTGAAAGACATGCAAGTAACAAGGCGATCAGATACCGTGTCGCTGTAGTAGAGTGCCCGGATTCCGCCAGAAGCCAGGCTATGCTTAAGGGGTAATCTAGAAAGGAAACAGAGAGTGGCGTCTCCAAACTGTTAAGGTAACAAATGCTAAGTACGGTCAGACCAACCATGTACACTCCCCAAGCCCGAAAGACGGCAAAGGTGCATCGCTTAAAATGAATGGCGGGATGAGTAGCGGGATGCAGCATCAGACATGGTCCCTCCAGCCGGGAGGGGGTATGAACAAACATGGTCGCCTGGGCTAAAACCACTCCTGTTTTGTTACCGAAACCACAAAACCAATAAATACATTTCAATCTTGCATGGCTATAGGATCGTCACATCTCACATCAGTGAACCAAGATTGACCCTTGTCTTGCGCATGACACCCGTTGAAGAAGGTCTAAAAAGCTTTGGATTACACTTGTAGCTCGTCTTTAATTCTGTAACTGTGCGACCTCACGAGGGACCGCCTTGTATCTGTACCTCTGTAGTTTTTCTTAAAGTTGTTCTTCTTCTGACAGTCTAAAATTCATTTGTAAGGTACACTGCTAAGATAGCATCTGTCACGATATATAAGCTACTATTACTGCCCACATAACTAACAGTATTATTTTATTATAAAACAGTTATAAGCCTAGCTCCTACCTACTATATACTATAATAGTATATATATTAATTGTAACTGCAGTAACTAGCTATAGATCTTAAAGCACTATAGGTTTAATTCCTATTAAGGCCCCCTAGTTAAAAATCCTACTAAAGTCTATATAGATCTTTACTACCTATAATTAGCAAGATGTACTTAACTAGGTTTTTATTAAAAGTGTGTTTAAATCTAACTTTCTGGGTTAAATCTAGGAGGTATATTATAATATATAAGCTACTATTACTGCCCACGTAACTGACGATATTGTTTTGTTATATGACAGCATCTCACAGTAAAAACAAAAACAACAACAACAACACAATGTAAAATGCAATATATGTAGCATATGCATTAATGCGTAACCCAATTGTTGGGAAACCCCGCATGGTTCCTAATTACTCCGTACTTAAACTACCAATCCGGTCCGCCTGCTGTGCGCTGGCAAGTGTGAGATTTATTTCGGTTATGTCTTCTAACATCGGTGTTGAACATTTCTGGACCAGATCAGACTATTCTGATCCCGCACCTGCAGTCTGGTCGCCGATCACGAATGACTTCACCAGGCGGCAGTCAGACTCGCAAGGACTATGGGCCCAAAGTTCAAGAAAACTTCTCGACCGAACGGGTAGCTGGAGCAATATATCAAAGAACCCAGGTGATCAATTCCTGGCTGGTTACAAGGATCGGTGCACTTTTGTTCAGGGCAACTCGGAAACCAATGCGGATCGGACACGTCGGGAATGCGTTCAGATAAGTACAGCAAAATCCTAGTGAACCAGTATCATACGTGCGTGCTAAGGTTGTTAAGAGCATGCAGCTGCGTCCGATCTCTATCTTATTCCCGAACTCGATGGCAATGTTCTACGCAATCAGAGCTACTTACACTTTTACAACGCTGCTCTACTTGGACCGTCTCTTTTGAACGAAAATTGGCTCATCCCTGAAGCTGAGGGGCTCGCTGATGATGAGTTGCTCCTCGGCATGTCCTGCGGCTATTACAATGAACGAGGACCAAAGAGAAAACAGGCGTACATCTGGCAATGCGTAAGTGATAGTTCGCAAAGGCGTTTAGCTACTGATTAAGGGTTGAATAGTGTAACTGCGGACAAGGAGGCATATCCATCAAGTCTGAAGCATGCCGAAGCTGTGGATATCCTCGATGCGCGTACTGTCCGGTTTCAAAAGTGCGTATTTAGTGCAGTGGAAGGAAAACACCGGAACAAATGGGTTTCAACCTGCCATTAAAAAGAAGAGTTTGTCCCTAAGCTAATGATGGTTACCTTATGTCCGGACGAATTTACGTTGTCAAATGAAATTGCCCATGGGCCAATGATAGGGGAATCAAACCTAATTATCCGAGAATTCGGGAACTTACTCACCGGGACTCACCGAGCTTAGACTAGCTACAGAGCTTCTGTCATAGCCCTTCCCTCCCTCCCCGGGAGTTAACAATCTTAGACCCAATGGTAGAACTGGGTTCTTTCCAAGCGGGCAAGGGTCATATCGTCATCTTGTCATCTGCAATACTTTACTGACCGATAATACACAGCCCTAATAATCTGATTGGTCTGTCTTGACCGATAATTTACTGCTCTTTTCTGATAGGTTTTAATCATGCAATCAACTGCACCATCTATACCGCCTTCAGCACCGCCACCTGATCTGGTCCAAAAACATGCATACGTTTCATGCACTGATAAGCCTTTGTGGAGTGTTTGAAGGATTCGAAACCAATGCAAAGCCGGACCCAGCCTGCTGAATGAACTCCAAGTGCCAATGATGTAAAGTCCTCATTTGCTTGGATAACTTCATGTGAATGGGAATAAAACCATTCCGATGTCAAGCTAATGATGGTCGAATGGATGATTGTGAGGGTTGCCATCTTTGGGCACAAATACTCTGAATACAGCCTAACAACAACTGATATGTACAATAAAGACAACCCCACATGATCAAAAAAGTTGTGGTCAAGAACATTGCTTGCGTGGCTGCCGCTGACTTGTCCGAACATCAGGCTAGCTTGGTTGCCTACGGCTGCCTCATATGGTCTTTGAAGGATATCCTATCGTTCAGCGCTTGATTCTCGCCTGGCGCATCAGCCTAGTATAATATTAGTGGTTCGAAAAGGAACATGCAAGGAGGGTGGTTGTGCATGTTTATTGGGTATAGATGCCCAAATGTCTTCCTGGAACAAAATGTAACATTTCCCAGAAGCCACTCCTTGCCCTTTTAGGCTTTGAGAGTCGAATTTCAGCCCTATGAAGACGCAGCATTCTGTCTGCTAGACTACAAAATTTCTTCTCACATAGTTCAGGAGGAGTTGGGCAGCAGTTGACAGAGAGACAAGCCCAACAACTTTGGTGGACACTCTAACACAATAGAGTCACCAAGAAGACACTGATACCAACACGACTGCTGTCATATATGAGAAGGTGCCTCCCAGACTCCCATGTTTCTCAATATTGTTATTTCTCTTATCAAAAGTGATAAATTTGACGGATACATAATCATGCATGCGCAATGCAGGAAACAACAACGTGGGCTGACCAGACTTCCGCCTTCGTCTGGGATCGTCCAACAGTGCCGGAGAGCTGGGAAAATACGTCATTCATTGACGGAGAGACTAAAGGCAACACCAATGGCCAAAGCCTTCTTGAGGCTTTCTTGGACATCCCTGACCACTCCTCGAGGTCCAACTACGAGCTCTCTGTCTTTAATCAGATATTTGAGTCGGACAGACTTGAAAAGATCAGCGACGGAGATTATGAAGACACAAAAGGGTTGACAGTTTGGATTCACGACAGAAATATTACAACGGGCGAAACTCGCCCATACAATGGTCCAATTGTAACAAAGAAGTTCGATGAGGTGTTGAAGCGAGAGGTATGTCGTATCCTTGTACTATGGCACCGTCGTCTTGACGATTGAATGCAAGCCGACAATCATATTGAATAGCGTTTGTCGGACCCGGAATTGACAGATGTTCATATACGTCGCATGTAAGTCTGAATTGCTTCAATTGAGAGAGTTTATTGACGACAGCTAATGATATTCAGGTATTTGCCCAATCCATATCCATCGACATTAGGAGTATTGGCTTTGAGCTCCTCGCAGCAACACCGTGTTATGATCAGAGAGATGATTTACAAACATCTCAAGGGAGATACTTCTCTATCTGTCGAGTTTGGTGTATGTGGTATTATAATCAAATCGAGAAGTGCTCTGTATCCGTTGATAGCTAATCTTCATTAATAGCTTGCCGGAAGGACTTTCACTTTCGAGTCCCACATCCCATTCTTCGTGCTTAAGACGAGCACAGCCGCCAAAATGGATAATCGAATGAACTCTAAAAGCAAGCCCTTACGAAAAACTCATGACCTATCCTTCCTATCAAGGTCCCGTAATAGACTCCATAACGATACAACAGCCGCTGCTCTACATGAGTGCCACACCTCAATGGTCATAACTGGATGGAACCTGAACTTCTGGACAGCATGGTGCTTGAATGATACATACTACTACGACGACGATGGCAATGATTGCTGTAATGAAGACATGCTACTGTACTACGTTAAGCCGGACAAAAACGACGATGACAACGACGACGACGACTCTGGCCACGACTTGGATCCGTTGAGCATTGGAAATCTCTCCGCAAATGGCACATCTCCAGAAGATCCACGAGAATACTTCTTGCTTATTCTGAAGTTTAGGATGCAAAAGTACAAAGAAGAGTGGGCCAACATCCTTCACTATGTGAATGATAGTGTCTCTCAGTATGTAAGTACCAGAAGTCTAATGTAGATGTCGCCAAACATGCTTTCAAAGGGTAGCATGGTAGCGTCTTATTTTCCATATGTATTTAATACCTGAGCTTATACAATCTTCCCCTCTTGTAGGCACAGTGCCACTCGCCTACTGACGCTAATTTACGGTTTCTTTGCAGCTCTTGGATACTCATATCTCACTCTTACGAGAGAAAACAACCCTGGGAAATATTGATGACCACTCTGAAGCGGTCCAAAATGATGAAGCTTGGGTGATACAAACCATCAATCTTTTAACCAAGCTTATAGCCGCACTATCCAAGACAATTAGATATTGCCGCAGGTTTCATTCAAGAGACGCACGATCAATCACTATGGAATCGGATACCAATATCCCTAGCCGAACGGGCAATACTCTACATTTAATTTCTCGAATCGTAGATGATTTCGAAGGGTTTCTAGGTGACTTGAACGATTTGAGAATCAAAGTAGAGAACTTTAAATCACAGGTACGTCTCAGTTATCATGAGTGAGAATAAACTTCAAAAATGCCTATTCCACCAATTGACATACAAGAATTTCTAGATTGGGCTACATGTAGCTGTCGACGGCGGCCGAGCAATTGGCCTCCAATACTGGAATGTAACAATAGTATGTGAAAGCAGCTTTTTAATTTACAACGTGCCATGTCCAGCGGTTCTAATGAATTGGCTCTATACTAACATACATATGAACCATCTTTGATGTATTCCGAACTGCTTGCTAATCCTTGTGTTCTCTTAACTAGCTCTATTTTGTGTCTCCTCTGGCCCTATCCGGCACTATGATGCAGGCTGGGATCAGATTCGATCCTCCTGTTTTATGTTTCATTGTTTTTGCTTTCGGGATTGGGATTCTAACATGGGCACTCAAACCATTGTTGAGATTTTTTGAGGTGAAGCGACTGCTGCACAGAACCCTGTTCAGATGATTGAGAACAGTATTTACCAGACTAAAAGTGAGGGGGGAAAAATCAAGATTTGACCTGTTTCCTAGGTTACAAAAAACTCTATGCGGGACGCTGCGGCGGATAACAATGGTTGATCTGAATGTCTTTGAAGACGGCCTCGTGTGAATCCTGGACGCGGATGGTTAAAATCAGAATATTATATCCAAAAAGCCCAATAGTCCATGAGCCAGAAACGGCTTCAGGAACACACTGTGACTACTTAGAGACGTACTTATGTATTTCGCGTTCCTAGCCGTACCGGTAGCCTCGAACCAATGCCGAGTGGTGCAGCTACGTATTCGTGATGTGCACTGCACCACGTCTTCGATTCATTCCGCCACCAATTATTAATCGTCCAAGTTATAGGTCTGTTAGCAGTAAGCGGGCGGGATTAGAAAGTTCTACCCCACTATCTTGATGTGTGACACCCAAGGTCACATGCGTCTTGCGCCACATGCAACCAACCTGCCAACGGGGACCATCGTCACTGTCTTCGAACGGTCGTTCTCTTGAACCCTTTACCTGGCAGCAACCACCTCATATTCAAAGTCGAGAAGCTTCAAAATATCCCAGAAATCACGAAAAAAACGCCCCTGATTTGTTAGTCGTCAGCGACAAATCGTTGGTCAGTGCCACCAAATCACTCACTTTGACCGGACATGGCTCAGATACTACTTGCTCTGGCCAGCCCAGCCTCATTATCCCCACCCGACACCATCAGAAACGACACGAATGATTGTCTGACTAGCGTTCTACAGATGTATGAGCTACCCCTTGGTAGAACACATCGTCTTCACCTTCAAGACCGTCGTAAATCGAAAAGGGCCTGCTAGAAACACGTCACGATGCAGATTAGCTCACACGATCCCGGATATGAGCTTATTCGTACTATCGACATCGTTGTCCTCACCGAGCCTGGCCGGCTGGAAATCCCCTATGAGCGAGGCCCGAAAACACCCAAGGTTCTTTGGTCGTGTGTAAGTGCCTCTATTTTCTATATAATGAAACTCCCATAATTTACTGATGATTCGCCTAGTGTAATTGTGGGCAATCAAGCATCTCTATTAATACAGACCCATGTCCAGTTTGCTCGAGCCCTCGATGCGCGTACTGTCCTTTGACGAAGATCAAGAGACCTGTCGGAAAGCAATACCTACCAGGAATGGGGTAAGGGCAACATTAATTCCGAGGTTGCTGTCTGACCGGAGGAGAAACGTCAAACTATGAGCCCAACGCAGCAAGTGACTTGTCGTCTAGGACGCTGAGACGGGCGTTGGGATCGTGCTATGATGGCATGTTTTAGTGGTTAAACAGGACCATCGTTGTTTACGGCTAGGCTACTTCACAGCGTAACCGTTATTTGCAAGGCTTCGCAAAGTGAAAACACGGTGTCCCAGTGCAGTGTTCCAAGGTGCGCTGCACGAAGACTAGCGACCATTGTGAGAATGACTGCTACTGATGGCATTTCCGCACATTACCAGCCCCGCATCTCGAAATGGGGGGAAGGGGGGTGGGGACTCAGGAGGCGCGTCCAAAAGACCAACAGCGAGGCATGGGAGGTTTCGATCTATGGAAACCGAGCAACGGGTAGAACCGGGGTGGTGGGTAAGCGATGCGGGAGGTCACCCTATATTCCGAGATCTCCTCTAGAAGCATCTCACGTCACGCAGGTCGTTTGGCGCTACTTTCAACGTGAGATACCTTTTCCTTTCATCTCTTAATCGTAACATAGAAAAGGGTCTATGCTAATCAATGCTATCATCAGCCAGGACCCTTCCCTTTCAAACTCGAGTTTCACATCTCGTATGATGTGTGGGGAGAAGGAACTGAGATCCTGAGAGAATACGAAAAAAAGCCCAATGAAGATCCTCGGCGTTCCTCGACCGACCTCTCATTTCTTCCCCGCCTCCAAAGCTCCAGTGGAGATGGCGGAACTCCTGACTGTTTGTATGAGGCTCAAACCTCTCTTATTGTTAGCGGACCCAACTCCTCCATATGGACTGCGTGTCTTTTGACAGACACGTATTTCCGGGACCAGATGGACGCCAATGACGAGGAGCTTCTTCCATACCACGAGGCTGCGGGTATCAGCGATGGTCTTTACTATGATCCTTTGACAAGTGGAGATATTGACGCAACTGTGCCAATATGGAATCCGCGTGAGTATTACTGTCTGGTACTCATGATTCGCATAATGCGGATAAAAGAAGAATGGGTCAAGGTAATTTACCATCTACAGAATAGGATGGATGCTTATGTGAGTGGCAGACTCAAAGATTGTGACTTCTATAGAAATAGGTTATTGACAGTTCCAAAGCTCCAGATACCCGGCATCCCAAGATCTAAAGACGTTTCGTCACTTGGATCTGCTCAGGGTCAATCAGGAGCAATCGAAAAGACCTATCACTGGATCAAACAGATGACAGACCTTCTGAATCGATTCATAGATACCCTTTCACAAGTACTGGAGCCATGGACCTGGTTTGCGGACGGGGGTATCTCGCACTTTGCAAATGGTGCATCTAACAAACTGAAACTATCCATCCACAACATCAACACGGTTATGGAAACAGATCTCCACAAAGTCTTGACCGAGCTGGACAGGCTTCGGGGTCGGTTAGACCGGTTCAGAGCTGAGGTAAATTCACCTATACGAGGCAAAAATACATAAGCTAACCAAATACAAACTTTTAGCCAGAACTACATCTGCAAGTTGCAGGTAATCGAGCCATTGTTTTGCAGTACTGGAACATAAATATTGTAAGTTATATCTACCTCTGACTCGCTCTAGTTTAATGACGAGGCTCATTACCCAATAGCTCCACTTCATATCGCCTGTAGCTCTATCTTCTGGCATAATGCAATCAGGAATCATTGTATTTCAGCCAGCACCGGTGTGTTTCATCATTCTGTCGGTCATCTCATATCGTCAGCTCCCAGCGCAGGGCTTCAGCGTACGTGTGCCCTCGATAGATATCATCGATGGTACGCCGGCAGCTGCACGATAGGAACCTATCTTGGCACTACCCCTACCTACCTTCTCCAGGCTGGAAACTAGACGGCAGAAAAGGGATAGCATCAAGACAACATGAAGTAGGGGGCTCATCGGGCTTGTTAACGTGTCTTTTTGACATCGCCTAGAAGAGAAGGCAGATTGAATAAATAAGTTGACTATAACTAGACGCGAAGACGAGCTCAAAAGCGTTCCATTCCCAGAATCAATGGGTACGACTCCAATCATTGCTGAATATCCAAAATGTTCGGGACTGAATGATGTTTGCCGGTAGTTTGACGTTGCTTCTAGACGGAAATTGTAAGAGAATAAGTGGGGTTTCCCTTAATAAGTGTATATGTGGTGCAATGCTGGCACGAAGTGCCAACATTGGTTGATCTTTTGGGTATTTGCCTAAACGGTCTATGGACGGGCTTAGCACACCACCTGAGTTCCCTGACATTATGTTGGCACTTCGTGGGTCTTCTGGCTAAGCGACGACGTGGGTAGCGTAGGTAGTGCGTGTTCGAGTCCCGGTCGCGACGCTTACGTTGGGCTCAGAGGGACTGCAGTGCGTAGGCTAGGCCTAGCGTGGCAGCCGGGAAGATACCGGCTGGCGCCAGGTGCCAGGCGCCCAGGGCCTTCGGGGTTAACATGCACTGATATACTCTAGCGCACAGTTACCGGCGTGCTCCTATAGTAACTTGGGGGCAAGTTACAGTAGGAAGGAGTATAATGTAAGAGAATAAGTGGGGTTTCCCTTAATAAGTGTATGTGTGGTGTAATGCTGGCACGAAGTGCCAACATTGGTTGATCTTTTGGGTATTTGCCTGAACGGTCTATGGACGGGCTTAGCACACCACCTGAGTTCCCTGACAGAAATATACTTCTGACTAGATGCATTTTATTTGTATTCTGTCATAACGGCGGCAGTCGATATCTGATTAAAAACGAGGTAGCTTCGGGCATTCTTTGCAGTTCCGCCCCCCTGTCAGTGCAGGGTTGCGCATTTCCACTCACATGAGGAGGAAAGAGGAGGAAACTATTTCCAAGCGGTATCAAACTACGTCATTCTTTGAGCTCGGTCTTTGACGTATCTGTGTTGGCGGGTAGTTTCGGGATTATGAATTGATGCCTAATCTTACTCTTGTACTTTTGTCAGCTGTCGGGTTGCACTGCGTGCATTTCATGCATGTCATCTCTGTCCGAAGCTGCGTATACATAGTGGTTGGCCTCTCTTGACACCTCCAGCTCACCGAACAAGAAGTCGGAGGGTGGGCGTGTGCTTGGCATTACGCCTTGTTTATAATTTGGTGTGTGACACTGCAGGTACTTATGACGCCGTCAGACGTACGCCGGGTATAATGTGGGATCGTAACCCAATATTCTGGACGCTACGTTGGCTCCCTAGCCTCGTAGATCTCATTTGCGATTATCAGATGACTTGTCAGTTCTTTGGGATAGGTCGCCCAGTGACGGATCGAGTTTAACATCGGATAGAGGCCGCCACTGACGCGAAATCATACTCTCCATTCACATGCATTAAGTAGCTTTTTTTTTTTTTTTTTTTTTTTTTTTTTTTTTACAAAAAAAAGTGGCGTTTTTGTTGGGTTATCGACATGCAGGTTGTTCTACATCTGCTGGGGATCTTTTCTTTTTGTCATTATGCATGGTAGGTTTCTCATCATGAATTCGGTCCTGGGCTAGCAGTAGAGATAGACTGAGCAGGCGCATTGTGCTACCTAGATAGACTAACCAGGCGTTAAATACTCTCATCATCATCATCATCATCATCAGCATCATCATCTCATCATGAATGGATGAAGTGAAATCCCATACGTACCGTATCCTCACATCAGATGCAAAATACGCACAGGCCACACGCTAGCCCTATATAGAAAGCGGTCAACCCACCCATCCACCCACCCAGTTGCCCTCTTGCTAGCCAGCCAGCCCGCCTATCTACGGTCAACTTCGCCAACCCATCAACCAACCCACCAACCCACCAACCCACCAACCCCCCACGTTATTCACGATGCCTGACCGCCCGCCGCTGGGCGAGGTCAACTCGAATATCTCCATCACACCTCCGTTACGCAAGAAAATGACCAGTGGTTAATTAATGAATTTTCCCCCTTGTTAATAGGCAAGACTACCTATTAGTTATGGACGTTGCAACCTTTCACAAGACCCCTTCTATACTATCACGACTTCGCTCTCATCACGTTACGCCTAGCCTTATATCGCCAGGCATAACCTCCCTCCTTCAACCTCTGGATACTGCTATCAACAAGCCCTTCAAGCAGTGGTTATCCGAAGCAACAGACGAATATACGTGGCGAATGGAGCAAGCTGCCGCCTGCCAGCCCAGCCTGCCCATTCAACCCATACCCATCAAGTGGTCAACGTCAATGAAACGCATCATGGTTACCCATACTGTTGCAACAGCTACCCGTCGCCTAGCTGGAAGGAGTAAGATGGTCCGGCAATCCTTTCGTCAGTGTGGGATTAGTGGTAACCCAGATGGAAACGACATTGACAAGATTCGGATTAAGGACATACCAAATAAGAAGATGTTATAGGATAGTTAGGATAACTTCAATTGCAACACCGTCATCAAGAAGGAAATCGCTCAAGGTCGTCAAGAGATAACGAACGTTAATGCAGATAACGACAGTAAAGAATGTATGTCTCTAGTTAAAGACGTCCAGCAACCCATTGAAAGTAGTTCAATAAGGCCGTAGGGGATCTAGAGCTAGGTGGGTGGGTAGGAGGAAATCCAATGCCAACCATAACTTTATATAAGTCTGTTTGCTGGCCCTTGCTACCTAACTTGCTGCTGACGTACATGACTAACCCCTGCTTTTGCCACATCTAGATCCCTGTTTCTGCCAGCCCGCTTACCCCTTTCCAGCAGCCCGTGGCCCGTGCGGATTTTGCATTTGATGAGAGGATACGGGTATACGCGGACTTTCAGAGGTAGGCCGGAGTACGGCAGCATCTTATCGTAGATCCGACTTCAGCGGAGCATCCACCAAAACCTCTCCAGGAAACGGGATCTTGGATAGGCCCCTCGCCCAGTCGAGGGCGATGATGGGAGCCGTCTCAGCGTCTCGAGACCACCGCATCTTCTTAACGAGATTGCCCAACCGTCTCACGGCGTGACGGTTGCAAGTGATGGTTGTATGGCCTGTCTTCCAGCCGAACAGGAACGAGGAGCAGTTTGTTTCGTTGAGGGTTGGCTCTACCGCAAGGACTACCTTGGGCAGCGTCCCCTTGTGAACTTCCCCTTCCACATGCTTCCTGCGGAAGTCCTCCATGATGCGGATTGGCAGCTGCAAGTCATCTGGTACTTGGTGGCAAGAGAACTTCTGCAACTCGGAGACTAGGCGCCGGCGTCGACCCTCAGTTACCCCGTCGTCCTTTTCCTCCCAAGGCCAGCCGTCTTGCCTCAGAACTCGCTCGAGAAAGGCCAGTTTATCGTCTTGTTTCCCCCTGGTGGTCTCCTGCCCCAAGAGAATTTCCACTCTGGCGACTTCCGATTCCGTAGAAGCATCGTACACCATTCGAAGACACGTCTCTGCAGCCTCACGTGTACAGACGAGCGTGTGGCCACGGAGGACAGGGTACAGAGATTTAGGGAGCCTGGGACCATGCTCCGCCTCATCCGCTACGTCTTCCAGAATCTTGGGGCGCCACTTTCTCTGTGAGCTATGATTGTGAGAGATGTCCGTGGTCAAAGCAACTAAGATGGACGTGTCGATATTAAGAATAGGAGTCAATGGTGGCGCATCTGTATTGTTCCCAAGACTGAGGAGATTTGAGATGGCTATCTCGAGGGGCGGAGGCGGGGTTTGGGTCTCATCGGCGCATTCCAGGTCAAGAGAAATTGCCTCGTCACCCAGATTTGCAATGCCCTTCAAGAACCTGTCTATGGCGGGAACTTTGCCACGACGGATGTTGGGAAGGACAATACGTATCCGATGCCTGTATCCGCCATGGATGTTGCGGGCGGCCGCCAAAAGCTGCTTGGCACATTTCAGGACCTCGATCTGTGTTTCGTCATCGTCGAGAACCTCTGCTAGTTCTACATCGTCATCCTCGTCATCGGGGGCGTCCCAGGGAAAGTCTGCCTCGGCCATCTGAACCAGAAGAGCCTTTTCGGTCGCGCTGAGGACTCGCATCCACTCGTGTCCATTCTCGACAATGGCACTGACAAAGACAGAGTTCTGGACGCCCTGCTTCGAGTAGGGCACGGCGAAACGGAACCAGGTAACTGAACGGCACTTCTTAATCGCCAACCAGTGATTCTCATAGGATGAAAGCTCTCCTTCCAACAGCCTAAAGTCTCGAGACAAGGATCCCTCGGCTTCGGAGCCAGGCTCGGTAGACTCCTGACATCGCTGTAGCAGAGACTTGGCGCGGTGATGTTGGTTCATGTTGGCTTGCCAGAAGGTGCTGAACCCGGGGATGTAGGCGTGCCAGTGGTTATTCACTTTCGTTGCTTGCGCCTCGACGGCATGGCGCAAATGTTCCAGCTCCTCGCATAGCGTCGCGGTCCGCTTTATGAGATCGTGGGCTGTCCTGGTCAGATCTTGGGACTCGGCACCCTCCTCAGACAAAGGCAAGGTTGTGCGGCCCCCATCCTGATCCAGTTCCATGAGCGAGCATAGACCTATTACGGGGGCGTGATGCTGTTTCTTGCCCTCAAAGTGGTTGGCAATGTTTAGCTTGGCGGCAACGTGTGGTGATGTGTCGATGAGCCGAGTGGATGAGGGTGGAATAACCGAGTCGGATGAGTCATGGCGTGGGGAAAAGGGCCACACGGTGGAGGAAACGGAATAAACGACGCCAAATTGGTGAGGCACAGATACAGAGACTCCTAGCAAAGGGTAAGGAGGAAGTCGAGTTGGTTCAAGCTACCAAAAAAGAAGCAATTTTTGATATGTTTAGTTGGTTCGAGTGGGAGTTTGAGGGAAGGAGACAAACGTCACGTGATCCATCACGTGATGCGCCGCGATAGATACTTTGGTACCTGTCATGTCATGTCGACTTCCCTACTACTCCCTCCCATGTACGGATGCCGTGACTTGGACTTCTGCAATACACCAACACAAACACCTGGGCTGATTTTGTCTATGAGTTCGCCATCGTCAAATTAGATTTCTCTGCTCGGTAGCCGAGGTACTGACTGTGGCTTGGTATGCACCCACAGTTATGTATGCTACGCTTGCATCGCTACTAACCAAGTTTGCACCAGGAAAAGACGAGGAGAAACAGCCCGCCAATCAAACAACATTCTCGATCGACCACGACTCAACAACTTCGGCGAGGGTGCTGTCACTGCCAACGTTCCCCGGAAATACGACATACGGCACTCCACGATGCCGACTCGTTTCCTCCTCACACCTCCACAAGGGAACACCAGGTGCAGCTTGGCCCAAGATGCGCGCCCTTCTCATCCTTAATCCCTTGGTCGCCGCATCTGACGAAGTGATGCCACCCTTCGCAATCAGATACCGCGGTCTAACATCGATGTTCTCTACCAGCTGAACCAGGGCACGCGCCACCCTGGATCCGATCTGGAGCGAGCTGAGCGCATCGTCTCCCTTGATCAGCTTTCGTGATGTCATGACAAGAACATCCTCGCCCGCCGCCAGCCTCGACGCCGTTTCGGCTGCCGCTGCCGTAACCACCTTTTCCGCCGCCTCGGCAGACGCGATCAGTTCAGCAACGTCAAGCTCAATGACACTGAGCTTGTCGCCTCGCCTCTCCCGGAGGACCTTGAGCTGTGCTGTCGTCTTCGGAACATACGAGCCAGCAACTATCAACCCCCCCGGCTGCTTGGTTCCCTCTTTGACCGACACTCCGAGGTCGGCCATCGTTAGAGGCGGGATTCCTGTGATTCCCAGCCGAGAAGAGACAAAGGCGGCACCTGTGCGGTAAAGGTACCGTCTTCCCTCCTTCTCCGCCTCAAGCAGACCCGCCACAAAGACATGCATGTCAGACTCGGCAGCGGCGTTGACAATGACAACCGTGTTTGAGCCGGGCGCTACCGAGAGGAGCTTCTTCGTGACGCCTGCGGGTCCTCCGATCCGGATATCATCTAGCGTGACGGAAAGGAATGACGAATCGTCAAACCGCGAACCGCACTTCTCCAGCACGTATTTCCGCAAGTTAGAGTTCTTGTAACCGAAAGTCGCGTCTTGGGCAAATGGTGTTTGGCTTGCAGGAACCAACACGTCGTTCTCCTTGACGTAGTGCACATCGTCGATGGTGTATCTGCCACCCTGGTAAAAGAACGGTGTGATTACCCACGCATCAAACTTGCCGAGCGCTTCCTCGGCTGCCTCGGGCTCCTCAGGAAGGTGTCCTCGCAAGGTCGAGTCTCCGCGAAGGACAATCTCGAATGCCTTGTTGGACCTCTCGGCCGCTTCCTTGACGTTCTGGCAGATCTCAAGGATAAGCTGCTTTGCTTCGGCGGAAGGTAGGGCTCGGGAATTGGTGAGAATGAAGAAACCCGTTGGGTTGAGGCTGAATTCGTACTCCAGTGTTGCCACATCCCAAACGGCCAAGACATCGATGTTGTGGCAAGTCTGCGTACCTGTTGGATCGTCGTCGAGCACCACGAGGACTGGTACTTCGCCGTTGTCGACGACCTTTCGTGTTGAGCTAATTACGTCTCCCGAGAACTCATCGGGCAAAGAATCGATCGTTTTCTGCGCTGGGAGAGCTTCCTCTTGGCCTGCTCCAACCTCGGAGCTTTTGTCGGCCTTTCCATTGGCCTGCTCGGTCTTTGGGCCAGCGTTGCCTGAGACGGAGAGCCCAGCTAACTCCCACAGCCTAACGACGCCTGCATCCGACTCCTTGGTCCATCCGTGAGAAGCCCCTGAGAGGTACAGGGTGTGGGCTGCCGATGATACTGGAGCGAAGTAGGTCAGGCGCTTCGCTTCGTCAAGAACGATGCCGAGGTCCTTGACAAAAATGGCAAGGGCCGAATGCGGCGTCCAGTCGCCGTCAAGCATCTGGGGTACTCTGTTCTCAAACATCCAACTCCATGCTGCCGCACTCCCGAGGATTTCGAACGCACGTCGTGTGTCGAGTCCGAGGCGGGCGGCAAACGCCATCGCTTCGGCGGCAGCAGCGATGTGAACACCAGCCAGCAACTGGTTAATCAACTTGACAGAGGAAGCGGCGCCGACGCCTCCTTGTACATGGCACAGGTTTCTCGGGGTTCCTGTCATGGCCAGCAATGGGCCGTTCGCCTTGGAAAGCACGGCATCGTCGCCAGAGCAAATGATCTACGAACCATTAGCATCCATCGCACCCGTCTTCGCCCAACGTCAAAGGCTGCCTACCGTAAGTGTGCCGTTCGCAGCGCGCACAACGCCGCCACTGACTGGGGCATCAATGAGCTTGATCCCCTTGCCGAGGTTGGCCAGTTTGCTCTCCAGCTCTCGCACAAATGAGGGCGGCACCGTCGAGCTCAGGATGACGATGGCACCGTCGGGCAATGACTCGGCAGCCTTGCCGGAGCCGAAAAGGACATCGTCAGCTTGTGCCGCGTTCTGCACCATCACAACTAGGATGTCTGCACCCTTGGCGGCCACGGCGGGGCTATCGGCCTTCGAAGCGTTGCCTCCGTTGGCCAAGAACTTATCGATGGCGGGCTCGTACACATCATAACCGTGGACAGCGAATCCAGAGCGAAGAAGTGAGGCTGCCATGCCCTGGCCCATTGCTCCCAGGCCAACCATACCGACTTTTGAAATCTCCATAGGTGTGGTGCTCGGTGTCAGCTTCTCTTGTTTGTTGAGTTGAACGGCCTGATCTTTGACGATGTTCTGCTGGCCAGGGAGGAATATCCGGACAAGGCCGGAATCATCCTCGGCGCCATAGCCCTGAGCAGCTCCAGAGATGTATAACTGCTCTGCCACCGAAGCGAGAGGGGCGGGGAATTGCAGAGCTCTTGCGGTAGACACGACGATACCCTGTTCAGACCCGTCAGCTCATGACTCTTACGTCTGACAAGAAGAGGGAGGCTCACCATGTCTTTGACAAAAATATTAAGAGCAGACAGAGGAGTCCAATCCCCATCGAGCATGTGCGGTACGCGATTTTCAAAGGCCCACGAGTTACCCGCGGCGTTTGTGATGATGTTGTATACTTCACGGGTGTTCAGGCCCGCCTTAGCTGCCAGACCCATGGCCTCGGATGCAGCTGCAATATGCGTCCCAACCAGGAGCTGATTGACCATCTTGATCTTGCTGCCAGCCCCTGGTCCACCGGGAATGACGTAGAGCTTTTCGGACATGTCGCGCAAGACTCGATCTGCGCGCTGCAATGCCTCGGGGGCCCCGGAAGCAAAAATGCTAAGTGCACCTTCGGCTGCACGCTTCGTGCCACCGGATACGGGACTGTCAACGACTAGAACATCGTGTCGGCCCATTGCCGCGATGCGGGGTGCTAGCACCTCATGGTATGTAGGCGGCACGGTTGAGCAGATGAGCACGGTGGCATTCTCCGGTAATGCTGCGGGAATGAGGTTAGCAGCCCGGCCCGGCCGAGGGGCTGGTGATGCATGAGAAGACTCACTTTGCACGGCACCCGTCTCATTATTGAAGAGTATATCATCAATTTGCTCAGCATTCACAGCCATGCAGACTAGGATATCGCTGGTTTCCGCCACCTCTCTGGGTGACTGGCCCACGACACCACCCGCTTGCGCAACAAACTTCTTTGCGCTTGGCGGATAGACATCGTAGCCCTGCACTCTATACGAGGGCTTCTTTGCAAGATTACACGCCATGCCGAAGCCCATGGCACCCAGGCCAATGAAGCCGACGCGTGTCGACTGAGTGTCGGGGGAAGCCATCTCGATTTACGGTGGTGGCGTGTTGCCCAGAGTCGTCGGCGATGGTTATTCCGCAACCACGAGTACTTGACTCGAAAATGGGCATTTCGGAGGTCCAGTCGTCTTATAGCACCCAGGTTCCCCAGACAGACGGACAGGGCACATGCTCGGCAAACCAACCGCGAGGGACGGAGATCTGGGGAGAGCCTTGTCGGGTGGAAGATAACAACCGAGGTGGAACACACGCATAGGTACTACGTAGCCACCACACAAAATGTGGAACCCGGGGGGCATGAGACAGAAAGCGGACGGCCGGCCAAGAGAGGGAGGGATGGAGTGTGTAGTTCGTGGGAGGGAGGATCGAGATATCCGTCCACCATGTCACCATGTCACCATGTTGTGCCGCTGGAGCATGTAGAAACTAGTGTTTTTACCCCGCACGGTGAGAAGTCCGCCCCGCTTATAAACATAGCAGATACGCGTGTCTTTTCCCTCTTTTCTCCCCTCGGCCATCTTCCCGCCCTCCATCTTGTCCACCTCGTCCACCTTTTCCCTTTCCAAGGCCCAGAAAAACGCACCCGGACTTCTATCCTGCGGACCCTTTTGGACCATGAAACGTGCCAGAATTGACGGTCCGGACAAGACTCCGTCTTCTTCTGCCTCGGGAGCCGCCTCCGGTCAGCCGGTTCACCTGCCAAAGATCTCGAGAAAAATCCGAGCTTGTGAGTACCAGCATTGCGCGCGATTCTTCTCGGGCTAAACCCTCCATCGATCGACCAACTCCCTTTTCTTGCCTCCCCGGCCATGCCATACAGGAGGGGAATAGCCGCTGATCCAAAGAGAGATAGGCCAAGAATGCCAGAACCGCAAGATCAAGTGCGGCATTGAGCCCGGCCAGAACCAGTGCGCTCGATGCGCCCGCCTTGGCCTGCAGTGTGTTGTCAATAAGAGTCTCCAAACCTTGCTCGACAGCGAGAATGAGTGGAAGACCAAGATGGAGATGCAGCTCCAGACGCTACAAGCGTCCATGGTGGAGGTCAGGCGGGCCTTGAATCTGCCACAGCTTGCCCC